AGCACGAGTAAATTATTCAAAGGCTGATTTATCCCATATTGCACGAGAAAAATCATGTGATTACTAGTTAATAAAAAATAATATACATGTGTAACCCCAAAAGGATACCTAAGTTGCTGAGTAGACTATTCGAACGCACATAGAATGTGAAGTGATCTTTAGTAATTGTTGAAGATAGCGCTAAGACGTATTTGAAACTGACTACGAGGACTACACCAATAATACAGACAAAAGGTGAACATCGCAAATGTAAAAGAGATAAAGACTTGCTTCAGTCTAACTCCTAATGATAGCAAATAACTGACAGCAATAGCATCTATAAGAACAAACTAATAGCGATGAACAAATGGCGATGATCTAGCAGCGATGATCTAGTAGCGATGATTGAAATGGAATCTTTACACGTGTCCTAAAGACGAAAACAAACAGAAGCCGAAGAAGTAGTCTATGAAAAATCACACGGGATGTGTATCACTTGAAACACGCGCAAAGGAGCTAACAAAAATAAAAGCACCCAATAAACAACGATCAAAAAAGTTTCGTTGAGATCTTATACTTACCGACGAGTTTTCGAGGCTCAGCTTGTAAGTAAGAATGCGAACTGGAAATTGGAAAGTCTGTCAAGCTTTAAATTCTCTCTTTCCAAACTCATCAATTATTAATAATATTTATAAGGTGATCATCCAACTAAGAGACTTAATTTTGTCGCGTGCATGCGGTTTGAAACTTCGTTGAAAAATTGAGGCATCATTCACGGATTCCATGCAATATTAAAGCCTTAAATTTGATAAAGCATCAAACGTTTCATCAGAGTTTCCAAATACTCGAAAACAAGAAAAGAATTCGCCCTACTGCCTCGTGCTTTCATATGCCTTGTCTTGTTTAGATGATGACCTTGATAAAACACTTGCATTCGTTTTTGACCCACGCTCGTCATTTATTGTGTCCCAAATTAGCTCATATAGCTTGTCAAAGTGTATTGACAGCGTGTCTCAGGCTTAATGCGATCCTTACCTAATATCATAACTGATAATCAGCTAAAACGATGAGACTTCCGGGCATCCTTAAATTCCGCCCGTGTTTGCGAGCTAAGTTTCCAGTTTTTTTCCATAATCGATGTTACCAGTTATTACGAACGAAAATAAAGCTTTCAAGACACAGCCTCCTTAAAACGCGGTCCGATGAATTTCGGTTAAAAAAATCGATTTCTTTTAAACTCTGCCCATGAATCTGTCTTAGTCTAAACGTAATCGAAACCAGCTTGGTTTTTCCGAATGTTGCAATAGGATTTCTTCCGAGAGAAAATCGCTTCAGCCCTAGAACGCCCTTTTTTAATAGCGCTGATCATCAAAAGTTGTGTTGTAGAGAATTTAGTTAGCTAAGTTGGTCAGTTAGACAGTTAGTCAGCCAGTTAAATATGATTTAGTCATTTGTTTATATTTAGGATGAATTGTTAAAAGACAAAATTGGCATCTAGCAAGAATTTTCACTATAGGTGTTTTTTGACTTACTTGAACGTTGAAAATGAATGGAAATAATATATTAGCATAAACCACTCAGTAAAAATTATAATAAGCCAGTTGATCATTTCTTATTCCCTTTGGCGGTCTTATCTTACAGGTATAATTTAGCACGCTCGACACCTCTTTAACTTAGAGGTGACTTTAGGTGTAAACATGTAGTACTTTTCATCTTCATGTTTGAAAGATGTACTGAAAGAATCACAAACGAAGCATCAAAATCAAGCAAACTGTGTATGGTCAGTAAGTTTCAGGGCAAAATCAGGAGATGTTAATAGGATAAACACCATGTTTTCTTGCACATAGAATAAGGAGCTGAACAAGAATATCACAATTGGTGATCACAATAAGAATCTGAGAAGCAGCAGTAACCACAGTAGACACTAAGACGAAGCAAAGTGATGGCGACCACAATTTTCATGCTTCTCGTTTGGTGACTGTGGCCTGCCACAACCTTTATTTCAAGCCTCGTTTTAAAAGTTCTACGCCCACACTCAAGCGATTGGTAGAAATTCAGGTTTGGAATCATATTGCAACCTCCATGTTTTCATTAGTTTCATGCGACAACCATGCTGACGGCCCAATGCTCCCCTGCAGAACGAGCGTAATTTTTGCGTTTTCGGGCATAACGAGGCAAACGCGATTCACTTTTAAGCAAGAGAATATCAACTGTAAGAACCGATTCCCGTGACCCTGCTTTTTTTCATACCTCGCATGATAACGCGGATAACGATCTCGATATCATCTGTCGTTGCAGTTTCCGATGTTCAAGTTTTAAACGAGTTTTTAAAAATTGTAATCGCTCATCATCGAATACTTACCTTAAGTGGTTTATAGGCGCACAGATGTATGAATCACATTCCCTTGTTCTTGAATATTTTTAAGTCTTTTTACAGCAGGATGGGAATATTTGCATAACACCGCGTGCTTGGGAAAAGAACACTCACCTTACGCGTGACTCGCCCTTGCGCTCTCCTCGCGCTGACCGGCGTTTGACGAAAAACGCAAAAGAGAATAAGTTTGTTTTACTTGCTAGCGCATTGCGTATAGCCTTCTTCTCAGTTTTCCTAGCGCTCTGTTTGCTTCAGACCATGAACATCAATGCTTTGTAATTTTCTTTTTAATCATGCTTTGCTATCACTTGTTCAGTCCTCACTTATCATAAAAAGGTGCTTTAGAAATCTGAGTTCTTTTTATTTCAACAAAATAAACGATACTAAAAATTTAACGAGAAAAGCTCATTGACTGTAAACGATGGGAAACGAGACAGCGAGACTCTGGGAAGAAGGCGAATCGAGATCTTTTATTCGTAGAAGCAAGGTTGATTCTCTTCCGAAAAATCTGCAGACAACACTTTTAATCTTGCCACAGTACTTTGCATTCATTATTTTCATAGTTAAGATTATCTTTGGTAATACCAACCAACATAGAACTGATTAAACTACTATATGTCAAGTGGTTCCTTTACCGGCTGTGATGAATGATTCAGTTTCATCTTTCATGGTTTATATACTTTTCAATGGACATCGTTTTTACAACCAGGTATTTACTGTATGAATGTCATAGTATGTTATCCACTGGATCCATTGTGTCTTCGCACAACGCAAAATTGGCTTCTGACGCTATTTTGTTACAGTTTATTTATTTATTTATTAGCGATATTTATGCAGGCTGACCCAGTTCAGCTTCAAGCTGGTTTGAATGGGGGCCTGCTTAGGACATATTAAGTAAAACAAAATGAATTTAGAATTATGACATGGCTAGTAAATTTGTCTAATCAAATTCAATTGCATGAGCGTGCTTCATATTCCTATTGTGTACGCTCATGACGTCTGTATACAAATCCCTCGAGAGAAAAATTTTCTCCGCGATTTTTTACTCTGGGATTTTACTTTTAAAAAACTGGTTAAGACTTCGGTGGCAATTTAAGCTAAACAAGATCGTTTACAGCGTAGCGAAATGTTTTCCTGAAACAAAATTATCAACGCGCTGAAGCGTAGCAGAGGGAATATTAACCCTTTTACAACATTTAAACCATTGGGTTGAAAATGTTATAAAACAATTGGTTCATACGTCAGCTGTGCGTTCATCGAGATATGAAGCACTTGGGAAGTTTGGAGAGCACTCAAGAAGCTAGAGTTGCTCTCGGCTACGCCTCGATTAACTCTTACAGATCTTTCGTGCTCTCCAAACTTTCCGCGTGCTTCATATCTCGATGAACGCACGCTGACGTATGAACCAATTGTTAAATATGAAATACAAAGGGAGCCCCTAACATAAATTAAAATTTACACATAAGATATGCAATATACGTTACATTACAAAGGGTACTACATCAATTCCGTAAATGAAGTTTGAGAACTTTCTTAAAATTAGGCAGTGAATTTATGTTTCGTAGTTTACTAGTCAGAGTATTCCACACCTCTGCAGCTTTGTAGCTAAAGGAACCTTGATATTTAGATGTTTTAGCCAGGGATAATCGCAGCAGGTCTATATCTGGTATTGTAGGCATGGTATTGGCGGAAAAAACTAAATTCATTCAAAAGATAGGCGGGCCCGAGACTGTGTAGGCATTTAAACACTTGTAGGCAAGTGTGATATTTCCTGTGATTTTCTAAGGAAGGTCAGTTAAAACTACTGCCTGTATTTTCTACTTAACGCCCTTCGATGATATGAGGTGTTCGCAGTTGCAATTTGTCCAGGTAGTCCCGATTTGTTTTCCACAGCCATCTCAGACTAGACGGCAGTAGTCGAATAGTGAAAGTATCGAGGAGTCATAGAATGTGATACAGGCCTCTCGAGGAATGATTTTGCGGGCTTCCCGCAGCATGCCCAGCCTAGCAGATATTTTGGAGGCAATATGGTCGATGTGATCACTCCAAGAAAGGCCTAGATCGAGCATGACTCTGAGATACTTGAACTGGTAGACCCTTTTAAAGGTCTTATCAAAAGCTGAAACAATAAAACTAGCAACTCTCGAGAGCCTTTGATGCGTTCCCACAGCATAACTTTGATTTTAGAGTATTTAAGAATGCAAGGAGGAGAGCAGAGTAGAGTAGTTAAGAAACAGATAGTTACCATTAGTTACTACCTAGCCTGCTTATGATGTTGCTTAGATCAGCAGACAGGTAAGACTCGATTTCAGAGAAATGCGGAGTGTCATCCGCATCCGCAACTTTACATACTGTTCAGCTAAAACCATTTTCAATACTTTTGAGGGGCCACGTTCTTTCCAGATTGCAACGGTCCTTCATTTTGCATTACAATTGGTACCCAATCTCCACATATCGTATTCAAAACTAAAACCAATCACGATCGATCTGGTTATGTCTGCATTTGAGTCCGTTGACATATTTTTACTTTGCGTTCCCATTGGCTCCTCGTAATGTTTAACATCTGATTAGCTGCGGTAATCATTTTGACTTTGATTACACTACGGGTCAATTTAAAAGTGTTAGAAAAGTCTAAACGTAGATTGGGTTACGCAATAAGATCGCCAAGTTTTGAGCGGAGTTCCCGAACTACAGCCGCGGCATCCCTGTTGCCAGACAAATGCAACTTCGTCAAGGTCGTGCTGCCTTTAGCTTCATCAGCTAGGACGTTAATACCACGATAACCGATGCTGTTGCGAGCCAAATACAGCTCTTTCAGAATAGTATTACTCTTAAGGGAATTAGATAAAGCGAGAGCGCCACGATCAGTAATTTTGTTGCTCGATAAATCCAGCCTTTCCAAGGAATTATTGCATTCAAGGGCAGCTGCTAAAGCAGTGGTGCCAGAATCTCCAATATCATTATCGTGCAAACCCAGGTCTTTCAAGGTTTTGTTGCATTTGAGTGCTTCAGCCAGACTAGTAGCACCAGCATCTCCAATGGAACCACCAGCCAAAAGAATCATCTTTAAATTGGCGTTCACTTGTACTGCATCCGCAAGGAAAGAAGCACCAGCGTCTCCTATTTTATTGCCAGACAGTCTCAGATCCGTCAGGGTTCCATTGCACTTAATGGCACCGGCTAGGGTGGTAGCACCAGGATGGCCAATGTTATTGAAAGACAAATCTAGTCTTGACAGAGACACGTTGCATTTCAGGGCTTCGGCCAGAGCATCAGCACCAGAGTCGAGGATGTTGTTGAAAGGTACTAACAATTCCGTCAGAGTTGTGTTGCGTTTGAGTAAACCAGTTAACGCACAGGCTCCAGGACCAAGAATCCTATTAGTACCTAAATTCAACACTCTCAGGGACGAATTGCTTGTAAGGGCCTCGGCCAGAGCGACAGCGCCTTCTTCTCCAATTGCATTGAATGAAATATGTAAACTTGTTAAGGTTGTATTGGTTTTAAGTGCTTCAGCCAGAATAACAACATCAGGATCACAAACGTTTGACCTTTCAAGAGAGACAGATTCCAGTTGAAGAAGCGAGCCAAAATCACGTGACAAGCGAGTTGGTAGATCGTTCTCCTCCTTGCATTCTTTGATGCAGTCCAATACAACCCTGAACCATCTATCTCTGACTTCATCCACCTCCTGGTTCAAGTGTGACGTTATGCTCTTGACTAGGATCACCGTTGTCTCCTCGCATCGTGCTGATAAGATACCAAAGACAAATGGAAGGACTTCTTTCAACTGTTGGATGAAACACTTGTCAACAGCTACTTCGCTGGGGCTGATTTCCTTCGCAATCAATCGACGACTCAGATAGTACGCGGCAAACCATTCTTGAAAGCTCTTGTGAAGGAAAGCATAACGCCGGCGCGGTCTTAATTTGCTGCCTCCAGGCTGAACGGAGAGAAACCCAAATCCAGGTAAGTCACTTTTGTGATTTCCAAGCTCACTTTCGTCAAAGTCCAAGTTGTCTTCGAGCAAACCGTTAAGTGCTATCCCGCCAAGGTGCTTCAGTTGGGTTCCGTACTTTTCAATGAAGTCTTCGCCGTTTACTGGCAGTTGTTTCTTTAGCTTGTATCTTCTTAAAACACATTGCACTATTTCCACATACAGCTCCGTTCTACTATCTGGGAAGACCCCTTCAAAGTCCTCACAAACCAGGCAAAAAAGTGCGGTGTTGAGAGGATTTGCCGCCATGTCTTTCAACTTTTTATCTTTTCCAATCTCTTCGATGAGAGTTTTGGCCAAATTCTCCCTTGTTTTGAAGTATTTGGTGATAAAGTTTCGCGCATCCTCTTCAGTGAACCCTTCAACCTCCAGCAATGTGTCACAATGTCTTCTAACTTGAACTCCAGCTTCGTGTCGCGCTGTAACAACCAGGTAACACTTTGGAAGAAGTCTTCCTTGGATGATTTCGGCAAACATTGGTAGTTTACTCACAGAAACTTCATCCAATCCATCAAGGACCAGTAGAACCGCAGACTGATTGCGGCGAATGAAGTTGAAGAATTTCTCCTTTTCGGCCTCATCGATATCTCGAGGAAGAAGCTGATCATCAATAGCCGCCCATAGGTCTCCCTTCATATCGCGACATTTGATGAACAACACGATTTTGAAGCTTGGTAGGAAGCCACCTGTTTCTTGCTTTCCAATCGCCCAACCATAAACAAGTTTCTTGCAATATGTGGTTTTTCCCATACCGGGCTTCCCCTCAATTAACGATGTTCTTGGATTCTCACATTCTTCGTGCGACTTGAATATTTCAGACATGGTAACAACGTGTCCTGTGGCTTTCCCTCCTGCTTTCGTTCTGCTTACCACTCTGAGTCTGGTATAGATATCACCAAGATGAAAACAAAAGTCCTCGCACCACGGAAATGGTGCCAACCATCCATCGCGGACTTTGTAAAGTTGTCGTATTCCATCGATCAGTTCAGTTGGATCAAAATCATCTGAAAGAAGAATTTGGCTTTTTTCAATATGCTGACATACGTTCCACGAGCTTTTACAAAATCTGTCCAGCACTACCTGTCCAGCACTACCTGTCCAGCACTACCTGTCCAGCACTACCTGTCCAGCACTACCTGTCCAGCACTATCTGTACAGCACTTTACATATCCACAAAGACCACGAAGTGGTGGAATAGGGAACCAGCAGTTTACAATACTCTAAGCATTTCGTCTGGTAACCCGGTTTTCCTCGGGGCATTCTAGGTTACAACACAATTAGCTTGTATGTGTGTATAAACCAATCATACACTCGACTGCAAAAAAGTACGTGGATATTTCAAATGAATGAATGACCCCAATTACGCGTGACTTCGGTTACAGTGACCATACCAATTATTGTAACATAGTCACACAACACGGTAACCACAAATTATTTTGAGACAAAGTCACATCTTACATAATCATTTCTCAAATACTTCGCCTGATTCCTGTACGCCACTTTCAAACCTCTTAAGTTCACAGATAATAAGAAAGAGTATATAACGTTCTGATAACGGTACTAAATGTTTCGAAGACTGACCTTTAGCTTGCTTTGATCCAAGGATGGCATCTAACTTTTCACTGACGTTTTTTACTTGTTCTTCAACATGTTCAAGTTTTCCTTTAATGATCGAGAATGTTTCCATGTTGATAAAGTCGGCAAAGTTTCACTACATTCATAATATCTTTAAATTAAAAGTTCTGTATGGTTTTTTATGAAAACGTGTGAGAGAATAAAATTTGAAAGGGGAAATTGTGAAAATGGGAAGAGCGATACCTCTGAAATGAAATCTGATCGTTTTTCTTACGATGTAGTCACTTCCGATATGGATCGTGACGTTTCACCTGCTTACTGTGAGTCTCCTTGACCACCTGAAAAGACCAACAGGGGGAATTTGAAAGGTCGCGAAAGTGACTCTATCGCAGGACAAACGATTACGTTCACATTTTTATTAGTGTCTTTAATGCAAACTTTTTCACAACATTAACCGGGATCTATGGAAATGTCCGCATTCACCGAATAGCCAAGCTATCCCCCACCACTTCACCTTCATGAGGTGTAAGACTATTTTACATGTACTTGTATCCTACACAAGAGCAAAAAAAGCCTGCCCTGCTCTGAACGCACCTCTCGTACATTTAAGATACTTTTTGGCAGAGTATCAAATATGTATGCAAGCTGTCGCATTTTACTTCCTAAAAATCGCCTTCGTTATTTTTTCAGAGCCCTCAACCCTACAACAACTACTTTTGTAACATACCTTCCACTTCTTCAAGCTTTTCTTTAATGTTGTCCTCATCTTTTTTCCACATTGATAGCAACTCCTTGTAGTGTTCCTCCATATCAGGATCCATACTTTCATTCTTGAGCTTGATAATAGCTGCAGCGTACTTTGCTCCTCCTAATCCAACTATTGCATCACCGATATCCTGCCATAAGGTGTTGAATGTGGTGTCATCGACTGCAGCCTGCTCAGCGTGACCGTATGTAGTATTTCGGTAAAACTTCACCCTGGCTATGTTAGCTGATGCACTGCCTTCTGCTACAGGAGGAAGACGGTCCCAGCCATTGATAGGAGGACTAAGACCACAGATATTCCTCAATAGCACCACTAAGAGTGTGATATCAAAGCTAGCTGATGAAACAGAAGCTGTAACGACAGGGAACAACTTCCCCCATTGTGTGGGATTAATAACTTTCTTCTTCCGAAGAGACTGTAGTTTTGCATGTTCTGGGTGACGAGCCAAAACTTTATGGAGTCCTTCCGGCGAATGTATACCATCAAATGTGTCTCTTAAGACCTGGGACCCGACATCCACCAGAAGACGACAAAGCCGTGCATAGTTTGTTGTCTCCTTGGTTGAAGCCACTGAGGGAGGACCAGAAGCCATCCGCTGGTTAACAAATAATACCACACAAATTGGTTAGCTTAACCTAATTTTGTCCCACACTGAAAATGGTACATATCTTAGAGCAATCATTAAATCTTATTGCAGACAACTTCCAACCTTTAAAAGATATTTGATACTGGATCATGTACCCACCACGCTACTCTTTAATTTGTAAATCAAACATTATCGCACAGTCCACAAACTCAAAGGCCGGTTATTGAAAGAAAACTTTAACCTTTTTTCATCCAAACCACGTTCTAAACAATCTTAATTCAAGCAGAAATATCACCTATACTTCACGTTTTCGCAAAAACTGTCTAAAAGGCTTCTTTTCAGGACTTAAAGAAAGATCTAATTACTTCGAAGATCTTATTTAAGTGGAACTTTCGAAGTCCATTGATCGTCAAATTAGACCTCGTTTCAATTGTTGTAAACTGATTTAATTGGAACAACAAACCCTCTCTCGCTTACACAATTATTCCGACTGAAGAACAGTTCGCTTAAACCTTTTGTCTAAATTGATTTCTCTTTTTGTGTAATATAAACTTATTTTTGTCGTAGTGCTTGATGAAAATCACATCTAGACGACACGTCTTAAAAAATGTCAATCTTAATAACACGTTCTCTTGTTTCGTAACGACATTGTACAACGTCACGACACAATAAAAACCAAAGTCTCTTAAATGGATGCATATAACCCAAGTCCTAAAACTTCCACTAATATTGGTCAGAAATCTCGGTCACATTTTTTCAGTGAAGATTACATTTACTTCATTCCCCCTCTTCAATAGGAAAAATAATGAATCAAAGCTAGTTTTATTTGCCGAGAAATTTAATACATTTAATAGATTATGCCTATCGCTCACGGGCACGTTCCTCATCAATGAACGAGAACTCAACCTAAATTTATAATTTATGCTTGGATATGCCACGCATTAATTAAAAAAACCATTCTATGAAAGTTCTATCACTACTTGAACGATGCTTATTAACTACATTTGTGTGAACAGTCGAAATATTTTGGGACAGTGTGAGCACACTTATTAAATCTTCCGCTTTCAGTTAGGTAGAATGTTTGGCAGCCTTACATCATCACTAAAAACATACCTGATCGAGAAATTGCACTCAGATGAAGTAAATCTATCGATGGTTCATTGTTTAGGAACTCATTAGCAACGATATAAAAATATTTCCCAGCTGTTTCTTTTGATGCATAATGTATGTCGATTAAATCTTGTGAAGGATTACTGTTTGAGGGATTTGCTCGAATAACAATTGAAACATTCTGCTTACCCAATGAACTGAAACCTCCCTGTCAACTACAGCCAGCAAATAGAATTTGGAGAATGTTCGATTCTCGAAGCTATCGATGAAAGAAAACGATGGTTTCTTGCATGTATATAAAACGAAATCTGGCGCTTGCCCTTTCGTCAGTGGTCGGTGACGGTCTGTGACGGTTTGGCTTTTGCGCCTGCACTCACTTTGCCCAGAGGAATAATAAAAACCCAGTCAATATAGCTTAAGTACCGTAACAAACAAGTACCGACTTGTTTCGTTCCCTGTTCGGAAGCTTTAATTTGCTTGCGTAAGGTGCCTACCTGTTGCCACAAGGAAAATGGACCACGTTTGTGATTGAAGAAAAGATCTTTGGTAGTTAGTGAGGCCATATCAAGTTTTTCCGCCCTCTATTATTATTACTGAGCGTGTGTATTCCTCATGACTGGGTTTAGTTTTCGGGGTCTCGTTTCAATTGGCCAGCAATTTCATTTTGCAATGACATGTGACACAAATTGTAGAGGCAAAATTTATCATTGTGTTATGTCAAAGCGACACGGTAAATTTGTCCGCCTTTAACTGCATCAAGTTTCACGAAAATGTCAGCTACCCAATCGAAGTCGAGAGACCACAAATGGAAAATGACTTTTTTATTCGGCTTTAAACTTTATGTCACAGATAAACATTACTTTTCAGAAATCACAATGCTGCATACTTCCGCTTGAATTACAATATCTCTGGTGGTGCCCTCTCACATTTATGTGAAGAAGAATGGATTTTACATCTACATACGACGACAACAAACTAGGAGTACATTGAATTACTTGCGCTAGTTACATTAATATACGCGCAACGCAAATATACAGTATTTAAACCTACTTACAGAAGAATGTACGTACAGATGATAGCATACCTACTCTTTTACCTTACAAACCGCTTCTAACAATTTTTTAAAACTTATAATACAAAGAGCACTACCAACACTAATCGCTACATTATCACATCTTACGTCACGTCGCCGTTAAACACACGTTAGGTTTAGTAAAGTAACCATAAGCGTCGATCGTGGCTCTGAAAAATTCTTTAAGTTCATATTTGAATATCACCTTACAAAAATTACATATTACTGAATAAAGGGGGTAAGTTTTTAAAGAACCCCCTCCATTGGAGAGGGTATTACAGGATAGAACGGTTTTATTAACTGAGTTGATAATGTAAATTGGCCACCGTAAAGAGTTATTGAGGCTGACGTTTCTAATGCTAACACGGTGGCCAATTTGAGAAAGTGAAACCAGCGCTTAAGGTTTAATAAGGGCCTTCCACCATCCCCTCCCCGGTTCATCCCAGATCTGAAATAAGCGCTCTGTACAATTATTCGAGGATCTATGGTAAACTAAACTCCTGAGCAGTCAGTCATCGATTTCAATATACACCACTTCACTTTGGGTTTTGAAATCTTCTCCCGTCACAAGTTTGCCCGCCACGTAAACCTGTCGAATGTTCCTGTCATCTCCTACAATAAGAAAACAACAGTTACTTTATTGTTACAAACACATGTGTTCCGATTTTTTCATTTTTTCGCTACAGAAACTTGAAAGGCACTTTCGGAAACAACCGGAACTAAGCAACACAGAAAAATTTTAAAGTAGGATTCGTCGCATAGAGTGCGAATAATCAATAATGACACTTTTAATTCATGTAGGTACATTTTAATTTAACAAGTATTCTACTCATTTCATTCTACGTTAATAATTGGAGTTTTACTTTCGATACTTGAAATTTTCTGTTTAACTGACTGACTGCCTCTCCTACTTCGTACTCACGACGATCAATAGGTTAAAATTTAACTTAAAGTAATCAAGTGAGATCAAATTGTCGATCTTACTCACCAAGGTAAAGAAACTTTTGGACTGCATCCTGAAAAAAAAAAAAGAAAAAAAAAAAGAACAGATCAACATATCTTTTTAAATACCATTTTGTCTTTCATTCAATTACAGTTCCTAATAAGGATACACAAGCGCAACATTTAGTCGCGTCACTCGTCTCTGTCGAACGATACAAGATACGCAAGAAGATGATGCAGCAAGCCAACCCTTGCCATGCGCGGGCTCTTTTCCCGAACAGTGGTTGGTCATTGAGCCTCGAAAGCTCAGGATAACTTCCAACTGATACCAGGGGGGGAGGGGGTAAGGGGGTTACTAAAAAGAAGTATCAAGCCCGATTTCAAAATACGCAAGTACGCAAAAAATAATTAATGAAATTAATGAGTAACTATATTTAAACGAGAACATACCAATACAATACAAAGGACGTGAAATATTTAAGTCACTGACGGTGCAAGTGGACAAACTACGGCTGATTTAAAACGCTGAGAAACGAAAAAAACTATCTTTCACAATCAGTAGAACGTCAAAAATGGATAACTCCTACCTTTGAATCATCTGCATCAAAACAATCAAACGGGGAATCTGGAACTTCCACGTCAATTAATAATGCATCGAAATCTTTGCCGACCTAAATAAAAAAGTTAAACACAACGTCAAGCTTCTTCATCGGGAAGTGTTCGTGAAAATCGGTAGGTATTACGCTTCACTTTACCTCAAAATTTCCTATTTTGTCGTCAAGTCCAAGCACTACAACGGAATTAAAACACATCACTTGATAAAGATTGCCATGGACTACCGCAACAATGACAGACATTTCATAGGACTGAAAGGGAATCAAGTTCGAAATTGTTTTCCGCTGAATTTTCATGCCCTCTTCACAATCCTGCTGAAATCCTCGATAACAGTAAATTCTCCTCTAGGAAACACATGGAAAATGCGAACCAAAATTTTAGGCTTTGCAATTGGAGTATCATTGAAAAGGACTGAAAAAAACAAAAACGAAAAGCTGGAGGGAGATTTAATGATGCATGAATCACCTTGACTACCACCTAAAGTAGCAAGAAAGAAAGCTTCTTCATAAGTTAGGGCTGTGAATTCCTCAGATTTGCCAAAACTGATTACATTGGAGGCTTTGACACAATCACGAATGGCTACCAACATCGATGGTGATTCTCCACCAGAAACATCTGTTGAGTAATTAAAAAAATTAAAAAGGCATTCATCAATAGAGTCAATTTTCCCTCTAAAGTTCATTTCCTTCACGTCTGCACTGTCCCACATGTTCTACTTCTTGTACAGCTGTGAAAAATAACACTTGCTAAATTTCGATCAATTTGTGTCCGTATTTTCTACTCCTTGTTATTTGAGTTGAACCGTTTCATTCCAAGACCAAATCTTTCGTGTAATTGTCAGTTCTTTTCCCTTTCTGTCATACATTCATAAAAGCTTTAAGAATTTGGTGTTGAAGCAGACAGGACTTCCTAGTTTCGATTTTACCATCTTCTCGTCAACTTTCTGCTCGATGTATACAGATATTGTTAAGAAAACTCCTATTCTGTCACTCTAGGGAGATAAGGATTCTATCCAGGAATGGGGAGAAGGGAAGTATTGGGGTCAATTTTTGCTGGGTATGTGCTGCTGGCCTCTCATAACCCATTACAGTCTATTCTGTGGCCGATTATACACCCCTTTTTAACCGCAAATCTTCCAAAATTTTCTTACCCTCAAAATCCCTATAATAAACCCTACTGCATTAACTCTATTAAAAAGGTAACCTCATTACAGTTAATCCAGTTGTGAATATGCGAACCCATCCAGCGGCACATCCAAATTAGCCTATAACTAAGAAGTACCCCCACCCCATAAAAATCACTCCCGTGATTTTATATTGGTTTCTACATACCAAGTAGTTGGGAAATAAAAATTTACCTGTCCCTAATCCAACTTTGATCTTTTTGTTCAAGTAGTGTCTGATATCAGCCACACCGCTTCGAATGCTACAACAAACAAAGGTAGAACTTATCGGAACTTGAAGTTGGCAAAAGAGAACCCTAGGAATTGTCAATAGCAGTTCATAGCAAAAACTTATAGGGAAAAAAAACAGTCTCGGATACCACATATTCCACACACTCAACCAAGCCTCAAACTTAATTACAGTCTGAAATTACTGCGCGAAATTTCAGGTAAATTGTCCCTCGACATTTCGTGTCCCAAAGCCTACACAAAAGTCTCCACGAAAATTCGACAAAATCGCTACAAATTTTCGACGTTAACTTCTAAAATACGATGCTCGTATTACATATGCACAATTCTATATTAAAAGCTCTGCTGGCTGTTCTTTAACCTTTTTCTTCAAAAAACTCGGCTTCAAGGTTATGACCAACCCCACATTAGCCTTGTTAACTTTTAGCTTCATGATATTACTCACTTAAAATTGGATGTCGGACAATGAGCGACGGCAGAATTTCTTTCTAACATAAGATTAATTTCCTCTTCTGTGGAGTGGCAGCAATGGGCCATATATGTCTGCAAAAGAATTCATAAATACCGTCATAACAAATAAAGTAATACATAACCTCCAAAAACTTTTTACTGATCTATACTAGCTAGTAATTTATTATTATGATTATTACTATTACAAGAATTATTATCACTGTATCTATAATGAAAGTGATAATTTAAAACCTTGTTTCACAGTTTATAACAAAGGGAGCAAAATTACTAAATGCTCATTTACTCACCTTACCATTAAGAAGATTATGCCTATCATACACTGCAGTATAGCTCTCATTTGGAAATTCTTCTTTAACCAACGATATTTCCTTTTTATTTTCATTCAAGTGACTCTTAAGGAAAAAGACAACAGAATTAATAAATTTTCTTTGAAATTTACACTGATATGGCATCACAACTCTTAATTGTGCGAGGACTTTTTTTTAAGGATATTCAAACTCTTTTATAATCTTCCAACATCTGATTGTTTATTCTTCCTTCTAGTTACTGCACATTTTCTTGTAAACTAGTCACAATAATTTGGTGTTAGACTAAGATGACAACTTCCTCCTGATAAGTTTGGACATTTTCATTATCTGTTTGACAAATCATGTGTGGATATTAGAGGGAGGAGTTACATGTTAATCACTCCTAGGAGCAAAAATACCATCCAAGCAGGGACAAGATGCACCAAGGGAATCAAACAACATGTTATGCCAAGTTGATCAACTGAAGCTTTGCTGGAGCATTGAGAGATGAGCCTCCTTCAAAGTGCATTCACTTCACTCCACATGTATTTAACGTACAATGCACAATATTACACCTCTCTGGCAGTACACATGTACTATACATTACACCACTTAAGTACTACAAAAGGAAGCTAATTTTGAAGTTTAAGATGTGTTATCATTGCTGAAAACTAAATCTGGAAACCTATTGCCCCAGACTTAAATTCACATTTTTCTGTATTGAAAGTAAAGAAAAATTTTCAGACATGGCTTTGAGCACTGTTTAGTTCCTGATTTGGATTAACTGACCTGTATGGGGAGGTTGTAATTCTTTGCAAGACTCCCTAACTTCTTCATCAGATCTGAGGTGCAACTCAGAACAAACCTTGGAGTGATGACAGGAGTAATGAGTGGATTCTAAAAAAAAAACAAGAATTAATGCAGTCATCAGAATGAGTATGAATGTGAACAGCAGAAGACAGTCACAGTTCACTAAGTTCTTAAAACTTCAAGCATTCATTTCAAAGTACAGATGGGGATTGCACCAAGAGGCCACAGTGTAATCTGGCCAGAGATTATCTTAATTTCCAAAGCATGAAGTGACTTGGACTATTTTCACTCCACTAGAATGCAATGCTAGTCCAACCAAACTTGGCTCCCCCCTTCTCCTGACACTTGGCCAATATTTATTTATGCTCTGGGGAGGAGATATGCCATATGAGAGGAAAGTGCTTTGCTCAAGAACAGAACATATTGACTGGCAAGACCTTGAACCCCATTCTTTTGAGCTAAATTTCAGTGCTCTAGCCACTATGCCAAGTAATTATTCTACTAAAATTATTGTAATGTTGTTCAGGAGAATTTGGTTTTGGATCAATGAATAATCTCCTCATGGATTGTTTTTCTTTGTTCTCATCACCTGTCTGCTTGATATTGTATTGATGTTGTAAGGAGTAATTCTGTTTTGGTCACTAATGGGTGTCAAAGGGTATGGAAAATTACAGAACACTAGCTTCTTTTAATGCTTATGGGTGTATGTGTGTGTGTGTCTGCAGAGAAAGAATACAGTTTGTGATATCTGTCATTTCCAAATGAACATCACTTTTCATTCTGCAATTCTTCATTGCTAGTTTCTTTTCAGGGATTTTTTTTGAGGCACCCCACCACATCAGGGAAGCCAAGTTGCTGCTATCTAGAGCTACTTCTGCAGTCATTCCTTTCAAATTTAGAAAGTTCGTTGCTACATGTACATGCATTCGTGTTTTTTACTTTTTAATTACCTTCATCCCTAATATATAGGTAATAATCCTGCCAAAACAAAAAATTGAAATAAACATTCATATCTTTTTCACAACCAGTGTTTTGCTTTGTACTAAAATATAAGTGTATGTATCAACATATCTGTTACAACATACTATATTTAACCCTAAAAAACATGATAGAGTTAGTAGGACAGAAATATTAGTAGTACTGGCTACCTGAAGTAAGCCTTTTTACAGGGTTAAACATGCTTTCTAACCAAGTGAGTTAGTGACGAGACAGAATTTCCCCTTACACCCCTTACCATAATAACACAATACCAAGCAGACAAATGGAGAATATAGAAAAATATTTGTTGATCCAATACCAAATTCTTTAACTAAAATCATAAGAATTATATGGCAGACACTAAGGAGAATTACTAATGAGATCATAGGAGTGAAAGGGTTACCTAAAGACAATTTACCTGTCAGCATTCTTAACTGAGTCCTCTGTTCCCTCAATGTAGTAGTTTGGACTGTTCCTGTCCATACAAACTTTTCCTACATATGCTCTTTGTCCAAGTTCAGCTGTTCAAATTCGGCATATGCATTGTGTAACAGAAAAAAATATTTTTTGCTACTTTACAAACATTTTAATGACACTCAACATCATTTAACTCTTACTAATGGCATCTGCTAAATTTAAATGCACCAAGTGACACATTGCAATTGTTACAAAATTCACATGATCCTAAACACAGTAAATATATATATTAATTAAATGATCAATAAGCATGCATGTACCTTCACTCAAAAAGAATGGAAATCTATATTCATAATGAAAATTTGATAAAAATTTGGGATTAAGGGAACAACAGAAAATGTAATGAATTGGTTCAATAAAAATCTAATGATCTAACAGTCTTTACTGCTAAATAATAACTAAGGTATGCTGGGTTCATTTTAGGCTGTCCCAGACAAAGTTGAAACAAACTTATAGTGTAGTTGTCTGTCCTGCATAAGCACCACACTTTCAGATGGCAGAGCTCTGGAAATTCCAGACATCATTAATTTTTTTTTTTTGCTTAGAAGCAGGGTTCATTTAAGGACAGCACTTAATCAGGGGACAGCATTTTACAGATTTAAAGTAGAAAATATGGTACTCCTGATCACTACATCAGGGTTTGTACCCTTTCTCAGAGAAAAAACTTCAAGGAATTTTCTAGGACGTTTCCTGGGCTCAGATTGATTTTTCCAGCACCCTTTCAATCTTCAAAATTTCAAAATAAATTCTCATTACCTGCCACACACATTATTTCTAAAATAAATTCTGAAAACTTTTTTGCTTGAGTTAAGCAGATTAATCCAGGACTTTCCAGACCAATAGTCTTTTCCCATGACTTTCAAGATTTTCCAGAACCTGTACAAACCCTTACTACATGCTACAGAAACTGGAAAAAGCTCCTAAGGGACTCACCCTTTCATACTGACCTATAACATCACAGAGGACTGCTGTAGCATCATAGTGAATAGTTGCAAAGTATGATGCAGTGGTTGTTCCATTCTTGAGTAACCTTTCCTTGATCATGTTACATATAAAAAAAGATATTCAGGTGTCTGGGTGAACAAGAATATTGAGTTATTTTCAAGTTTCATTATTATCTCAAAGCAAATCTCTACACCTTAAGGTGCTTGATTGTATAAAGATGTCTCCATAAAAATGCCATGTGACAATACCAGCTACAGGTATGGACATTATTTTAGCTAAAGCCTTCAACTAAACAAGCCTTCCACAAGCCAAAATGCAATCTTTATTTCCCCTTCCAATTAGAGTTTCTTGATAATAATCCTCATTTCTCACTCAAGATATCTGAATGTGAAACAGAACTTGGCTATGAAACTGTTTGAATAATGATTAATTTCTGGAAAGTAAAAACCTACCAAAAAAAAACTAGTAGTAATTAAAAACTGCTCCAAGCTGTGTTTGTTTTCCAAAAAGACTATCATACACAGAATTTATTTATTTACCCACTATTGGTCATTTTGGAAGATTTTCCAAAATGACTGATAAATGCTAAATATAAATAAGTGAATAGAACTCACCACAACTTTTCTGTATGCATTCTGAGCAAATTCTTTGTTTGCAAATCTTGCTTCAGAGGGAAATGTATACTTTTCAAGCCACTGTAGGAGAGGCACATCATAGCCTGTTCCAGTGAATATATACTGTGGAGCATGAATATGAGTATCAACTAATCCAGGCATCAAAAACTGTCTAAAAAAAGTCATAACAAAGAAACATTTATTAACATTCAAGTGTACAGCAATGTCTGCCATATTCCAAAAGATTCTGCAAGTGACCCTCAAAAGAGTTAAAGGGATTTAATTTCTAATGAAACTGTGATGTTATTAATAGTACAAGATAATTCAGTTTTCCCAACTGAGTTGATAACATGAATTAGTCATTGTAAAGGTTTTCTTAAGCTGATGTTTTGAGTGTTGGCCTACGTTAGAGCAAATCTGCTCTCTGAGGATTTCATTGACAAAGGACTTGCACTTGAAACATCAGGTTTAGAATTTCTTTACAGTGACCGATTCACATAATTACCTTAGCGTTGATAAAAACAACTTACTATGAAAGGGGTACCATCACAATGAACAACTTTTCAGTCACTATAACAGACAATGGTCCTTCTCAGGATTACACCCACCCCAGTAATCAGACTATACAATAACAATCTGTCAGATGTTACAATAAAAAATCTGCAGTGTATTTGGAATAAAAACAAGATGGAAGAATATTTGCACTTGGGGATATTAAATAGACTCTCTTCATCACAACATGCTGATGTTTTTTCGAATGAAAGTGCAAATTCTTAGATTGCACTTACTCTTGCCTCAAATAAAACTTTTAGCAAATCCTTTCCCGAAAAAGTTATCACATTTTTATGTATGAACAAAAATCGATGAAAAAAAATTATTACTCTACCTGTTCTCTTTTAGGGTGATTACATCTCTCTCATGAAATCCAAACCTTTCAGCAAGTTCCTCCATACAAGAAGCATTATCAATAAAAACTATCTAACAAGAAAAAAAAACACTTTCAGTTATAAAAGTGAGCAGCCCAACATTAACCATATACATACATACATACATACATACATACATTTATTGCAACTCCTGAGCTAGATTTTTCAGTTACAAAGCCTACATTAAAATTATTGTAATATTATAGTCACATTGTATTGGCCTAAAAATATATATAAGTGAAAACTAAGGCTAGTACAATATAAATACAAAAGGCCAGTACATGTTAAAAACACCAGTGAACTAAAACAAAAATTAGACAAGAATAGAAGATTGAAATGATTCATCTGTGCGTGACATTTCCACTAAGGAGTGCATTCAGTAGGCGGAGCCTAAAGGCGTTTACATTCTCAGCTGCTTTAACCATTTGAGCCCTTTGAGACCTAAGAGTGACTATCATTGAATTTCTCCTTAAATATCATCCCCAAATCACACATTAAGGGCACAAGAATAAAGGAAATAATCACCAACTAAAGAAGCTTGTGATTCTTAAATGAATTCTCCTTGTCAGCAGCTTAGAAAATGCATAGTGAACAGTATGGAGAATAAGCATACTGATGTTAGGGTGTAAAGGGTTAAACAGAAATGATGATGCAGGCTTTGCCCCTCATCTACAATAAATGATAGAAATTTCCAGCAGCCAAGTAGTGACAGTACACTGGTACCCTTAGAGAACTGTTCGTGAGCTCTGATTTTTAGGAGAAGCTTTCCCTTCTTCAACTGTTCCTAGAAGGCAATTCTAGGTGATTTGCCTTCCTTTCAAAATTGGAAGTGCAAAGCATTCAACTCCATGACAACAACGTTACCATCTTCCGCCATGTTATTTCAATTGACTTCATTGTGCATTTACCATCCACGACGAGCTACAATAACTACTCAGACAAAGTCTATAAACAAAGAACTTTTAGGAAAGTTAAGCAAGAAGGCCAGAGTCGTGAAAGAGGGCGGCAAATTGCTTTATAGGTGATGCGTGATTAAGGCCAAAATTAATATGTAACACGTGAATTTTACAGAAAAGCGAGCGTGATTCGGGAATTTATGAACCAGTGTGAGGCGTGGTTTGCCTCTGAAATATACGTTAGTCGTGAATTTTTTCTTTCATTTCGTAAAAACCTTTGGGTTTCCGTGAAGCCTTCCGCACGAGAAGAGAGATTTGAAGTTTTCCTTTTATATTCGTGACGCGTGAATTTGCGTGAAAAGGGATTATAATTAATTTAAGAAAATGATCGACACTTTTAAAATTAACAAACATTTTTCAACAGCTCTTCTGTCATCTTTAGCGCTGAATAACACAAAGTACAAAGTTGAATTTAAAGTTTGTAACAAAATGCTGATTGGACAAAACAAACAATAGAAACAGAACACTGTGTGCACTGTAAATGTAAAATTTAACGAGAACCGACTTCTCAATGGGAGCGAGAAATAATTTACCTTCCCGTCATTATCAACTCCTATAATCCTCTTTGGACATATTTCCATTCTATTGGCTGCAGTAGAGTGCACAAGTGTTCCCGAAAATACATGTTTTATGCTCAACCGCGATGTTCTGCGATTTGCCTCCGCCATCTTGAATTACAGTTCGAGAAGGACTAAGACAGAGGAAGAATGGGAATTGAACTTGTACTCAGGCTCTTTCGAATAATTTTTTATAATATAACGCGCCCTGTCATTGATTGGAAGAGCGTGCCCTATCCGAGTACAAGACACCGAGCTGAGCTAAAGCTGTCACGTCATCTGCCAATCTGTCGTCGAAAAAGGCAGAAGAAATCGAACAGCTAGAACCAGCAGAGGGTCTACGAGAGATGGAACAACTGTTGCCCGCACCAGCACCGTTAAACATCGATGCTGCAAATCTCTACAGCCAGTGCCAGAGAAACTGGGTTGGTGCCTTTGAGCAAGATTCGATTTCACTTTGCTCAATTTTTCAGTCCTTTATAATCAGCTAACTCGAGCCCCTGCTAACTTGAACTGTTTTTTTCCTCCCTTAGGAGTTCGAGTTAGCAGGTTCTCCCGTAATCCTTTTATGCAGGTATTTTTGCCCAAGCAGAAATGACAACCTTCCTGAACAGCATCAACTTTACATACTTATAGCACATATTCAATTTTGCAGTTTTCCAGATAAAAAGGAAAGTTACCACACCATTACAAAAGAATTAAAAGCCACTGAAAGGTTGCTAAATTCTTGTAATTTTGAGTATCTTGCCACAACAGCGCCAAGCGTTTTGGTCAAAGCAAATGCGAATAAACGGAAAAAGGGTTGGGAAATGTAAAACACACAATGTAAGAGAAATCGATCAGATTGTCCGCGAAAATCTCATCAGAAATTATACTTAATACTTTCTAGGTATCACAGGAGAACGTATTTAAAAGTTTGCGACGTTCGCACAAAACATAGTGGTTGCAGGCGTTAATATGTCACTTCAAACGTTAGACGAGATGTAAGCTTAAATCGTCCTAGATTTCTCGTGTAATTTGCTGTGAGTGAAACTTTGCCAATCCCGTGAAGTTATTTCGTCGCACAGGCCACGCAGGTATGTCAAGCAACTGGCGCTTACGCTTACGCAGCTTTCTGTGCGCGTCAAAATCAATTCTCCTTCGACTAGTTGTTTAGGGAAGGTTCGGGGTTTTTTTTTACGATTAGTGTGAATAATCCGAGTGAAAATGTTTCAGTGAAAATGTTTCAGACCGTTGTCGAGTATGCTCTTTCGTTTTTATCAAAATTAAGAGAAAAAGAAACCTTAAAGGCGAGTTTATGAAAATATTTAAGGAAGTTTTCAATAAAAAAGTTCTACCAGACAATGGTCTTCCGCGTGCAATTTTCGACACTTGTCGCTATAGAATTGAAACATCGTGGAAACGTAATTGTAACTGGGAGGTGACAGACTCCAAAAAAAAACGGTATGCCTTTGTCCTGGCAGCAGCTGAAAAGATTACGCTCTTTCCAAACCCCGTCGGTAATTGTCCGAAAACATCTCTCCTTCCCACAATGTTCTCGATTGTAAGTTTTTGTTCAGATTTTAATTTGCTATCTGGAAACACAGCTAAACTCTCCATAAGCGCTTGCTGGAGGTCGTCCACAAACGTAGCGTTTTCTGCAATCTTGGCCATACTGTGAAAGACTTTATTACTGTGTAGGGGTTAGATTTTGGCGCGCACAGAAAGCTACGTAAGCATAAGCGCCAATTGCTTGACATACCTGCATGGCCCGTGCGACAAAATAACTTCACGGGATTGGCAAAGTTTCACTCACAGCATTAAGTATAAGTTATTAAGTATAATTTTTGATAGGATTTTCGTGGACAATCTGATCGATTTCTCTTACATTGTGTGCTGAGACAGAAACTTTTCACCTCTAGCAAAGCTTCGTCGCACGGCTTAAACAAACAAGGCTAGCAACTGAGCTTCATGTACATGTCCGTGTTAAAACACATGAAAGGACTCCAAAGCATACTTCACTCTGAATCGCTCTGACGAAGGGCTAACGCTCGAAACGTCAGCTTTTTTACCCTTTACGGTGGCTAATTTACGTTTTCAACCCAGTTGTTAACACTAAATTACCTGCTATACTCTCCCACCGACGCAGCACCACAGTTTCTTTAGAAACTTACCCCTTTATTCATACTTCACTCTGATTGGGCACCTCGGCCAACCGAGCTCGAAGTCTGTACTTTAATTAACAGGCTGAGCTTTTTGCGCTCAGATTTATGGCCTAGGTGCAAAGGGTGCTGGGATCCATCATGCTGCGTGCCATCATGGTAAGCCCTCCTTGAGTTGTAATCTTTGGATGATAAATCAGTTTTACAATATCATATGACAACCGACCTCGATATCATGTGACTACCTGTTCATCAAGTCTCATCAGGGAATGTTGTGGCTTGTTCCAATTTTTCATAAATAACTTCTGTTTCTGAAAATAAATCAAATGTCATTTTTCCAACTATGAAATTTATCTGAAAGGTGCTGATTTGACAACGGCGACAGAAGGCTACGTTAACGCTTTACCAGCAATTAAGTTTCATTCTCATTTTATCCCTGTTTTGTTTTTATACCGCAGTTAATTTCTGTGTTTGACGCAGGATTGATGAAGAATTTGGTAAGTTTAGACACTCTAGTTCTGATGAAGAAATCTCACATGGTTGAATTACCATATGACCCGCACGGCCCCACGCGCTTTTGGTTATTATACTTGGCAACAATTCCCGTATAAGGACCACACGTGATAGCGTTAGCAAGGAAGGAAAATCCGAAGAGAAAGAAAAAGCTTATTAACTGAGTTACGTTGGGTCATGTACTAAGTTCATTTCCAAAACAGTTGAGAATAACTGAGGTAATCACATGACCCGTTTGGCCCTGCGAGCATGATCCTGTAGAAAACCACAGTGAAAGCTGACGAGTGCAGGGCCGAAAAGGTTGACTGGTGCCGATCCCAAAAGGCCGCCGTCCGGCCCTGCGCTCTCACGGTTTTGTAGCAAAAACCTAAAGGAAAAAAGAAAAGAGTAATAAAGTCGTATTTTTCGATGAATTGTGAGTCTCTTGTTCTGACTTGAAAAACAAAGGAAAAGTTTTAATTGCAGAATACTTTTTGTGGTTGTCCCGCGTTTGCCCGTGTATCGCGTCCTCTTAAGTGGTCATATGATAAAATGCTCATTGACTGAGTTTGCTCGGGCTGGACGGTAAAATATTTGGCTCTAGGTCATGACTCAAGGCATTGATAATATGTATCAAACTTTCAAATTCCGTTTTATTTGCGGCTTCAGTTACGGAAAGTGAGTATCTAGATGATCAAAGTACATCCCATGAAATTATACACTGAGAGTCTCCATGGGGTTAACCGTTAGCCGTACAACGGCAAAAAAGTTAGTCATTAGACGTAAAAAGTGACAAATTTTAACCTTTAATCTAAAAAGCCATCACCCTATTGAAACCCTCTACTCTGGCTCACGAGTCGCGACTCCTTGAAGACAACTTTTCTTTCAATAACGGTGACATAGTCTCCCCGACCGATACGATCGCAAAAAGCTGAATGATGGGAATTAACAGGTTTTTACACATAACAGCCTATAGCTTCAGTGTGTCAATCCATTCAATTACATATTTGCTATCAAAAAACTCGTTTCGAAACCAACTTTTTGCAAGCAACCAAAGTGATTTGAGGGAGAGAGAAAACAATTATTAAGAAATTAATCGGCTTGAGATCATGAACGGAGTCTATAAAAATTTAATGCTGCCCAGCCGGCAAAGCGAAATACATGAATGAAAAAAAGCAAAGAAACAGGAGATGTACTAGGCGACACACGAAAGCGTAACCGTACCCGTGGGCGTCGATAGGATGATCCGGACCTCATTAACGACCAATCAGATTTTAGGAATCGTTACCGTGCCCTCTTGGGAAAAAGTAAAGTGTAAATTTAAACTGATCTAGTGACAAACCATTAAAAGTTAAACTTTCACTTGATGTTTTAAAATGCCGGTATACCACGCGGGATTTTTAACAAAATATGAATTACTAAAACCGTTTTTATCAGAACCATTTAAGGTATCGAATTTTCGTTCAGTAACTGAAATAACATGCAAATTATTCGTGCTATCCCTATAAAAAGTATACATTTACAGTACATGAAAGAAACGCTTAGGTAGGATATTTGATTTACTTTGAAATTTTGACCATTTAACAGAATGGGAGCTCATTTTATCAACGTCGCTTTTCGTCATCACCTTGAGTTTTTTTATCGGAACGTGATCTGCAAGTATTGAACTAAAAGGGTTTCTGGGATTTTTCATTTTGCCACTCCTTTGTTTTTTTTCAATCATTTTTTCCTTTAACTTCAAAGCAGCACTTTGGAGGAGAGTTTATAATGTAGACAATTTATCTCATAACGTAAGAAAAACTAAAAATTCCAGGCTAATGTGGCGACGGAAGGCGTTTCTCAAACTGTACAACGTCCATTGTGGTCAGCGGTCTAAAATTCTTTCGTAATGAGCAGTTGATCAGATTAACACCCAGTTGGCAAATACGTCAAAAAGTTATGTTGCTGGGGAAACGGATAAAAACAAACAACGATAAAAATTCTAAAAATGGGAAAGATTGCAACATCAATTTAAGGCGCAACTCTGCTTTCGTAAAGACTGGTCGTCACAGGATTCGTTTCCCAGACGACCACAGCCACAAACATAAACAGACTCGGGATTTATTTTATTTTGACCAGAAGCTTTGTCGAAGTTGAACTTTTTTAGATTTATGTAGAATTGAAATTGTCGTAATAATAGAATACGTCACTTTCTGCCGGAAGAATTGTTGACCTAACATAAGATGTCTATGATGCAGAATGTACGTAAGGATCTCACAAAGTGAGGCTATAAATCAACCCAGCTATGTTAGAAAGGGACAACTCTCCTATTTTTTCCGGTGGCCATGGCCTTTTTCCCGCCGTTTGTTACCAGTTGTAGTCGGACTCAGTCTGAGTCATATTTTCCCATGGACACTAATCCATCAACAGCAACGAGCTTCACTTATGTATATTCCAGGCCAGAGATGGGCTCTAATTCCAGTTTGATCAGCTTCAGTCAGCAGCAGAGGATCGCTGAGATCGTGGCACGTGATTGTAAGTTTCAATCGTGAGGCACGAATAATTTGCAAATGTACGATCGATCCCTCAGAGCTTGTACCCTGCTGATTACCAACTAAAAGTTGATAAAAAGATAGTCCACCCTGACAAATCGGAAAAACTGACGTTTAGAACTTTAGTCCTTTGTTAGAACATAGATTTAAGTTGGTCTCTTGTGTCAGGATTAACAGAGAGCGAACAAAAGGGGATAATTTAATCCTCATCGTCTCAGTTTTGCATTTTTCCACATAAGTTACTTGTAAACCATTTGGGTAACATGCTTTTGAGCATTCCTTTTGAGATTCTCAGATACCCACTAAAACAATGATTTAAACAGCTGACTTTGCGTCGGTATAATGGAAGATCCTAAGACAGCCACTAACACGATGAGTTAACGCATCACAATGAGTTCAAGCATCAAACTCTGATAAACTCATTTCTTTAACACGAAAACTTGCCGACAGGATGGGAAAAATTCGTGAATATTTCCATTTTTCTTTCTTCTCGAGGCGCGGAAGCTGTTTTAAAAACTCGTACATCGTGTCGTGTTTGGACAATTGCACTTGTTTTTTAAATAGTACCCTAGGCTCAGCTGTTTTTAAGGCAAGCTCGTCACCACCGTACTGATTACGTTTCTCTTGGTTTCTTTATTAGAGCTGGAGTTGTTTGTTCGGTTTTAATCTATCGAAGCTAAAATAATGGAGTAACTGGCTATAAAATCGTTTATTACTCTATTAAGACTACATGTCCAAAACCCCTGATATTAAAAATTTCTTGACCACGGCCGTTTATTTTCAGCTTTGCAGCCAAAAGGGTTGTCAGGAAATGACCCAGGCAAGCTAATCATAAAACGGAGAACACAGTTCACTTCCTGGCAACGGAAAGAGCTGGAAACCATTTTCAGCCAATCACAGTACATTTCACCAAAGATAAGGCAATCACTATCACAGAAACTAGGGACCTCTCAAGAAGTCATTTTGGTGAGATATACGTAGTTTTTCTGCCAGTTTTAAAAGTAGAAATGCAAACGGTATCACAAAACCCGCTCATGAAGGTAAAAGAAGCACAAATAGGGGTTTCTTTGCATAAATGTATCGAAATAGAGCTGTGAGCAGAAGAACACCGTATGCTTAGTCGAAAAATTTTTAAGGATTAAGTACAAAATGCTGATTGGGTCGCTTCGTGTCCGAAAAATTGTTGCGAGGTTATTACCAACAAATAAGGGAGTAGAGTTTGCATGACCTCTGCTTTACTGCCGTACAGACAGAGAAACAGTTGCCACTCTTGAGTGGTTACAAAATTTAATGCAAAAAGGCTGGCTTCAATTCAGTGAGATTTCATTGCACTGTAAAGTGAAATATGTAACTAGTTTTCTCTCCCCTGCGGCAAAAGTCTCTTCGCAAAATTCAATTTTCCGACCAATCTCTTTCAGACTTGGTTTAAGAACAGACGAGCTAGGTGGAGAAAAGAAAACCGTGGGAGCAGTTCAAATCCTGCTGTTAGTTTGTTTGACCGCGGCGCTCAACACGTCTGCTGCTTTGGTAATGCACCAAGAGAATTTCAACTGTTGAATTCCTCACCTAATGTGCCTCACCCAAACAGCTCTGTAATGTCGAGTGATGTTGGAATGTTACAAGCCGTTACCAGGAGAGCTCTTGGAACAGATGTTATGGAGCATCAGTCACAAACATATCCTGGCTCATATGCTGATTAGTTTAACTTAAACATGTCGAAGTTTTTTGGTTTTCATAGTCTGACCCGTTCTCTCAAAACTTCAAAAAGTGTCTAACTCATCAACAGTATAAGAGTATCTCAGTATGTTACTAATAAGTATGGGCAGAAGTGAAACCACAAGCCGACAATCTTGTATGTAACACAAACCTTTGACATCAACTTGTCAAAACCCGTAGGAGTTCCTTTATTTATTTATTTTTTTCGAAAACTGAGGTAACGTCGCAAAGATTAGTTCATATCTTTATTTAGACCCGTCATAAACATCAGTTAATATTCTATGATAACAGACTTCACTATTTAGTGCGTCTTAAAGTTGATTGCTGTTGATTACTTTTTCGATTATACAACAAAGTTTTATGATATCAGTATTCTCCCCAATGCACACCGCAATTGTTTCACTCTTTTCATTTCCGCTATATTTCACAACAAAGCCCAAAATCACACCAGTACTGAAAAGTTAGTTCCTTTGAGTTGAAATAGATCCACGAAAGACGTAAAAAAAACTTTAGACCAAATGAAAGCAAAGCCATCGAGCGCTAATAAATAAAAAAAATTCTTTCCAAAATTCACTCTTATTATTTAAAACGAAAATATCCAATTAGAATACGGAAAACCATTGTAGTTAACGATTCTAATTTTACCCTGATCACAACAGCAAAACACGGAATTGGGATTCAAGACAGCTACCGAATGCTGACAACTACTTGGGAATCTGCATTTTTCCTTTGAGGTCAGCGGACTCCGACAAGCTCTTGGCAATATGAATCTTTTCCTCCATAATAGTCAGTATACGGATAGTGTTAGTGTGAGCTGCACCTGCCTTCCACCCAGATACGAACACGAACGTATTGCCAAGTTTCATGAAGCCCATCCTTTTGCCCATATCCAGCGCGAACTCGAGTCTCTCGTCATGTTCCTCCAGTACATTGTCTTTGGGCGGTTTGTCGTAAATGAGAGGAAAGCAGCCTCGGTACAAATGCATCTGGCGGGCCACGCGCGCATCACGTGTCACTACTATAATTGGACAACGAGGCCGGAACCGTGACACAACTTCAGCAGTCCTAAAAGCCAGAGCAAACTGTTATTTCAAAAAATGCGATGTAAAAAATTTAGTTTAATTTCTTCTGAAATACGGATAAGAAACTTACACATCACCTAGTTGGAAATTCTTCTGACTCGATTCTTTACAGCACTTGGAGTAAGAACACCACATAGTGTACTGCCGAGCATTTTGTAGTTACATTCAACTTGTTCGCTTAATGACCTTACTGAGTCACCATATCTCAGAGAGAAATGGAAATATTTTCAGCTGAGCAAAAGACGTTTAAGGTTATTGCACAAGTTTTTCTTTACAACCCTCTCAACCAATCAGATAAAATACAAAACTCAATGGTCCCGTTTTTTCTTCCTCCACTCAGTTTGCATTCATTTACTTCGACATCTCGTTGGCTCTTCGTGACATTTTCCTTTGCCTTAATCGAGCGTTGCAAATACACTATTTGCCCTTCAAGAACGCAAGATAAATTTTCAGTAGGTTCAGTGAATAGTACATTAACGCCTAAGTGCGATCAAGTGAGCGAAAAAATTGTCGTCTTGATTTTTGCATGTTCATTTAGAATATTTACATCAAAAGAAGTACTCATCAACACCAATACCGAATCATTTTAAGGTAAAAACATTCTTTAATGTGACTGAGTGCTCATTAGTGCCATTCTATTCTTCGTCAATAAAATTTCAATTTCACTATTAAATTTTCCTACAGGATTTCGAAGAGTCTGATAAAGAAGCTGTTCAGATTCTTCTTGCAGAAATGGCTATCAAAATACGAAACCGTGTTCCAAACAAGCATCGAGAAAGATTAGTAAGGACGTTTGAAGACGAGCACGAAGACTACCTTTTGGTTGCAGATACCTTGGGGGTAAACAGGTCTACAGCGAAAGGCATTATAGCGAAATATGTCCGGGAGGGACGAATACGCGAAAGGGCACGTGGTGGTCGTAACAACGTTAAAGTGGATGAAGAAATGAAGGAGTGCTTGGGTGTCGTAATCAATGAGAACTGCCTGCTTACTTTGAGAGAAATAAATCAAGAGCTTCGAAGAAGATTGCAGGTAAAACCTTTCGTACACGACAGGGCGATTGGAAAAGCTCTTGACGGGATGCTGGTACGTGTGAAATAGGCTAGACCATTACCAGCGGATAGGGACAAGCCAGATGTTATTCAGATGCGCGTTGATGACGCTAACTGGTTCATGACCTCGGGGATTGTGAATCACCCCATTTTTTTGGACGGCTAGAAGTCATGGAAGAGCGAGAGTTGGCGAGCGAGCGCATCGTTAAGTATGAAGAAATGTGCGGAAGAAATGTGCGGAAGAAATGTGCGGAAGAAATGTGCGGAAGAAATGTGACGATCATCATGGCTGTGTTTCCGCTGAATGGACTCGTCATCTCACAGAACAAATTGGAAGAATGAAGGCCCGCCTCTTCAACGACTTCTTTGCGCAAGACAGAACCTGAATCCGGACGACCTTGTGATGATTAAATACGATGGAGCTCCAGCACGTCGGAATGCTAACAACCCTGGAGCAAATACAGAGCTTAAGATGCTGCCTCCTTACTGTCTGTTTCAGTCAACATCGTGGAACAAGCGATCAGTACTCTTAAAGCTCCAATCAAGGCCGAGATCTCTTAACCTGCCATTCAAAAGGAGTTAAACAACCGGGAAAAAGCAAGACGTCAAGGCATTCCACTGGGAGACTATCGCCAGGGAATTCTGTTCAGAGCAGGCCGAAGAACGCAATAACGGTCCGAAAACGCGCTCAATGGTTTAGCAGGGCGTGTAATTGCGCCTAATACAGGCGCCAATGCGACTCAATTTTTTCACTTTGGCGACCAAATCCTGAAAATTAGTCGCCAAATTAGCGACTAGAATGTGGATTAAAAAGATTTGAAGAGATAAATCCGCGACAAACTTCCTCGTTAAGTTTGTTTCCAAAACTCAGCACATGCATCTCGATCGATAACTATACGCCATCTTGGATTTAGGTGAGCTTGAACGTTGCATATCATCCATCCTAGTGTCCACTTTGTAGCACGTTAAAGATCTTTCCCCTAACTTAATTTTGGAGGGTCTATCTAGAACGTGCGTCAAAAAAGGTTGTTTGTCTTTTAAAATGGCGACCAACTTCTTTTGAATTGGCCACCACTTTGAAGAATTTAGGAGCCAAGTGGCTATCAGAAAAAAAAAAATTAATTTCACGCCCTGTTTAGGTTTATGCAAACCAACATCCCGTGTTGCTTAAACCGCGAAGCAATAGAAGGATAGGCAATTACTGGAACAAAAACTTAATTGAAATTCTAGAGTTGTTAATGTAGCTGAAAACTGTCATTATTGATTACAAAATAGCATTAAAGAATGTATATTAAAGTGAAAATTGATCTTGCGTTCTTGAAGGGCAAAGGCGTAGTTTGGTTTTAGTTAAATAACAAAATCGAAATGCGCTCATACTTTTGAACACGATTAACTTACTTCCCCGTGTGTGTAAGACAAACAATACAGGCTGCATTTGCTGTGAATGATGCTGCCACAGCTGCGATGGCTGTCGTTTCGTGTGTATCAGCCACCCTGTTCATTGTGTGCCTCAAATCATCAAACAACTGGCGATGATAAATAGCGGCCTCTGCTTCACGACAAATCTTGTGCATCATGGCGATAGCTTGCACCGGATAAGTACCTTTCGCTGTCTCGCCTTGAGTAAACAAATAACAACGAACAAAACAATTGAGAATAAATTCGCACAAAACTGCGTATATCTAGGATCCTTAGAACCGACTCATGCTGCCTCCCTTTTTCTCAAATATTAATAACTGGTTATTTCTGAGGCGACACTGTCCACTCAGTCAATCAAATTTCATAGATCATGCGAGTTTTCCCGCGCAAAAATACATGCCTCGCTCCAGCTTAATTAAGCTTCTCTCTAGCATACTGTTCTGACTGATTGGATTCACTGACACAAACCTGAGAGCATAACACAATCCGCTCCATCCAGAATGGCATTAGCCACATCTGAGCTCTCCGCACGAGTTGGACGAGGATTTTTAATCATACTTTCCAACATCTGTGGGAAAAATAAAACATGATATTAATTTATAACTTTTCAAACAAAACGTGTCCGCAACTGACTTACAACCTGCAAACTAGTTTAGATGTTTCTTCAGCGCTGCTTCATTTACTGGACTATCAAAATCGGGGCAGCAAAATACCTCCATTTTTTTTTAAAAATCTGCTGGACACACAACGTAAATAACAACGGACTCATAAGGCCACTCACTGTATAATTCTGGTTAATGTGTTTCAGTCTTCTCTTATCTATCAAAACAGTGGATTGACTGACCTGGACAGAAAGTTTTCTTCTGGTAGTAGGCATAAAAGTTTCGTTTATTTTCGGGTCATCCACTTTTGGGTGTATGCAGAATAAAAATTAGGTTTTGCAACCAGCGACTGAAAGTTGACCGTTGGTGACTGACTTTAATTCATGTCAAATTTCTTCATGTAAACCAGCGCTCGAGAAACGAGGCCTGCGAAAAAATTTTGTTGCGCTTCTTAAGACTCGCTCGCAAGATGGATTGTGTTTGATGTGAAGAAATACCTCTTAAATTTCCCTTTTTTGCATTTGGCTTTGACTTGAAAATTTAAGGGGAGCAAATTTTTTCATCTGGCAATTGGAACAAACCTATTTGATTGCCACTAAGCGCCCGCTTAAAGATATTAATTTTTGACCAAGGTAATGGCATTCACTGTGCTTTTCTTTATTAATCTTTTCCAAAAAAATTTTTCTTCGATGTTTGCCATTTGCGTAAATCTGGTTCCCAGCCCTCATCGTTCCGGTGGTTGTTCACTTTTGACCGATTTTAAAAGTGGCTTTTGAATTTGATGTCACCTAAGATCTAAAATAGAATTCTCCGTGTGAGTATTCTTGTCTGGCCAACCAATTCTCCTCATTAAAATCGAGTAGAGCACATGCAACAATTTGCATCATTGAGCTGTGTTTCATTTGCCCTTGAGATTACCTGTGTAGCACAGATTACTGGCTTTCCGTTTTTATTGCAACGACCAATCATCATTTTCTGAGCTAAAAACACTTTCTCTGGAGGAATCTCAATTCCCAGATCTCCTCTGGCCACCATGATACCATCAGCGGCTTCCATAATCTCGTCAAATTTTTTTACTCCTTCGTGGTTTTCAATCTTGGCAATGACCTTGATATTTTGCCCTTTCGAACCAAGAAGATCTCTTATGTCGTGAATGTCCTGAGCTTTACGAATAAACGAGGCAAAGATCATGTCAACCTGCAAAAAAAGTACACATATGTATAGACATAACGTATGACTCTCTAGGACTGAAAATTTTGAAAGTAAGGGTTATGAAAATAAAAAAGCATAAGTCATCAACCTGGAAAATAAGTTCAAACTTTTCTGTACTGGCCAGTCCAATCATCAGAAAATAAAACCTTCACGAGCCGATCTTGAAAAAGAATCTTTCAACAAGTCAGAAAAAAGAAATCGATTGCTAAACAAGTGTGCAACTCACTATCCCAAAACAAAGCTGAATATCAAGGCATCTTTAAGAAATCGTTTTAGGAAATCAACGACAGCACGTGAGTAACGTATTCAAAAAGCAAATAAACGAATGAACCCTCACCTCATGTTTCACACCAAAAAGTATATCTTTCTTGTCTTGCTCAGATACAGCTGGTAAATCGACTTCAACATTTGGCAGGTTAACACCCTTCTTGCTCCCAAGTTTAGCATCATTTAACACTTCAACTTGAAGATAGTTTGAGCCTATTTCCACGACTTTAAGTGAAATCAGTCCATCATCAACAAATATAATTCCACCTTCCTTCATCACCTTTGTGATGTTTTCATAGTCTACATAAAGGGTTTCGTTGTCTCCTTCAGCAAAGAATGCCTTGTCCGTGGTAAGTTTTATGATATCACCTTTGGACAAATAAATTTCTGCACCGCCACCCTGTAAATTAACAAAACAAGACTTGTCATTTATTTAATAAAAAGGAACAGTCTTGGTAGCAGAGTAATTCATTCTGGCTAGCATTATTCTTAGTTTCTCTCCCATGAAGTAAGGTCAGGTAAGGTTGGTTAATTCTGTGCTTGCACCAAGTGCCCCACCCACCCAGCCACAGATTATCCCACTTTCCTTTGTATGAAGCGACAAGGAATATCACTACTTCCTCCTGAATGGGATGCCAGTCTATTGCAAGGTTACCCCTAACCACTTCATCAGGCTTCCCTGACAATTCACTAGTACCCATTTATCTCTTGTTTAGAGAGAGGCACAGTGAGTGTTACGTGTTTTGTCCAACAACACACATTGACCTAAGCAGGTTTCAGACCCAGACCTCTTAACAAGATTCCAGCACACTAACCATTAGCCCACCACCTCTTACACTAGCATGTAGCAATGAGAAAAATTACTGTGACCTCCTCCTGTTTGTTACCACTGTAGCATTTCTTAATAAAAAGTGTTGCTGACCATTCTGACCTGTGTATATCCACTATTTTACTGGAATTTTACAGAGAAACTGAGGTTGGGGAAGCAACAAAATAACAGGAAGTAGGATTTCCCATCCATCATGTAGAAGTCAAACCTTCTTTAAAACATTCAGCCACACAAACTATGATTTTCACCCAGCACCCATTTGGCTCCTGGATGTAGAGAGGCTTTGTGACTCTAACTTCAGCCAAGGCTTGAACCCAGACACATAATGGTGTGAAGTCCAGTCCTATTAGAATTACAAGCAGTTTTACAGAGCACTCACCCCTTTCAACAGCCCAGTCCTGATCTCTGGTCCTTTTGTGTCCAGTGCAACAGCAACAGCATGAGGCCATTCTTCAACTGCTGCCTTCCTTACCAATTCAATGGTTTCTGCGTGATACTGGAAATGTCGGAAAGTCCAGAAAGACAGGCATTACTTACAGGTTCTTAGAGTGCAAAAATACTGGAGGCGGGCACTCCTTATATCAGATATTTGCCATTAAAAATTTATGTTTCAAGGAAGAAAAAGACTCTGTCCTTAAATTCTGGATGTAATATGATGAATATATTTATCATTTCAGGTAAAGAGTGTGTAAAACATGCAAATTATGATAAACTTCACTACACAAGAGGGTATTAATTTCATGGGTCTAACCCATGTAACAAATTATTCCAAGCATAAGCATTGTTACAATTTCCCTAGCCATCTTGAACATAATGGAATCTTCCTGAATTTGTATAAATATTACCAGTCATAAATAATTTCATTCTAGAAGTATAAAAAAGAAACAAAAACCAAACAAAACAAAAACACTTGCCAAAAAAGAATACCTCATGAGTCCCATGAGAGAAATTCAATCTTGCAATATTCATGCCATTCTCAATTAACTGGGAGATAATCTCCACACTCCTTGAAGCTGGCCCTAAAAATATGACACAGCAAATTTTACAAATAGGAACTTCTAGTCTAGTATTCATCCCTCAAGACCCAAACAGTGTGCAGAACAGCTCAATTTCAATATCTTACAGTCCAAGAAAAAATAACAGATGTCACAAGGAAGCTTTGGGGAATAACTCTATAGTTTAGTGCCGAGCCCTACACTGAGGTCCACTCATGTTCAAAGCTGACTTTTAAGATATAAATACTGGGCTACAGTAGAAATACCACCTTTCAAGCCAAAGAGCTTCCCCACTATATCTGGTTGATTTATACAGGAGTCTACTCGTTGTCTACCTATTAGATCACTTATTAAATCACTTTCTATCCCACCTTTGTGAGTACTTTGAGGAACAGCAGTAATAGCATGAGTTAATACTAAATTATGATTCATAGTAAAGGACAACATTATTTGACTGAGGCTAAATTTTTCTTTTGGTGTAAAATCCTTGATGAGAGTTTCCAGTGCACAACATAAAATGGATGCTTTTATGAAGGGAATTCAAAACCATGTTTAAATGGCAATCCTCAAATGGTATGCCAGCCACCTTTTGAATAAGTGCTCCCAGACTGTTACCTACCTAAAGTACAGATCAGGCCAGAGTTACGAATAGTGCGAGGATCTCGGTCGATATCAAGGTTTGCCATGAAGTCCAGATAATTTGTAGCCTGGGCAGCAGCCCACTGCTCCTGACGCAGATCCAAGTCTCCCACATATTCCAAACGTGCACCTCTTGCAGACATAATTCAGCTGTGTCACAACAGAACAAATTTGTGTTTGTAAACTCAACCTGGAGATTTTCTCTCTACTTAACAAGCAGCTGTAAAGATAATCAAGTACAGTATATCTGTAGCACATGGTACGTGGTTAGTGTGTATGATCTACCTTTTTGAAGGGAACCTAAATTTCTGTATAAGGAAACTCTTTACTTCAGTTGAAGCAAAATCAGTTGAGTTCAAAGAAAGTTTTAACATATCATTTCAATACTTACTATAACTTGATATGTTAATGTTAATTATGTTAACAAATTTCCTTTCATACAATGTAGATACTCCAACAAAATTAATGAAGCCAAGCCAGCTCAAAAGATACTTGCCACAGACAATCATTTGGAAAAAAAACATTTACAAAGCTCAACTTCTTAAAGATCAGTTCTAAATTATTTTTCCTTCATGTCCAAGATTCATCCATTTCCTTCACTAATGCTAATTCCAACACAGTTCTAATGCTTCTGTTATTTCAAGTTTCTCATATCTGATCAAAATAAAACCTATTTAATAATTTTTTGACCATCATTCCCTACCAGTAATGATACAGACTCTTACTATTACAAGTATATCTAGGTGGTAACTTTATAAACAGTACTATTTTTAACAATTTTGATACCTCTTCTGTCTGTTAATGTTAATTTCAATTTAGCCATTACTTCTCATATAATCAACACTGACATCAAGATTTTTTGGCAAAACTTAAATTTTTCCTTCCATTCATGTATAGATGCAAAAACCAACGAAATACTTCTGCAACTCTGATGTCTACAGAAATATTTAGTTAATTAATTAATAAACAGTTTTCTTTTATTTTCAGTTTTCATATGCCTATCAATTTACATAATTGGCCATTATTTTTTGTACACTTTTTATATTTCATTATAATGATCATTTTGTGTAATAATGTTGAGCATATTCCCAGACAAAACTAGCAAAGTGCCTCATACACCAGTAGAGTTGCATGGTTTGCTCTATGCCCTTTGTTAGGAAGTATTTATATTCTATTACTTGCTGCAGATTCTTATGTATCCGTGGAGTTTTTTCCTGTTAAAGTGGTAGCTCCACCTAACAACATCACTTAGTAATTTCAGCTTCTTAGACACAAAACTTTGGGCGTCAGAGAGTTGAAAAGAACTTGCACAACCACTGCTTTGGAGAGTACACTTCAGCCACCCATATTGAATTTACCGAGCTTTTTCAAAGGCGATTTGGTTGCTTGTGCCAATTAGCTAAACTAAGGAGTCGCTAAAAATAAGTCGCAACCTGAAGTATAAGGTTGTAAGTTTGTGGAGGATTAAGCGAGAAATCTATTCTAATGATAAAACAAAGCTTTAAACAAAACATTATTCTTCTATGATACCAGTTAATGAAGTGAAAAAAGAAAGGCCTGCTTTGAAAAGACATCTGAATTTTAACCTTACCTAGCTGACTCTTGTTATCGTTCTGGAGCAATAAAGGTGTACAGGTAAATAAGGAAACTTGCCAGAAAAGGTGTATTTTGTTACGGGCATATTAAAGTAATTTCGAGGTGCAATTTCCTTCAAAATTTATCTCGAGAAGCGATTAGGATATGAAGGTTTGCGTTTCTCCGGATGAAAGCAAAATGGAACGAGAAATATTAAATTACTAGATAAGTGTTTGCTGACTGCTGTTCTACTCCCTCCTATTGCCTGAAAAGTGATTACTGTTTCCACTACGAACGCCAAACAATCTCACATTTCTTTAACAATGATGAGCAAAAAGCTCAATTTTAAGCAGAAAGTGCAATTCTCCAGTCGTTTGTGCAATGGAAATGACAAACTTATTTGTATTGCGCGCACATACTTCGCGCTTTGATCGAACAAAAAATGGAAGCAAAAGAAAAATGGACGCTATTGTTACTGAGGTGAAACTTGAGGCCAACTGAGGTGACACCGGTTATTGTGCTACTCCGTGAAAGCAAACGTCCTACCTTTTCAAATTGCAACGAAAGTATGAAGATTGTGGACACGGACAGCACACCAGTCGTTGCACAAAACTCTCAAGAGCTAACAACGCGAACATTCGTACTTTCTCTCCCAGGCTAATGTAGCCTTGATTTTCCGCCAATCAGGTGTTTTGCTACTCACTTCCGTTCCACCCTAGGTAACTTCCGCTGATGTGCACGTGACTCTACATGCAATGATCATCAAGAGGCGAGAAGTCTTAGAAGTTTGGTCGCAACCTGACACAATAGATCACTTGTTTTGTTTACAAGACTATAATTTGGATTGATCTAAATATTTGGTTAGAGTGTCTGTACATTTTGCAATAGCCTAACAAAGCATGAGACAATGAACTGATTAATCGTTTCTGTTTGGGTGTTTACAAGTTGTGGTTGACATTTTCCCAGCGTTTGAGGAAATAATTATGGATCGGGAGCAAAATTTAATTACAACATCACAAGGAAAAGAAAACAAGATGATGGAATCAGAGGAGGTGAAGATTACTCCCCCTGCACGTCTAAAGAAAGCTGGAAAACGCAATAAGACAGGCGATAACACATCTCTTCCTGCCTGCAGCCAAGGTTCAACGATCACTAATGGCGGTACAAGCACCCAAGCTACGGAGAAATCGCTGAATCGAGATGTAAAAGAAAGCAGGGAGCCTTTCAATGAAGAAAATTTATCAGAGAGAGAAGTGACAGATACTAAATCACATGAAACAAAAAATGGAGTTTTAAAAGACAGCTGTGTGGGTGAAATTGTCTCGAGCGATGAAGGTTCCAATGGGACTTGTGTTGTGAATTCCTTCGCATGGTCGCATAATATAGCTGTCAGTGAAAATGATGCCGAAGCTGTGCTGAGTTCAGTTAAAAATGCAGCGATTGAAAAAGATTCAAACCTAAGGAACGAGACTGAAGACGATAAGAAACTTCCTCTTGGCTTCGAAAATTCACGAGAAGAATGCGCAAGTCCTCAAGATGAAGAATCTTTTTTCTCAGCCGGTGAGGAGGCGGAAACTAACCAAGATTTGTCTTTGACATTGCCTGAAGTTGCGAAAATTGTGGTAGGACCGTCAACAACGTTAGAAAATATCGATGGCCCTTTAGTAAACGGTGAAAACAGCAACGAAGCAACTACTTTGACCGCAGACCACGAGGAAATTTGTGAATTCCAGAAGTCTGACCAGACTAATCAGAGATCAATATTTCAAGTTGTAGATGGATATTTGGAGAATATCTCTAATGTTAAGGAACCGTCTCTGCAAACCATTGAAACCAAAACTTTATTTGCGGTAAAGGATGATGCCAATGTTTCTGACCTTGTCCCAACTGATTCCCCTGACAGTGATCTGCAGGTGGAGACAGAGGTTGGTGCAGCAGAGGAAACAGAACACTCTGTCAGCGATAGCGATCAGGAGTGGTCCTCAAGTTCCTACACAAGCTCTGAGGGTGAATATGATGTAGGCTATGCAGAAGAAGCCCGTGGTATTCAGGAGGTGTGATGTTGTTCACTTTAATTTGATTTCTTCAAGCAGTAATTAGGTTAATTATAATTAAAATAATTCATTTTCAGTCTTCCTATAGTGTAAATGATTGAGTTAATGATTCCAATACTGCTATAGCTGTTTGATAATTATTTTGCACCCAAATAAGGATTAAATGGGATTGTTCTTGTTTTTGATATGTGGTAAATCTGACCTTATTCAGCAATGAAATCCACTTCGAAGAAGAACATGAGAGAGAACCTCCCACTTCCTGTGCCCACTCACCTGCCCTTGACTTCCATGATACTCCTGCTCTCTATTTAGAGACGTTACAGGTTAATGTTTTTGAAACAACAAAAGTTTTACGTTTCTCATCTAGTTTCACCCTTTTAATGTTTTAGTTTTATGTCCCTTCCTCTGGCCTCTCTATTTGTGCATCTCCACCCCCTTATCTTAAGAGTAAATTGTGGAGGGTAGTGTTTAAATTTATATAGCTCAAGCATATTTCAATGTCTGAACACCATAGTTATTTTTGTAAAATAGTAGCATCTTCTATTTGAATCAGTCTTTATTACTTTCAAACAGGAACAGAGTGCTGAACAATACAACTACAATGATGAAGTATTCCATGTAGAAGAAATCCTGTCAGCTTTCCCAAATTTTACGCAGATTGTGAATGTTACAACAGATTCTGAGGATGACAGTAACAAAGGGGACTCATTGAACAACACCTTCAAAACAGTGGAGGATTCTACAGGAGAAAATGAAGCATCTCCATTAAACATTATGAGTGATAGTGAGGAAGATGATGCTGGAAGACAAATGCTTTCTCATTTCCCTCCTTCCGAGTGTCCAGTTATAGTGGATATCACTACAAATGATTCAATTGATGTTGGAAATAGCTCAAAACAGTCTCCAAAGGCTGAAGATGAAGCATGCAATGACAAAGGAACTTCAGCAGTATCCACCAAGGATGATATGGTTAGCACTAGGAATTCAGATCAAAGTGATGAAAATGTTTTTCTAACAGATGCCACGAATTCAAATTCTACTATAACTAACCTAATGGAAGAATCATGTGACACAAAAATTGTTGATGATTCGGAGAGTCAACCAGTTGAAAGGACTGGGTCATTTCCTTTGATAAGTAATAATGGAGTCTTGAAGGTTGCTGATACTGGACAAACACCAGTGAGTACAGAAAATGGAAATGAGGTCATGTCCCCTGATAGAAATGCTGAAAAGTCCCATTCAGATGAGGCTAGAAAAAAGCTTGGAGAAACAATATCTGAGACATTAGATCTTGATAAAGAATTTTGTAATGTTTACAAAAATATTGAAAAATTAGAAATGATGAGTGAGAATAATGTTGAGTCAAGCAATGAATTTACAAATGAAACAAGCAAAGATGATTCTGGACAAAATGGAGAGGATTCAAAAACCATGGTCATTGCTGTTGATGGCATGGTGTCCACAGAACAAACTACCCATTGCAAAATAAAATGTGTAGTAACAAATGAATCAACCATGGACGATTGTGTGGATGGAAGAAATGACAAGGAAGTAAATGAAAGTGAAGAAGGTATAGATACTCCTTCTCCTGTATTGGCTAAAAGACGCCCAAGAAAGTTGAGAAATCCCAAAGGGTATTCCTTTGAAACAGAGTCAGGATTACTTAGTCCAGAAGATGATGTTCATGTAGAATTGAAGAAAATTCAAAACAGTGGCTCATTTAAGAGAGATGGGTCATCTGTATTGGCATCTGAATCTGAGGCAGATGGAATGTCCCCTGATGGACAGCAGCATGATGAGGTCACACCTTCACCTCCTCCAAGAGTAATAGCTGCCCAAAGCAAGAATCTAAGATATTCTTTGTCTTTTAATACTGCAGGTAAACTTGATTTTAAGATCTGATTTTTCACCTAGTGAGATCTAACTAGATACATGATCAGCCTTAAGAGTTAACGAGCTGTGTGTAAGACAAACTGTATGATATTTGCAATATGTATGCTTTGAAACTCTTTATGGGGGCCATTTCATTTTATCAACTGGGTTGATAATACCCTGTATGATGTAGTTTGTTGTGACATCAATAAGGAAGTATCTAATCAATTTTCCTTCTAGTTAAGTGTCTCTGTTTGACAGTAGGCTGCCGGAGAAGAAATTTTAAAGGCTTAAATCTTTCTTAAGATGTCTGAGTTATTCTTAAGATAAACTATCGAAGAAATAGCTGCCAATCATGTATTAAAAGCAATTGCATTTATAAATATTTTTGGTAAGTTATTTGTGTGGTTATCTTAGTACAGTAAATTTGGATTGTGGTCAGTGAAGTACCATAGAATGATTTTTACTTAAAGTTTTGTCAGGACTTGTCCTTTACAACTTGGAATTTTTTGTGTTTCCCTTTTTACAGCTATTAGACATCCTCAAAGAGAGGGTGGTAAGCGTCCAAAACGTGGGCGATCAGAAAGGTCAATGACACTTCCAAACAATGTTTTTGATGTTGCATCTCGCCTTTTTACATCCAGTTCCTCAACTGAACCAATGGTATGTAAATGTAGCTACTTAAAGTGTTAATGATCTTTTGAGGGTTGAAGGATTTAACAACCCATTCATGCACTTTTCTTAAAGAGTTAATGGTACAATGCTGTTAGTTTTAATTTGTGGTTTGGTCTGACTCTGCAGTAGCTGGTCCATATCAGCTAAGCAGTGCTAATAAATTCATTAAAAGCAATGAACAGGCAGAAAATTACAGATTTGAAGAAACTGGTAATATTTGACTGCCAATAATATTTTTGATTTTTCTTAAAGCATCAAGACCCTATAACCCTTATCACAGATAACATGCCGGGCACCTTTCAAGGCTTTCCAATCAATCGACGGGCACAGATAGCCTTGGAGTTATATACCACAGAGAGGAGTTACATCAGAGGACTGGAAACTATCGTCCAGGTGAGGTATAATGAGATACATGTGGTAAAGTGTATGCTATGTAACCAAAAAGGCTACTAATAACACATCAGACACAACTGAGAGTTAGCAAGGGTCTTGTATCCAAGATAAAGGGGGGGAAGTACATGTAACTAAAGAAACTGTCAGTGGTGCTGTGTCAGATGGGGTTATAAAAAGATAATTTGATTGTATCAACTGAGTTGCAAATGTGAATTAGCTGCCTCAAAAAGTTTCTAAAGCTAATGTTTTGAGTGTTAGCCCTTCTCTCTGTTGCAGGGTAACATTTGAAACATCAGCTTAAGGTTGCCCAAGTTACATTTGGTTGATAAAACCAATGGTCTGTTATCCTATTTGCCATAAAGAGATTGCTACAGTAGTTACTATGGAACCATTTCTTAAAAGTGCGAGCCATAACCTGGCTGAATCTCAAAAGCTGATTTTTTATTTGCCATGTTCACACCCAAGAACCCTCACATTGAGGTAAAAGGACAGAACCTACATTGTTCTTGCACATGTGCACATTGGAAAAGTTTTTTTCTTTCCTAATCAACATTTATCTCTTTTATGTAGTTATTCATGAAGCCCTGCGAAGAAAACAAATTGTTGGACAAGAAGGAGATCAAAACAATGTTTAGTAATATAAAAGAGTGAGTCAAAGATAATTTGAAAATTTCATGACTTTCTTAATGTTTACTTTCATGACAGAGACTTGTTATTAAACCATGTTTTCTAATAAATTTTATTCATTGTTTCATGTTTAGTGACTTACATACTATGATCACCAGGGTATAAGCCACACTTGCCGATAAGCTGCACCTCATGGTTTGGCAAATCATGTTTTTGAAACACTTTTTTGAAAAGAAATTGAAAGAAATCACTTGAAGAGTGTTGAAAAAGTTGGTTTATTTTGCATACAGTTGCTAATGTTGAAAACAGAATGCTGTGAACCCTTACCTATAATATCAACTGTAATAGTATGGAAATCATCTTTGCCAGCTCAGACTTATGTTTTGATCTTACTCTGGTATTGTTCAACCAGTATTTTTTTTTTCCATTCCTTTCTGATTTTCAATAGAGTTCCACAGAGAAACAGGAAATCTTTGGTTTGTTTGTTGGCTCATTTGTAGCTTAGAAGCCAAGCATTTGATTAGGAGAAGAGGAAGGAGGGGACTTAAGTAGCTTTTGAAATATTAATTTTTATCACAGTACATGGCTAGGTTCCTTGTCAAGTCAAGTTTAGCTTCTCAATGTAGGATATAAAGGTATCCTAACAAGGAAGGTTCATAACACCAGCCAACGCAAGGAATATATTAAGTTTAAAATGCTTATGAACAAAAATGTCACTTTAGGAGCCACCAAACTTGCAAAAGCCATGATCAAATTATCCTTGTTTAGTTTTTGTTATGCAGACTTAAAAATGTTCAATAAATGGTGTCAATTTATGCAAATTTGTGGCATGTTTTCTAGATGTTCACACAGATGAGTGACACATTTGATTTTCTATGAAAATTTTTGGGAAAATGGTGTGGCTCATACACTGCTGTCTACAGTAATTTAATCTTTCGGTCATGTTTATGTAGCTAGCAAGACATAAGGCTGTTGATTAACTGTTGATCAAGATGTCACCATGCTTATGGTCTTTCGGATTGTTTGACCTAGAATACAATGATGAATGTCTTCCATACTGGAGTAAAATGTTTTTCTGTATTTTTATTTATTAGTATCTTCCAAATCAACAAAGATGTCTTGTTTAATCTTCTTTATCTAATCAACCACTGGCATGACAAAGAGCAGTGTGTAGGGGACATTTTCACAGATGAGGTGAGTGGCTAAAACGATACACTCTCCAACATATTAAGTGCATATAACAAGCTTCTGTTAAATAAACATTTAGGGTTCAGAATTCTACAAGACTATTCTCGAACTGAGGCATGATGAGGATGTTTTTCTTTACATTTCCTCTGAAAGCCAACTAATTTTTTAAATAACATATGAGGACTAAACCAGATTCCTTGTGATAAACAATCAGACTGTGGGTTAGACTGACTGTAAGCCATACCAGAAGTGAAACTAAGTGGACCTCTTTATTTAATTAAGGAGAAATTGAGATAACTTCAAACTGATCCCATTACTTGTTTGTCCTCTTCTTAGTCCAATTATTGACAGTACTCTTCAGTTATTAATAGTAGCTGATTGTTATTTTCCTTATTCAAGGTTATTGAGCGAATGAAGAAGAAATATGCAGATTATTGTACTAACTACGATTCTGCAGAGACTCTTTACAAGCAAAAGATAAAAAAGAAGGAATTTGAAGCTTTTTTAAATGTAAGTACTATACTTCAAAATACATGTGTCTTATTTTCAGCATGTTCTATTTAATAAATATGTATATATGCATGTGTACCTTTGAAGGTATGGTTTTGTTATTTAGAGGCAACATAGATTAACTGTGTTAATAATTTCCTTCAGTCATGCTACGAACATCCAGTTTGTCAGCCAGGGCTGAATCTTCCTGCATATCTGATTACAGTGGTACAAAGAATTCCAAGATATCTTCTTCTTCTGGAGGTTAGCACATTGTCAGTGATTCCTAATGTATTGCTTTACATACCAAATCCATATTATCTGAGCCTTTACTGCCCATGAGTGTTCAAGACAAAATTTCTCCTTACAGTATCAATGCAATATAAAGCAGGCAAGTAATGAGAATAAAGAAAAATATCAATCAGGGAATCATTAGTTGATCCAATATCAAGTTCTCTTAACTAACATGATAAGAATTGTATGCAGACAGTAAGGAGAATTACTATTGAGATCATGCGAGTGAAAGGGTTATGCAAGTTGATGTAGCAAAATTTTGTTATTTTTCTTTCAAGGATCTTTACAAAAGGACGCCAGAGAATCACCCAGACCGAAATAAATTGAACAAGGCTTTGAGTACAATGGTAACAAGTGTATTCGTTTGATATACTTAGGTTTAAAATTTGTTATGGCAGCTCTTATAACTAACAGCTATTTTATGTATTATTCTTTTAATAAAGAGAAACACAGCAGCATTCATCAACAATCAGTTACAAACATCCATTGGCCAGAAAGCGATGGTAGAGTTGAGATCAAGACTTATAGGTTTGGAGGTGAGATTCACAGCTATAATTGATTTTGTTAGCTCTGCTAAGTCAATGTTTGCATATCTTAGAGGTGCATATATCAAGAGATTAAACCATTTAATGATTAACAACTATTTGGTAAAGCCAAAGGGAATTTTATTGAATAATCCCGGAGATACAGAAGAGAGGATTATTCAACAATATTCACTGAGCCTGAGGTGAAAAATTGTTTTAGTATATTTGCTCAGGTGCCTTTGAATTCTGTTGTAAATTCATCAGTTGTTGATACCATCTTGATCTAATTGGTTTTGATTACTAGCATCCAGATAAGCAGTCAGTTTCCTCTAGAATGTAATGGGTTTAATTAATTCAATCAGCAAAAACTTCATTTTTTTTCTTTTGAAAAGTGTTACCCCAAACTTAGTAGCATGTTTTGTGTTCTTCAGAATTATAACTGTTTTCTATCACATTTTTCTTTTCTTCTGTAACACTGAGTTAGCTATTTTGAAATGTAGTGCCCCTGTTATAACCACCTCATGGAAGGTGAATGCTGTGGGAAATGATGCAAACCTCAACCAATCAGAGCGCATGCATCTTTATAATCACTGCTGCAATTATACCAATCATTATTGATAACTGATGATATTTTTTTGATGATATTTTTGATGATATTTTTGATGATATTTTTGATGATATTTTTGATGATATTTTTGATGGTGCAATTGATAATAGTTTCTTATACTGCATATGTCACTTAATAAGCATCTATTGTATAGATGCATTCTTCTGTTAATACTATATCATTTTACATATCAACAGGCATTTGAAGGTCAAGCTCTTATCAAAGAGGTTGATGTGGTCCTATCAGGCAAGAAGACTCGCAAGGTACTTATCCCCAAATTGCCCTCTGATGTTGACTTTTCATTCTTCAGCTCTTTGTCAAAACTCAAAGGCTTTGGGTGGATAGTAGATAGTTAGTTGATAGATACAGGCAGCCTGAGGATACATATTTACAGTTATATAATACTACTAATTTTACTATGGATGACAATATACAAATAGTGATCTAATATGTGAAATTTAAACTATTAAAATAATAACCCTTAACTCTCTTGAGTGACTGAGACAGAATTTCTTGGTTATCTTCAGAGTGATTCTTACAGGGACAACTAATGGGAGCAACAAATTGTGGGGGAAATCTGACTAACCACTGGGCAATATGACCTCTGATGAACTGCTATGCATCTTAACTAGAAAATAGTAACAAATAGAATACTCATGATAAATTCATGTTTCTCAATGGACTAGACTTAAACAACCTTTTATATATAATATATGTATATATACATATGTGTGTGTGTGTGTGTGTGTGTGTGTGTGTGTGTGTGTGTGTGTGTGTGTGTACGAAACAGGCTTGTCGGGAAATGTAGTTGCGTCCTTTTTTCCTCTCGTAATATTTATTCTGCTCTGCTTCAACGTATTGAGCACTGTTCCATGCGAAAATCGACTTGCAGACTTCCTATATACATATATATACATATGATTATATCATGATCAATTCCTCCTTTTTAACCATTTTATTTTCTGTCCAGTGCTTGTTATTTGGTGACATGTTGGTGTTTGCTGTGAAGGGTGTCAGCAAGACTAGTGAAGTGGAGCAAACTCTTGAGCTGGCCACTCTGTGGTGCATGGATCTTGAAGGCAACAATCCACAATCAGGTAATAAAAATACTAATTCTAATACTAACTTTTTACCAACTGATGACCCTTTGGAAGGCTCGAATTTACCTCAGGCCTACATATCTGGCTATATTAATTTAATATGTAATATTTTATTAATTGTTGTTGTCACATTGAGCTTGATAATTGGAAAGCTTGACTCCTGGCCAGTGGTTTAGCCCTGACTGGTAGAAGTTTCTTGGAAAATTTAACTCTAACATCGCAGAGAGCAGGGATGGCTGAAAGGACCCATTTGTCTTTACCATGGCCTGGGTTCAATTCCTTACACCTGGCAGCATGTGTGGGTTGAGTGTGTAATTGGTTCTGTACTTTACACCATTGGTTTTCCAGGTTCTCCACCTTTCCTCCCTTGTGAAAACATTGATGCAACAAATTCCAGTTTCAACTGGAAAATGGTGATCAAAGAGCTTGTACTCATTGGAAATACCACTGCTGAATAAGCTCTGACTGAAAGCTGTGCAAGTTGATCATGTATATATAGTCAATTTTTGAAATTGTGATTCATGTCAAAGAGAATTTTGGAAAAGAGGAAAGATGTCAAGTTGCAATCCAGAGAAGGTGTAGCATCATGAGGAAAATGCCCTTAAATCCTCTTAAATGCATCTCATGAACTGTCTTAAGAAGTAAGTGATTGATGAATTTGAACAATGAAAACTCAAGAGAATTCTGTCATTTTCTCAGGAAAGGAAGACTCTCTTGAAGTTTACACGCCAGAGCAGTCTTACTTTGTAGAAGCTGGAACTAAAACAGAGAAAAAAGATTGGCTACAGAAGCTCAGGACAAGAATTGCCATGGCATTACATGGAACAGAAGCAACAGACAAAGATGAGATTGGTATGTTTGTACAGAGAAATGGTTGTTAATTAGACCCTTGAAATGGTCCACTTTATGTAGGGTGCTGGAAAAATGAAATACGGATCAAAGCAAATGTTATTGTGTAATGATAACAAGATTAATGTTTCAGTTGTTTGAGCATCAACCAGTTCTATTGTTGGCTTCTTTCATGACTCCAAACAAGGCCCATTGGCTATTGTTTATTCAGGGTGTGTTTTATCATGTTGTATAAACTTTGCATGTAACCAGGTGAACTGATCATGTTGATTATAGTGTTAAAACTGTTCAGTTTTTCTAAGACTTAAAGTGTCCACTAGAGGACTCCATCTAAGAGCCATTGTCTCCTTTACAGTAAAAATGGTGCAAAGAATTAAACATATGTATTTTAAGTAAAAGTCCCCTCAATACCGACTCCCTGTTATTGCAGGGTGTACTCCAACAATGGTTTTACTGCTTTAATTGTGAATCTTGTAAAGGTAGCTGAGCACTTTGAAGTGTGGGGCAGGACTCACTACATATGCCAAATGCATACCTTAGCATGCATTTTCTAAAAGTAATTTTAATGTTCACTTTTTGACCACAGGCCTGAGTTGTTCAAATGGGAAAAAGTTGAACCACATTTAATTTTGCCAAGCACAATAATTGTGATGAGACAATTTTAAAAGATTACAAGACTGTACATTTTGCAAAACCAGTTTTTGCTGTGCTTGCAATATCATTGGCACTGAAATGTACTTGAGAGGGGGTGTTATGTCATGTCATTATCATTTCATGATAATAATAGTAATTTCATACGTATATAGTGCAATATACATGTGGATTTTCTTTATCACTTATATGATTAAAGACCGAATTGGACTCACTTCACTCAGTCCTATTACTATTATTAATTGCCATTTCTGTATTGGGAATTTAAAAAAATTGGGTACATGTACCTTTTGTCTTTGAATGGTGAAAAGTTGCTAATTCTGTTTGATGTTGATATTCAGAGACACGCAAAGGTACTTTCACCTACAAGGATGGACGACACTTTTGTGGTAATTTCGTTTCAGGAAAAGTAAGTGAAAGAAAAAGATCAAATATCTTTAGTAGTAATCTTTTTCTTTCGGTAGTTTCAAGTTCCTCTTTTGTTTTCAATAACTGTGAGCCAAAGGTTGAGTGATTGTGGTCAAATTATAGGGGAATTTGAGTTATGAATCATTTGAAGACATTCACTGAACCAGAGAGGAATTATTGCTTTAGTTTTGACAAGTCACTGGGTTTAAGAAATTGCAGTGCAGCTATTTTGACAATCATGGAATCAGTACAAGTAGTATATTTACTTAAAGTTGAAACTCACCCCCTTTATTCGCTACTAAATGGGTTTGATACTTAGCAAGTTAATATGCCTAAGCACCAGATTTCTACAAAATCCCACAGAGAAACTTCCATTGTTGTTGACACCCAAACAGAAACACTAGAAAATGGTCATTGACAAGATTTAAACCTTACCATATTTCTGCAATGTAGAATATTGAATGAAATATTTAAATTTTTTCTTTTTCTTTCAGAGGAGTGGTGAAGGCACACTTTCTTGGCCAAATCAAGCCAGATATCAGGTATCTTTGCTACTCTCTTGGCAACTGAAATTGTTATCAAATGATTATGTGGAAATTATTGTCTTGTAATGAATTCAATTAGGAGCCAACCAACTGGCTTAGTTCTGTTGGGTGCAGAGTTTCATATGCAAGGTCATTTTCGTTTACCTGGACTTTCACATCAACTTTGGAATATAAGATAAATGGTGCATACACAAGAGTGCTTCGTGCTGCCCTAAACAAATCCTGGAAAAATCACCCAACCAACAAGGAACTATAATTATGGCAACATCCTCTCCCCCCCCTCCTCCCTATCAGCAAGTCAATACGCAAACAAAGACTTGCTGGACATTACTGGCGCAGCAAAGATGAACTAACAGGAGATTTACTACTCTGGAGACCAAGCCATGGCAAACAAGCATCAGGACACCCAAAGAGAACATATGTCGACCAACTGACGGATGTTACGGGATACAGGATGGAAGAATTCCCAAATGCTCTGAATAACAGACAAGGATGCAAGAAACGTGTCATGGAAAACCGAGCAAGCTCCACCTGACGATAATTATGATTTTCGTATAGAGAAAAAGATTGCAGGACAGTTAAATTATAAACTATGGATAATTAGGTTGTAAGACACAAGGTGTGGTGCTGGAAAATTAAGTTTTAAAAGGTGAAGCCTGATTTCTCATTATTTTTTTCAGGGTAACTGGGAGGATGATGATCGCAATGGATGGGGAGAGTTGACATACAATAGTGGAGACAAGTACAGAGGAGATTGGCTGGATGATAAACAGCGTATGTACACAATGTTTACGCAAAGGAAGATCTGTGACCTATCCCTGACTGTTGGATACTTACTGTCTGGAGGCTTCTTTTTCTTCTTTTTATTTACACATCATGTATCAAAGGAAAATTTGAGGAGGAAGCATCTAATTGTCATATGGGTAATAAGGCGTGGGCTGGTTGTTAACTGTTATAAATTCAAATTGTGTATTGGAAAATGAGGGCTTCTGTATCACAAGAAATACCAGTAGGTGAAACCTTTCATTATTTAAAGCTCATGCATTGTTAAAGGACATACTATGAATTTTTTTCAAATTAAATTTTGAATTATATAGAATACGTCAAAGGGTAGTTTGTGCTTCTTTTGCGAGGGAAAATTCAATTTGTAGACAAAATCCTTCGTTCCTCTTTAGTATATAGAAAGGCAAAAAAGAAAAAATTCTACTTTGAACATGAAACGCAGTAAAGGGTTGGAACAGTGTGTGAATTGCAATCATGACATGGTTATTTTTTGCACTTTGATACAGATGGCGAAGGAGTAATGGAATATACAAATGGTGACATCTACAGAGGACAGTGGTACGAGGGTGACATGCATGGCCAGGTAATGTGTATTCAAATATAACCATATTTATTGTCATCTTATTGTAGTATCGTTATAATTTATGAGCAATGATAACAGTTTTTCAGCCAAAAAAAAAGTAAATGATATTCCGAAACATAAATTAAACCTCAGACCTCTCGATTTTATAATCTGATGTAAAAAACAGACATAGAGGTTGGGTGTGGGAAGCGACAATGTTTGAAAGTAAAAATATAGAGATGGTAAATATTGAGCTTACTTGTCAACCAGAGAAATACATCCAAAGATTTGGGGTTGGATTCCTCTCGGGGTACTCAGATTTTGTTCTTTGTCACACATTCGTCACTTAATCTGTTAACTGAGCTTGTAATTAAGCTTCTCTCTTTTTCCTTCCAAAACTGTTATTTAATAATTCGTTGTTTTTTTAGGCTTGCGGTTGTTGAGCAAATGGTATGTCAAGTTAATTGATAATTGGTTGGTGCTTAGCGTGTGTACATCAAGTTCGGGATACACGCGGAAAGTTTGAAGAGCACGAGAGAAGCGCAAGCGCATAAGCGCGCTATGTTTTAAATACGATAGACATCCATACATTTTGAAGGGTGTTTTTTTTTCTTTTTAGGGTACCATTACCTTCAAAAATGGAGATGAGTTCTATGGGAAGTTTTTTCACAATGAAATCGAGGGGTATGGAGAATTGTGTTGTTTCAGTGGATTGACTTACAAAGGGGACTGGACACGGAGCAAGGTAGGGTTGGTAGGGTGTCAAGTATGTATAGTCTAAATGTCTCCCGTGTTAATGTTAGTTTAGTCATAGCCTTAAGAGCAGCCGTAATTTTGACGAGCGTGTACTCAGTACGTTCTTCGTGGAAATTTTAGCTGCCGTCTTTGATTATTGAGGCAGTTGAAGGCTGGGGAGAGAAAGAAACTGGTACCTAGGGGGCGAGTAACGATCAAAAATAAGGGGAGGGGAGGGGTTGGGGCAAGAAGAACTTCTTCTTGCCTTTACAGTGAACTCTAACTCTAGATCAAGCTTGTAACGTTAGCTCGCTCTAATAAGAAGCCTGCACTCCAGGATAGGTCAGTCATGGCACATTATCCATTATGACTTATTCAGTACTTGGTGGGGTTAGATTAAACTGCGCGTGCGTGTTTATGACTTATCCACTGAGATTCAGTAAGTTTGTGTTGTTAAATTCATCGGCGCATGCGTGCTTCATATTCCTTTTGTGTACGCTGTATAGATGCACTGAGGCGTAGCAGAGGGGTTTTCTCCTAGGACAATAATAAAACTGTAATGGTGACAATGTTGTTGTTGTTATCGGCTTATGCAACAGCATGAATACATCGAGATAATAAGGGCTTTGGAAATAAAGAGAGCAATCAATGCTCTGTATGGTGATGAACGCACAGCTAATAACTGAACCTCTACCCCTAGCTTAGTAAAGTGAGTGTGTAGGATCTCATATATGTACGGTTGGTGTGTCTGCAGTCTTTACGTATGCTTAGTCATTTGGAAGGCTGTTTATTAACAAACTATGTTGCCTCAACCTAATTTATCTTTTCCACAGAAACATGGTAAAGGGTGGATGCAGTTTCCCAATGGTGACGTTTACAAGTGAGTGGAAACGATAAATGATTCGGTTCAAATAAAAGTCTGCGACTGACGTCAAATTACAAGCCCGTCATCAGGCTCTTGTTGGCCGTGGGACGCGTGCGGCAGAGCCCACAAAATGCGAGCTGTCGAGTGAAGTTTGCGTGACCTCTCGCACGGCTGCATTTCTCTCTAATGAGAAACCGTGTGTGGCGCAACATGAATTTAGAGGCTGCTCTTAGACTAACATAATGCCTACTTTGAATTTTTTTTATCATTAGATTACATATAACTGTGAAAATTGAAGGGTAAAAATACAATATGAGAGGGGGAGGGTGTGTATTTTCCAAAGTTTCGTTGCCTCACCTTGCTTTGTTTTGCTTTACAACGACTAACCTTGCAATCATCTAAACATAAGTTAAGGGACCTAGATAGAATTTCTCCTCCTTGCCATATCTGCACAATATCATGCAGACGATTGATGAGAATAAAGGAAAGTATGAATTATGGGATTACTAATTGATCCGATATCAAATTCTCCAAACTAACATAGTGAGAATCGTTTGGCAGACAGAAAGGAGAATTACTAATGAGATCTTGGGATTTAAAGGGTTAAAGGGAACCAACGATCGTGTTGTGTCATAGACCGGGCAAGGTAAGGCTGAAAAGGATTGGGGTTTGTGATAGCAACCGACGTTTTAACAACCATAAGAGAAGAGATGACGTTGGTTAAAGCAGCCCTGCTGCTGGTATGCCTGGGTCATTGTCAAGCAGATTGGACTCTCACCTTGGGGGCGTGGTTCTTATAAAGGACACTCTGTTACTGACTCAATGAGCCAACATCTAAATCAAGGAAGAGTCACCAGCAAATTATTAAGGAAATATGTCAAAATGCTTTAGGGTAACTGTGATGATCTGGAATGTCATCCTTCCATCCAGAAGCACTGACATTTGATATGCTCCAACAGCTGTGTGCCATTTGACTTGTCATGTACTTGCCATTAAAAATCCTTCTGTTTTCTTGTTTGTCTTTTGTAGTGGTCAGTTTGCTAATGATCGGATCAGTGGACACGGAGAGATGCATTATGTTGATGGCTCTGTGTACAAAGGACAGTGGATGGAAAATCAGGTTTGCGATCAGGATCCGTTCACAGTATCTTCAGTTTCTTCATTTTGCGTCGTTTTCTATCCCTCTTTGATTAATTTGTCTTCTCGCCCGCTCGGGAAGCCATTCAGAACACAGGGTTCTCTTCATCTTTCCCGTTCGCGGAGTCAGCCCACCGTCTAAATTTTCATTTATGGAGTTAGCTCTTTCAAGTGTTGGTCGTAAGCAACGTAAATCGGCTCTTGGCTTTGATTTATTTTAGCGGGGAGGGAACGGTGACTACAGAAGGGCTGATGGAACTCATTACATTGGAGGATGGAGTGGAGATCATATCACAGGCAAAGGATACATGAAGTACGCCAATGGTGACTGTTACGAAGGAAACTGGTTCAAAAACACGGTAAGCACTGCTGTTTGTTCTTGTTCTTAGAGTTACGTAACATAAGCGAAGGGAACATGATTTGGCAGTATTACGTTTTGTTGTTGGCTCGTAACTGCGAATTCTTTTAACCCTTTAACTCCCATGAGTGACCAAGACAGAATTTCTCCTTACAGTATCAGTACAATATCTAGCAGACAATTGATGAGAATAAAGAAAAATATTAATTAGAGGATTATTAGTCGATCCAATACCGAATTCTCCAAACTAACATCATAAGAACTATATGGCAGACAGTAAGGAGAATTACTTATGAGATCATGGGAGTTAAAGGGTTAATGCGAGTGGGCACCAAAATGACTCTTCAAATGTTTACCGCCACCTTGAATTTTAGAGCAGAGGTAGGTTTGGGAGTGAAAGAAATTATTCCCGTAGGTGGGGGGGGGGACGACGTCTGCACTATAAACTAAAAAAACAACTGGTAACAGTTTCCAGTCTTATTTGAACCGTTTGGTATCCCATGATAGTAATTTTGTGTGTTGATGTTTACAGCGGTTTGGTCAGGGAGTTATGAAGTACAGCAATGGTGATGTTTACGAGGGAGTGTTTGAATATGACTTGCGCAGTAAGACGGGAAGGATGACGTACAAGGACGGATCAGTGTATGACGGCTGTTGGAACAATGGGCTGGTAACTAGGCGGATCACTTCTTTGACAATTGATTTTGTTAGTCTCGTTGACTTTGTTTTATCACGTCACGTCGCAACTTTGATCCTTAATTAATTTTTTTTTAATTAGCACCACGGAAAAGGTAAAATGACATACAGCGACAAGAAGAGTGTGTATGAAGGTAGGTTTTTGTTGAATCGTTCCTGCAATTTTGACATAAAACTGACCACATATCAACCGTTTGAGTACTGGTTTGAAGATCATATAATTTGTCAAAAAGCATTATAAAATGGACATGATCTTTGGAAAATCAGCCTCGGATGGTTCCAAGAGAAACACCAGGAAACTACGACATTATATCTTCATTGATATTTAAATTTGAAATCAAACTGAATTTCATAAAACACGCTTTCCTCAGAGACGTGTTCCCCCCCCCTAAAAAATATTAGAAAAATTGTTAACAGAATCTTAGTTTTTAGGTTACTTTCTTCAGTTCTACCATTGATTAAAGTTGGAAAATTTGGTGACTCTTTCAGGAGAATGGATGTTAGGTATGAGACATGGTGAGGGAAGATTGAAATATTCCAACGGAGCTAGTTACACTGGTCACTGGGAGTTTGACAAGGTATAGTGAATTAGGTCTAACTTTGCTTAATTTTGTTCCTCCTTAGCCAACAGAAATAACAAAATGTGGAAAATTACGAGTTTTTTGTTGTTTCAAGTAAGAGAGAGAGCTAGTCTAATTACTGTGAAAGCCTACCACAGTGACAAAATACGTTTTGCTCAGTTGGAGGTTCAATTTAGCTGTTTGTTGTGTGTCCTTGATACGATTGGCTATTTCTGAGATGATCCACTATTGCGGTATTTTTGCTTTAGATCGCTTTGAGATCGGTGTTCAAAACTCGGGCCACCCTCTCAACCAATCAGATGCAAAACTAAAACCAATCGTGACGTGATCATTGCTGGTTTCCCGCGCCACAGATGGTTTCCTTGTATTTTCTTTGCGTTCTCATTGGCTTCCTGTGGTATTTTCCCCCGTTCTAATTGGCTTCTCTTATAACTTTGTTTCTGGTCTCATGACACTCAATTGAAATGCGCTCAATTTTTTAAATAGGATTGAACCAGGTTTTAAAATCTTGAGTCTTCTCCATTTGTTGTGAAGTTGATCAAAGCCAATTTTTGCCCTTTATTCTTTCTTTTCCAATGAATCAACAGCGAAACGGACGTGGAATGTATACCGACCCTTCTTCTGGCTATCGTTATGAAGGTAACTTAACCATTTTGTGGTGTCCTGTACGTGGTCAATGGGGGGGAGGGGGGATATTACAAGTTTGGTTTTGTCAACTGAGATGACCTCAGATGATAATGTAGATAGGCCACCGTAAGGAGTTTATTGAGCTGACTTTTCGAGCATTGGCTCTTCGTCAAAGCGAAGGGCTAGAAACGTCAGCTTTATAAATTCTTGCGTGTGTTGTTAGATACTTCAGTGTAATTACCATTTCACTCCGTTGTAAAAGAGAATTATTTTTAACAATCACTCAACGCAAGTTCACAGTTTTCCAAAATTAACGGTGATGCCTAGATTTGAAAAGGCCCAAAAAGCTTTAAGGATATGTTGTTGATCTTTGAGGTTCCGTAAAATTTAACATTTTCTGTTGATTTTGCCTTTTTACCTTAGGGGAGTGGAAGAATGGACACAAACACGGCAAAGGTGTCGAACATACTCCTGAAGGAGTATACGAAGGCGAATGGAAAGATAATATGGTAACTTGATGTTAACAAATTTGAGTCATTTCGGTGAACAGTTTGAACCCTTGAGCAACAAGCAACTGTTTGACAGGGTAGCTCTGAAAAGAACTACTTTTTTGACAGCCTTGGCGAACGTCATCACATTAAAGGGAGGGGTTGTTTGTCAGTTGAGTGTGATAAGTTTCAAAACTGCCTGTCACTAATACCGATAGCAGTCCTTTTGATTTATAGCGGAGCTCGCAGAACGTAGCCCCATAATTATACTAAATGGTAGTAGTAACCCATCAAGCTGAAAAAAATTGGACTTATGACCGTACGGGCGTCTGTACAAGGTGCTACTTTTAACATGCGTGGTCAACTGTACCGCGGGCACGCCAACGCCACGGCTTTGTCCAGTAGTCCAGTGGTCAGTACACTGGGCTCCGAGTTGGACGACACGGGTTCCAGTCCTGGCCGGGCAAGGCGTTGTGCCCTTGAGACGTGCGGGAAAAACAAAATGCGAGCTCCGCTTTTAGGCTTATTTTCAGTACTTTTGCTAACGAACCGACTTTCACGTATTGCTGTTTTATTCATCAGATCAATGGTGTTTTTCGTACAAGAATTTTTAATTGTCTTTTTTTTTCAGCGCCATGGCCAAGGGCGGGAAATATCGGTTTGTGAAACGGAATTTGAAGGAAAATGGAAGGAAAATAGAAAACATGGAACAGGCACTAAAAAACTGAAAAATGGGCGAGTGGAAGGGCAGGTGAGCATTGTCAATTAAAATGAACTTACTGTTTGCTTACCTTATATTTTACATTTTGCGTAATGCGGTCTTCTCACTCTTCTCGGCCATGCTTGTCAGTAAGTGACCGTCTGGTCAAATCGTGTGTCAAAAAACTCTCTCCAGCGCTTCTGCAGCTCAAATTCCTTAAGCTACTATTATTCCATAAACTACCCGGGTCGACCACTTTCGTGGCCGGCAGAAATTTTTGTGTCAAGTTTCTGATAAGAAACAGCTTGTGCAGAATCCTTCCGTTACTCCACACTAAGATAACTTAAAAGGAAAAAATGGATATAGGATATGCTATACCGTATATTGTAAGTTTTTTGTTTTATTCGTCTCCTAAGCGACCACTCTCTTTAAGCGACCACCTTTTCCTGTGCCAAGGTCAGGCGCGTGAGAGGAAATTATTTTTAACTATAGGTACTCCTTTCACTTGGTATGGATGAAAGAAGTTGAGAGTACTCCATATTTGTGTGTTTCTAGGTCTGGGAAGAGGGCAAACATGTGGATATATCGAGTATTGACGTAATAGAACTGCCCCTCATCCAGAGGAGATGATAATAATTTATGTTACCATCCCGAAATTTGAAACTACAATTCCAAGGATTAAGAGTTTTCTAGCGAAGAGATCAAAGGAATAATGAGATTTTTCCTTTACCCCTGCTTGACCAGGTGTAGATGTTGCTCTCCCCTGCCCCGTTCGATAAAAGACCCACTTCAGTTTGGCAAGGTATTTTTTTAGGGAGGGGGTTTCCTATACTGCTTATCTACCAACGTTTGTTGAACCTCTTTTTTCGCTTACTACAATGTATGAGGTAGTACTAGGAGTGATAGGACAATAAGCTGCAGAAATTTTAGCTTTTTTTAAATGTTTTATTTTTATTAATTCAACTTATATTTAAGGATAGATCGTCACATAAGACTTAGGAATAATACTGTTTTGTACAAAACGGTAACTTTTACTTGCTGTTAGTATTTGCTACTTGCTACAGTATTTAAAGGAAAATGAAAGTATTTTCGTATGCAATTTGGGGTAGAATAGCTATCAACAGATTTAAAAGATTGAGTGTAGAAGAAAGTATTGAGTTAAACTAAGGTTAACATTTTGAGATGTTCGTCAGAAAGAAATAAGTTAAAAATTGGAGATTAGTCAAATACATTAATGGAAATAACGATAATGATGATAAAAAGCCGGGTTTTTTTTTTCTGTAGTAGTGAGGGAAGGGGGTTTTTTCCATTGAAAGGAAACACAATACTATTAAGTTCCGCATTTTTTATTTGAAACTTTTCCCTTAAACTATGGATAAAAATGGTTATTATTAGACAGTGAAGCGCGAACAACTTGAATTAAGCACTTTCATCTAATTTTTTAAACCAGGAACCATGTAATGCGTGTTTGACGTTATTTTTAAGTGAAACCTTACATGAAGTAGCACTCTATTGTACTCTCACCCTAAGCAGTTCTGCCTTTGTAAACCGATGACATATTTTCTCTATTTTTTGATTTGTGTTATAGATGCTTTGATTATCTAAGAAATCCAAATATTTTTATTATAACAGGCATTAGAAGTTCTTAACTTGGAAGGTTTTCAAATCAATACAAACGTAGGCTCACAGAGTAAAGAGCTATGTATAATTTAACTGATCTTGGTCTGGAACACCTATCAAAAAAGCTAAGTACTGGTTATTGTAGTTTTTGTTGCGCAAAAAAACCTTAACAATAAAAAGCTCGTGCAGCATGTTCAGCCAATCAGAGAACATGATACACTATAAACCAATCCTATTCACGTCAAAACCACTATGTCATGGTATTGTCTCGTTCTCTCCGGAGTACCGAGTACTTTCCCTTCCATCAGTGTTTTCGGGAGTTACGTGACCTTGAGGTGTTCCAGGCTAACTAGAAATGCAAATAATTTAGGATTTTTAAAGGAGTTATTGAAAGACTAATTCAAATGATGGAAATATCGAGTGGGTGAATTTTGCAGTTCCAAGATATATTAAAAGATGGGTTATTCATTTAAGAAAATATATAAAAATATGTTTACAGCAAAGGCACGAATTTTAGTTTACGGTATCCCCTTTTTTTACCCAAGTCACTTAGACAAAATGAACAAATCGCATTATAGGAAAGGAACAGTGATTCCAACCAATTTAGTTTGACCAATTAGTGTAGAGGACCAACGCAACAGAGACGACAATGAATTTATACCAAGTTTTATTACGCGTGTCCTTTAGTCGGATTGTTTACTTTAGCGAAGGGACCCTGTTAACCTATGTAGACGTGTAGTTCTTCTTTTGGAATTTGAGACCAATTGGTTTCTTTTTCCTTGAGGAGGAAAGAAGGAAAACAGATCACAGAAAATTTTCACCTGTTACTATTGTTGTAAATGAGCTTCTTGATTGAGTCAATAATTGTAGACTTTGACGATGAAAGCTAATCGAAATTCTATTAACTGTAAATTGTAATTAAAATAAATGTCTATGCTATAGGCCGAGGTAGTTTGTGCTGGCACAAAGTAAATTTAGCAAAATAAATAATATGGATGCAAAATGTAGTTTGGAGAAGGTGGAAAAATAAAATAGCTTTTTGCAACTCTTTGTACTCTTGCTTGGTTCTATCACGGTGTTGACTATCCTCCCATTGTTCTATGCATTCTTAGATACATTTTTCCTTATCACAGGATTTCTCTTCTTTTCCAGTTTTTTGTATTAGAAGTTACCATGTTGATATGAAGTATTTCGATGACTCTTAAAAGGTCTTTTTCGCGCTATGGCATATATGTTTACAAGACGGTGTTTTCACTCGCAAAAGGCAAGAAAAGTTTTATGCCCACATTGGAAAACAGGTGCTTTATTTCCTGTTTCAGTAATTTCTTTTCCACAACCTCTGCTACCCTGATCCAGCAGAGCGGGCGCTAGTAATAGGAACGAGATATACGCTTCCACGGAAACGATTGGCTTCATTCTTAGGCATGCCCATTTAAGGTTGTTCATCGCATGATACAATGAACAGAACAGTTTCTCCAAACTACCATATTAGTCGAATAAGTGCCGCCCCGAAAAAGCGTCTCCCTCGAATAAGCTCCGCATTTGAGGCAGAAATTTAGTAGGCGGCACCTTGAGTAATCGCCGCATTTGGAACAGAAAATTTAATCAGCGCTGCGGTTCCAATGTAGCGCTTATTCGAGGAATTTTTTCACACGCGCAGATTGAAAGGTAGAAGAAGTGTATCTTCGCACGCCGTGGCTCGTAGACTCAGGTCAAGAAAGGATCAGTCCTACCCTTGCCTCCAGCTGCAGCAAAATGTACTGTGAACCGATGAAATGACGCGCGTGATTAGTGCCAGTACAGGCATAAATGGGGTAAGTTTGGCTCATCATATCTCTTAATCAAACACGGTGACCTCTCTGTTTTCATTGTATTGTTAGAAACAGACACTGGTAAGGAAAATTTGAGGAAAGTCTAAGAAAAAATTGTTGGATAACTTTTTTTTCTGAGGAATCACCTTAACCATTCCTACTCCTTGGTTGAGAGAACAATCGCCAAGGAAACATAGAACAATGATTAGGCCATGGCTAGAACGCAGGTCAAATCTGCGGCCACAGCCACAACTTCCTTAAATGCAGATTCACTGATAAACAATTTGGACGGATAGAAGAAAATTCCCCAATGGACAATATTGGTTGATGAGGATTTGTTTTAGACTCAAGGAACCACACCCTAAAAGCTTGCTAACTTCAATTTTAATTTAAGTAATGACAACAGCTTAAAAAAAATTCTTAGTCAAAACTACTCTCTTTTAACATGCATAAAAACAGCTGTTCTGAGAAGTCATTAAAAACACTTACACAAGAAAGTTGAACAGCTGTCCTGAGAAGTTATTAAAAACATTTACACAAGAAAGTTGAACCCAATAATTTGTAATGTTCATCCTCTGTTGAAATCTTTATGAATTCTAAGAAATTGCTGGAGAAGATAAAAACAAGTTCCTTCTTGCACCAGGAATACAACTGATTTGAAACTCACAATTTGTATTTCATACCAAACCCTCATCTTTGTACAAATCAATACTTACAAAAATGTGGAGACAAAACTCCTCCATTGTGCTGGGTAAATTTTAGGGGTTGTTTTGTGTTTCAAACATGTAACAAAAATGAAGAAACTAGAGCAAGGTGATCAGATGAGATATACTTATTTGGGAGGCCACCAAGAGTCCGTATATCACTTTCTGACAGCAACTCAAGGTTCCCTGTCATCTGTAGGGATCCATGACGGCGGTGACACCTTTGGCAGTTCTGCCGCCGTCCAGGAGAAACAAATATATAGTCTACAGTAGTGCACACTTGATCGTGAAAAGTTGTCACTTCTGGCTGCCCATCTTGAAAGTAATGCCTGTACACACTAAACACATCAGAAAAATTGTGCCGTTGGATTGTGGTAGCATCGTATACCCTTTTTTCAGTCATTTTTGCCAAAAGATGTGTACTTCTTTGTGCTTCTTCCTGTGAAACATTCTCATTTTCTGTGGAGTTTAAAGAGGATGGCTGAGTGTTTTGCAGTGATATTCTTCCACGTACATCTGACTGAAGTTCAGTGCTTGAACCAGGTTCTGGATTGAACCAGAGAGATCCTAAATGGTGATTTCTTGGCAAGTGAGCACAATTACCAGCCTTTCTAGACAATGAAAAATGTTGTCTACTCTTCTCAAATGGTAACACACTCTTTGATGCTGACACACAAGATGCAGATCCTGTAGAGAGGGGCTCCACTCCTGAGGGTTGCAAATCAACTTTCTCACAATCAATACTTAAAACACTCTCTACTTCTGTTGACTCATTTCTCTTGGTGCATGTTGTTGTGATTCCTAGTTCCCAAGGAATAATATTACTTCTTAATTCCTGACTTGGAGGGTAACTCCTGCGCACATGACTTTGCCCAGAAAAGTTATCACGATGCATGCCTTTGTAATTAAGAGACCCTCGCATAACAAAATCATAGATTGGTGAAAATGGAGTACTGTTGAAATCTCCACAACAAATGATGGGATGATAGGCTGGATTTCCTTGACCAGAAGAGGAGATTCTTGCTATTTCCTCAATTTCTGAAAATAAGCAGGCAAGTTGGGCAAGTTTGATGTCTCCTCTTTTTTTGTTGAAAAGTAAATGAGTGTTTGAGATGCATACAAGATTGTTTGAATTGCGAGATGAGCGGCCTGGAACTTTTGGTTTCAAAAGAACCACAACAGCTACATTATGACGATCCATAAGCTTCACGTTTGGTTTATTAAAGGAGACAAGTTCTGATTTCACTAACGTAAATCTTGATTTCTTGAAAAATGTAGCGCATCCATCTGTTTTATCACCACTTCTTTTCTTGTACACTCCAGTATAACCTAATAAAATATGTTAAAATCTAAAATTCATGGTTCTAAGAAAAGTCTCTAACCAACATGCACATGTGAAAGAAATTCTAAAAAGGCAAGAGAACTATGGGGTTCTAAAGAGCTCAAAAATCAAAGAAAAATTACACCTTGATGTAAATTTATAATCCCACCACAATAAGGATGAAGACAGCCTTCAGAAAAAACATTACACATGATCTTGGTTTGACTAGACTTTTGTTAGTTGTGAGATCATAGAATTCGATAACTTATGAAAAGCCGTCAAGACCAAAGATAAACTTGACCTTAACAATGTGCCATGCTGAGTTAAAGATTGGAGGCTTAGCCACAAGTTTATACCCAGCCTTTCTTTTACCCCTCAATCATTCCTAGAGATGGGAAGAGAAACCCTGAGAAAAACTCTGTTGGTCAGTCATGCCCTCTTCTAGTCTTGTCTAAACTCAGAAATGAATGTCATTTTTACCTTTCTCTCTCAGCTTAGGTTCAAACCAGTCCTCATAATGACTATCTTCAACTTCTTGAAGACACAAAACCTAGTACATAATTATATGTAACATTCAAGACACCTGACTGTCACATTTAACTTTGTGGCAATCATATAAAATATCATGAATTCATTCATACTCTGCCTCATTTGCCACAAGCAAAGAACATACATGTACTCTGATGCCACGCAAGTGAGAAACAAGGAAAAGATTGAACCAGCAGTGATAACATCTGTACCTCACTCAATTCATTGGAAAAATGAAACATTCAGCTGCCTTGCATGAAGACCACACTTTCTTAATTTAGAGATTTCAAAATTACAGATAATAGTTCCTCCTGACAAATTTAATGAAGGTTTTCTTCCAATAATTCAATTCACTATTACCAATACTTACATCGGCCTTGTAGGATAGCAATTCTTTCAGAAGATTTTTCCGTCTGTACTCCCAGTCTTTCAGCCACTCTTCAGATCCACAGTACAGATGGCTGTTGGAATGCAGTAAACCATCAGCAAGTACATTGTAAGAAACTACTTTAAAAGTAAAGTTCTGGTTTCTCTGTGGCCAATAACATTTTCTTCGCAAATTGTGCCACCTACGTCCCAACTTATCTGGAGATGTAAAACACGGCTGCTGGAAGGGTTCCATACTTTCAGAGCAGTATTCTTGATAAGAGCCACTTGAAGCATTTTGCTCTTCACCTTGACTTGACTGTACTGGTTTGATAGTTGTTGTTGATGGATAAACAGGTGTGCAATATGTGGAGTTGGCTGAATTGTTTTGAATAGGAGTCTCATGTTGATTCAAGTTCCCAGCACTGCTAACTTCAGGGACTGCGGCATAAGATCATAATAATTAAGTATAAACATTCCTGGTCTAATAAATAAATAAATAAAATAGAATTCATATTCAAATAAAACTGGTGGATGCCAACTTCAGGTAACATCAATTCATCAGCAATGAACAGTAGTGAAAAAGTTATCCAATCTGACACCACTACCATGACTTATTTAGTGATAAGAAATCAAATCCATTTTTCTTTTAAAAATAATGATTTTAATCAGTTACTATTGATTGTTATTACTTTCCCACTAACACAAAATTTGATCCACAAAAGGGAAATAATAATATCCTTGCTATCAACTGTTTTGATAACATTGATTGTTAAAACAACTTCACTTGTCATTCAGAGGGTTTTCTCAGTCAATTGTGTTGATGACATTGATGGTGAAAACTACTTCACTCTTCATTCAGAAGGTTTCTCAGTCTATTGATGTCAACAAGAGGGTAACTAAGGGTAACAATGATATCAGCCAGTGAAACCCAAAGAAATAATGTGATAATCCAATGTGTAAATGCTGACATTAACTGCTAAAAATTAATGCTAAAAAGTGGTATCAATTTTTTATTATAAAATAATTCAAATAGTACGTGCGCTCTGATTGGCCATAAAACCATTTTACATAAGCGTATGTAAACACGGTTTTCGTTCCTCTTTCATTAGTTATTTTATAGAAGAAATGTAAAATGGTTTCTGTGTTTACATAGCCTGATGATAAGCTGGCAACCACTCCGCTTCGCGTCGTGGTTTCCTACGCTTATCTTGTGTTCTCCCAACCTCCCAAGTGTTTACATCAGGCTATGTAAACACGGAAACCATTTTACATTTCTTCAATGTCACTCATTCCTGTCATTCACTGATAACACCAAGCTTGTCTGAAGTGTTATCAAAAACAGCCTACGTATCAGCACTCTCCCCGTTATGAAATTCCTATCTCTTGCAGAGGTAACAATAAGGACCATTTAAAAAAAGGAAAGATCGAGGATTTTCCCTCAGTACTCAAACATGTAACTTACATCAGCATAACAACGTTTACAAATTAATAAAAGCGAATACGATGGCAATGGTTCAAGCTGACATTATGATTGACACAATGCAAAGCAGACTGAAATGATTCTCCCAATACGATTCCGACTCATGCGACGCGAAATACACGAATACTAAACGTGCTAGAGCTCTCTGTACACAAATGTCAGATGAGAGGCAAGATTTCTGTATAATCACATACTTCATCATGAATTCAGTCCTTTGATAAAATAAAATAATTGCAAGTACAACAGATTTTTAAACTAAGGCTTTGTTTATAAATCATAAGTATCGGGTTATGTAGAAATATTTCCGAAAAGAAGCGCGCAAACCTTGCATGTCTACCAATGATGCACTGCTCATGGCTTCCGTTGCGTCGTTTATTTCGGTAGATTTCCTTCCGAACTGTTTTCCAGCAGAAGTCTGATGTACTTCCCCCTCATATGAATATTTACACTTCTTGGCAGCTCGAGCAAAGAACGGCCTTACAGCTTTCATCCTAAATGTCGTCACCCGTTCGTTGCGTGTAGTTTCGCAACGCTTACACAGCAATGTACCTTTCTTTTGGTATCAATAGCGTGACCTTCATGAGCCCGCAGGTGAAGGCGTGGCTACAAATGTGATCAAGCTGCTCTCACAAGGAAGATTGCTTTGCATTTGAAGTGATCGGGAGAAACCTCAAAAAATGTTTCACACCAGTACGCAAAGAAAGCATTGGACTTTTTCAAGTGAAGAAGAGCTACGACATATTCGTCAGGAGGTAAACGGCGTTTACTGTGAGAGTTTTCGCGAAAACTTCCCTGCGAAGAAAGATGTTGACTTTTTGACTGTTGAGGAAGGAATGAAGTTGGTCGAATACTACCAAAGTGTTTTGATTGAAGTTAGCGAAAAGTTTCAACCTCCTGTGCCAAGTGCTGTGACAGCAACAGCTGTGGCTTACTTAAAACGTTTTTATTTAAAAACATCAGTCATGGATCACCCTCCGAAAGAGATGTTCTTGGTCTGTTTGTACATGGCTTGCAAAGTTGAGGAGCATAATTTGTCTGTGGATAGATTTGTAGAAATCCTTCCAGTAGATCGGAGGGCAAAGACCATAGACTTTATTCTTGCTCATGAATTACTACTAGTGCAACGTCTTGACTTCCATTTAACAGTTCACAATCCGTATAGACCACTTGAAGGCTTTATCATCGATTTTAAAACCAGGTGTCCAAGGTCAGGTGATCCTGAGAAATGGCGTCCGTTAGTAGCAGAATTTCTCAGAAAAGCTCTATTGACTGATGTTTCCTTACTTTACCCGCCATCACAAATTGCTTTAGCGGCTCTTTTTAGTGTATCCCGTGAGTACATAAGCGCTTACATAAGTGCAAATCTGGGTGAGCAACACGAACTTCTTCTTCGCCAGATTGAAAACGTAGTAAGTCTGGTTACTGTTCAGAAATGTACAGTGAGTAAAGAAGAGGTCAAAAGTTTAGAACAGAAGCTGAAATCTTGTAGAAATCCTGAGAACAACCCTGATAACAAACTGTTTAAGAAAAAGAAAGCAGAAAGGGAGAAAGCGATGGATATTGATGACTCGTGGCTCTGACAAGAAATCAGAAGAGACTAGTGAAAAACATTGCCTTGGAAAGGGACAAAGTTATAACTACTGTGTTGAGTTACTGTTAGTACCTTATTAGAAGTGCTAGTAATTTGTTTTGAACTCAAAGGACAATAAAGTGAAAGCTTTTGTGCATTCCTCTTCGTGTAATGTCATTTTTAACCCTCTAACTCCCGTGAGTGACCAAGACAGAATTTCTCCTTACTATACCTATACAATATCATGTGGACTAGTGATGAGAATGAAGAAAGATATCAATTATGGAATTACTGATTGATCTGCTACCAAATTCTCCAAACTAACAAAATGAGAATCATTTGGCAGACAGTAAGGAGAATTACTAATGAGATCTTGGGAGTTAAAGGATTAAAGCTTTCCCACTGTAGGATGGGAAGCATCTGAAATCTGCTTGCTTGAGATCTAAAGGGGAGACATGGGTTTGACCTGGTTTGCACCCTGGCCTCTACATTTTAAGATTTGCACCCCAGCTGCATTATTGTTTTGGGATTTTGGGCAAATGATTATTTTCCCTTACCATGCCTCTCTATCCACCTCCATTTAGTTTCTGCTTTACCCTACCACTGAATGTTAACAAGGTATAAAATCCCTAAAACAATCCCTTTCTACCAGAAGAACCTTAGAGCCACCCTGATGAATAATTTTAAAGACAGACTCTGATTAAAGACAGGGTTCATGATGATAGACTACCATATTATAAACAGTAAAATCAAGCTGATAGTGTAAATCTCTAAATGTTTTATGTTGAAATAGAAGGCAGCCAACAAGAGCTTAAAAAAAGAAGCAATCTGCCTGAGGCATGGGGAAAATGAAAGTTGCTAAGTAGTGACTGGCTTTGGTTTTGCATCTGTTTGGCTGAGAGGGGAGTGCATGGCTTTTGGACAATCAAAGATGCATAGTTGACCCAAACCATACAACAAATACAATCATGGATTACCAGCATCACTCAAATGAGCACTGCATTCTAACAAAGGCCTATGGGAAGATGTGGCTGAACACATTGGTAATTTAAACAGGGTAAAAATAATTAAAGAAAGCAACAAAACTTTTAAGTCTGTTATACATGTTTTGACGGAAACTTCTGTCATCTTCAGTTAATTAGTGTACAAAGCATTGGAAATGAATTATTTAGAAACTAAAACAATGCTAATTATGATAAATAGTGACAACAAGAAAAGAGGTAAAGCATGAAAGTGTGAGAATTAAAAGGATAAATTCTTGACTTGCCTGCTAATATCAAGACCCTTTGGTAAAAATTATTCCTTTTAAAGATGTAAGGTCTACCTAATATTTCTTTTCAATTACCAGTGAATTATTAAGCATAATTATTGCTGATGAGGCATGGGTATATTTTAGATTAAAGTTAGACAAAACAGAGAAACATGAACTGCAAATTAAAGTTTGATTAGATATAAATGACTGGCTGATTTCTCAAAACTACCTAGTTTTACATCAATGAATATAATATATTTTACTTGGCCTTAAAACACTACACCAAAATTATAATTTAAGCATGTTTAACATGACTATGACGTGGATGCTGGATAAATTTGTATAAATATGTATTGCTGAATATACATTTTGAAATATAACAAAGGCATTTTGTTAGGTAAGGGTATGCTCCAGTTCTAAGAGATCTGACAATGAGCCAGATCTTCACTGTTCAGGAAGTAAACTCAATATCTAATCCTTGTTTCCTTTTGGAAGAGAAGTATGAAGAGACAAGAGTCCTTCCTGCTACTGGTCGCCCAGCCACATAAACTTGAAGAATGTTTCTGTCATCACCTGTGCAAATGGCATTTAATAGCAAAGGATAAAAAGTAAGACATCAAAATTGATAACAGGAATTATACTATCTTATGTTAGGACTCAAAATTGTCAGCTCAATTCAGGGTATGCCATCAACACAGATTTAAAAAATATGCAAATATTTTCTGTATCAAATTTAATGTTAAAATCAAAATGGAGCAGAGTGAGTGATCAAGAAAACAAAGAGATAGACCTAATAATGCTTTCAGAAGACTGTAGATCAGATTAAATTAATTCCCTCCTTTCATTGAACACATGACAAATTATTTAAAACTGAGACTCTCGTGAAGCAGTGTTGATTAAATTCAATCAGTAATAATTGTTATGACTCTAGCTCTGGACTTACCAAGCATCAGAAACTTCTGAATCACATCCTTTTAAAAAAAAAAAAAAAAAAAAGAAATACAGATTACTATAAATAAGTATTGATTAAACTATACTAACATTTAACAGCCTGAAATGTAGTCTTCATTTAACATGCAACATATTACTTTGCTGTTCATTAATACTTCAAGGAAACTACCCAGAGAGGGAATCTTTATTGCTGGAGTTTCTCCATCACTCAAAATTGCATTGTGTTTGTGCATCTTCATGTGAAATAATAGTCGGTGCTCCAAGCCACAAATGTTTTTGTCACATTAGGAACAAAAAAAAATTGAGGGACCAAAATTTGCAGCAAAGTTGACAATTTGGTGACCCATATTTGATAGCCTGATGAAGGTGTAACATTTTTATAACAAATGGATCAAGTCAATTGGACATTTCCACAAAATATTAGGTAGTGCACCACATGTCCATTTTTTTTGCTTTTGTTTTTCTTCCTTTTGTTTCCTAGCAACCTAAACTAAATTTATTTCAACTGGCAACCACTTTATGCTCTTAGGTTACCACACGGTGAATCTTTAAAACATTAAGTTACTGCTACACCATCAAGGAACTCCACACTTGATCAAAAACTATTACTTTGCATTTTTTTCTCCAGAAATAATATACAATGATTACTGGTTTAACACAAGTTGCATTTAATAGCAGCTTTGAATCCCTTTATTCGGTCTCTTGTTGAAGCAAAACAGTACAGAACCATCAGGGGTAGGTCTAAGGATTTGATAACAGTCAATAAAACTTGAATATAGGATGACTGGAATCATATCACCCTTCACTGGCCATATACCTACCTCTAAGGTGTCATTGTCAAAACAATCAAAGGGCGAGTCCTCAGCATCAGGGTCAATAAGTAATGCATCAAATTCTTTGCTAACCTTGTTTGAAAAAGTTTCAAAACAAAAGCATGTATTATCACTATATAATGAATAAATTGGTGTTCAGCCAGGTTATATGTTACAGTTGTTGTCCTTATTACCCTTTCTTTAATTTATAGATGATAATAAAGAGGGCAAGTAGCATTTGATAATTTAATTCATTACAATGTCAAAAAAAAAAAAGAATACTGTGTTGAGATGCAGGTCCACTCCAAGAAATGCCACAAGCTAGGCTAGATCCTCTGTGAATTTAAAGCTGCTAGAGAAAATACTACATTTATCCTTACCTCAAAGTTGCCAATTTTGTCACTTAATCCTAAAACTGAAATGTCAGTAGATAATAATTAGTAATCAGATCCCAATTCACAGTGTTTAGTTTAAACAACCAATTGAACTAGATAATGGATATTTAGAATGTAAGTTGAAAAAAATCCATGATCATCAACCTTATATGCTAAAGGTTTTGGCATAATTCTTACCCTCACTGCCCCCTAAAGTGGCCAATCTAAAAGCATCCTTGTAAGACAGAGATCTGTAAGATTCAGGCTTGCTGAAGGCAACAACATTGGAGGCAGTTATACACTGACGAATGACATCAAGCATTGATGGAGAGTGGCCTCCTGAGACATCTGTAGGCTCCATTGAGAAACAAAGAGGGGGAAATGTTAAAACTCCTCATACTAAATATCAAGACTTTAAATAAAAGCCTCTCAAAATATTGCACATCTGATTCAGTTTCCAGTGGACTCATTGCAATATATCCACTTAGGAGGACTGAAGCTTATAGTACATTCTATTCAACATTTAAGCATGTTGATTTCAGTTCACTGTTTGTAAAATTAAAAAAAACAACAACAACAATTCATCTGGTATTGATTCTACCACTGAAACTTATTTCCATTAAATTTTGATTAGGACAGTGACTTAAGATCCAATAGTTTCGATGATAAAGACTATATGCAGAGACACCAATGATTTTGTGCAACTCTTAATTAATGATAAACTTAAAGTTAAAAATTAATACAGTGTTATGGTGCACACATTAAGTTAACATACATCATTGTCTCAGAAAGCTTGTATTACCTGTTCCAAGACCAACTTTTAACTGCCTATCCAGCAGATGTCTGATATCAGCAACACCACTTTTCAAACTTGAGTTAGGAGAAAAATAAAATTTTCAGTCCAGTATAGTCGAAATTAAAGCTAAATAATAGCCTTAATTACAATTTTATCACTGTTTTTTATCATAAGGCCTCAAAGACTCAGCCAAAAATCTTCTCAGTTATTAATTCCTCAGGGAAATATTATTTAAAAACAATTTAATTACTCTCCCATATTTGAAAACCCAAGTTCCTAGAAAGATGTTATCAAAATTGCAAAATGTCTTTCATGTCTATGCTATAAGTGTAAGATCTCCCATGATCAAAAACTTCTAATATTTAAGTTTACTTTTTGACATGGTAATCTGAAATAGGTAATGGTTGGAGTGGTGCTAATTAGAAATTTACTTATCAAATTTCTCATCCAACAAATATTTTTATTTGCTCTATATATAGGAGCAGTCTGAAGAGTGATAATTTTATGAAACATAAATATAAGAGGCCCATACGTACTCAAAATTTGAAATAGGGCAATGAGCAACCCCAGTGCTACGTAACAACATCAGGTCAATCTCTTCCTCAGTAACATAAATACAGTGTGCATAATAGGCCTATGGTTGAAGAAAACAGAAAATTCATTTGGTTGTACTACAAAAATTGTACTTATAACAACCTATTGTCAACTCAAGTATAAGTTCTGCTGTAAATTTGTTTTTTTTTGTCTCTTGTGGCTTTGAAATGGACATTGGTATACCCCCAATCCTTTGTTCATATTTCACATTTGCATTTTTATTTTGCATCTACCCAATTTCAAAAATCAAAAACTGATAATTAAACAATTCAGATTCAATCCTCACATTGATCTTGCTTTCATGGCTAGAAGCACTTCAGAATGAAACTTTTTCAAGGCATAGCTTCCTTAAAATAAGTGGATTTACCTTGTCTGTTAGGAGCTCACATTCCTCAAGTATTTTTGCCAAATCAGAAGTCTGAGAAAACTCGGAAGCAAAGTTCCAACTAGCCAGTTCATCTTTGATTTCACGCAAATGTCCCTGGAATTTTTGTAAATAGCAAGTAAGAGATTTATTAATCAGTCAAACCTATGAAAAAAAATGTATTATAGCAGTAAGGCTAGTGGGATTTAACAATTAACGACCCAAAAATTCTGAATCAAATAAAACAAAGCAAGATTTAAAATTCAAACTGGCAAGAGGCAAACCAATTTGCTATTTACAGTCACTGCTTACTATTCACCAAGTATAGTAAATGGTTTGAACCCCAGGGTAACATGTGAAAATGTTGTCTGATTGTCTGGAAGAGTGCAGACCTGAGAAGGACTGTTGTTGGTAGTGGTGACTGATGTTTTGACAACCTGAGCAGAAATCATCATCAGAGTCAAGTGATTGGTTGTAGTTAGTCAAATGTTCTAAATCCCATTTGCATAACCTGATTGATCAGTTTTGTTGTGATGCTTTTGCTTGTAAGACTTAAGCGGCATAAGTAAGTTGTGATTGGTCTCATTCAGTCCATTGGTAAAGTTAGGTAGTTCTGTTTTATTGGTTTGTAATTGTTAATGTCATGTATAAGTTATCCGTATGGTGCCAGTAGTTGTTGTGTTGTGCTGCATATGAGGCATTGCACAAGTCATCAACCCTGCTTCCATACATACACCTTCCATACTCAAATAAATATTAGCGATCAACTATAAAAAAATTTATCACTTAAATTCAGATGTGCATTTCAATTAAGTCTCTGCTCTTTTACTAACCTGAATAGGGACATTGTATTTTTTGGCTAATTCTCCATGAATTGTCAAAAGTGATTTGGTACAATGTGCAACTCCTCTCGCAGTCAGAACAGGAGTCACAAGGGGATGCTACACAAAAAAAATAATTATACTTCACTCAAGACAGAAAATGTAAAGCAGGATATGTGTAAATCTACTTTGGAAAGTAGTGAGAGGTTATAACAAAAGATAAATTGCTATTGGTTTTGTCATAAATATCAGACAGAGAAAAAAAAAGTCCTCATGTAAAGGTGAAGAGCCACAGACATTTGAATTCTGTAGTTTGGTGCTCTACCAACAGGTAACAGTACCTGCTGGTGCATTAAGCAATTTCCATGTTTGTATTTGAAAAGTGTTCTACATATACTGCAGCTATGATTGGCAATTTAAAAGTAATGTCTACAGGTAAAAAAAAGGTAGGAGATTTTCCTACAATTCTACTTACATTCATGTCAATCACATGTTTGATGAACCTGTTCATAAAGACACATTTTAAAGCACATTAATATGCATGAAATGAGACAAATGTGGCATAATGGTGAGTGCATTGGACTTTGGGTCAAGACTTGCCAGGTCAATGTGTTGTGTTCTTGGGTAAGACACTTATCTCTTACTAACAGTGCATGCCTCTCTCCACCCAGGAGTATAAATGGGTACAAGCAAATTGTCAGGGAAGCCTGTTGAAATGCTGCAGGGTAACCTTGCAGTGGATTAGCATCCTATCCAGGAGGAAGTAGTAACACTCCTAGCTGCTTCTTGCTAATTGGAAAGCAGGATAAGCACTTGTTGGGTGAACCAACAGGCTCAAGAACAGACTTGCTCTTTATTCCCCTGAAAATTTCCAATGACCTCATGGGGTGGGTGATCATCTCCTTGCACCACTAAACTGACCTTCCTTGATCTTAGAATAAATCTTAAAATCATGGTTTCTCCCAACTACAGATGAAACTTTTATTATTAATTTTGGTTTCTCTAACATGAAGTGACATGAAGTATAGATACTATACCCACTGATGACATGCTAGTTTGTAATAGGCTTACATAAAGTTTCTGTCAGTTACAGTGTTTCCTGTCAGTGGAGAGAGACACTTTGAGGTTTGAGTGTCTTGAGCCCCTTACCCTCCCCCTAAAAAACAAGAGTTGGTTTGGCCATGATTCACACAATATCCTTTCTTAGTACCAGCTATTTTCTGCAAACCTTTCTTATAGAAAAACTTGTATTCAAGATATTAACCATGACCTTAAGTAATAATTCCAAGTATCACAATTTCATTAAAAATGCACAATTGTTAGAAATGAACCTTTCTGTTTCTTCTGCGCAACATTCTGTTGTTTTCCTGTGTTCGTGAGGGGAACAATCAACATCAGAGATTCCAACATATGCCCGCTGACCAAGCTCCACTGTGGAACAAAATGGTTTGATTGCCTAACTTATTTAGACCTTGGATAGTAGATTAAAATAGAAAAAAGTAAGTCTACATGATCAATAATCCTGATAACCAGGCTGGTCAAGTACTTAAAATGCTATTTAAATGGTTACAAGATGCTGGTTTTAGGAACCATAAGTCGGAAATGTAAACGTGTTCATTCTAGAGCTGACTTATACAATCAGGAGTTTAGTACCAAAACAGAGAACATCACTACTAATTTTCAGTGGGGAGAAATTTGATAACGAGTCTGTAAGATTGTCCACATGGGTTAAATATAGTTCCTTTTCACTTAGCAGAGGATACCTAGGGCCTAAAATTTTTAATTTCCAATTAGAGTTAAAATTTGCAATTTTCTTTTGCTTCATTGTTAAAGTGAGGCAATAACTTACCAATAACATCACAAAGAACCATTGTAGCATTAAGATGTATGGTGGCAAAATAAGATGCTGTTGTTGTACCATTCATCAGCAACCTCCTCTTCAGAGAAACATGACTATTAGATAAACTAAATGTGATACAAACCATTACCAGTAAAATAAAGTCATCACTAAAATTAATATTGTATCTTACATTTGATCTATTGGAAGACAGATGCATAGACACAAATGTCACCATTTACAGCTGCCCCTCATATAACACTTTTTTGTTATCACATTTTGATGTTGTCTTTTATCTATTAGTCAGCATGGAATCTGTTTGTTAAATAGTTAATCTCAGAAAGTAGTTCTCAGTGACACTTTAATTACTAGAGAAAACATAACAGTGCCATTTCATGAAAAACTTACCACCAATTTCTTGTAGACATCAAGTGCAAGGTTTGTATCTTCAAACCTGGCCTCAGTCGGAAAAGTGTACTTATTCAGCCAATCAACAACATGACAGTCATAACCAGTACCAGTAAAGCTGTACTGTGGTGCATGAATATGGGTGTCAATCAGTCCTGGCATGATAAACTGCCTTTGTTCATACAGACATATGAAATAATGTGTAAGAAATTGGAACTAATAATTAGTAAGTTATAAAACAATACTTATATCACACAGACAAGACTCTAATTTGCATTCAAGTGTCAATACAAGCAGTTGCAATCCCCTTCCAGAGGTTTCTGTGTAACCATTTGATAAACCTTTCTTTAGTGACTCAACTGTACACTGAGTTCTAAATTTTGGTCTCTAACCAGAAAAAAAAGAAAAGAAAAAAAAAAAATATATATTTATTTATTTATTTTCCAACACCCCTTGTCATTTTAGGTATCAATTTCACCAATTTCTTTTTAAAATTACTTATTTAGTTGTTAATAATTTCTATACAACCATAGATTAGAGTCTATTAGAATTTTAGTTCCTAAAAGCTAGGCTAATTACCTTGGCTTTAAGAAGATTACATCCTTTGAAGTGAATCCATACTGCATTTCTAACAAGTTTTGATTTGATTCACCATTTTCTATGAACAAAATCTAGAGCCAAGCAAAATGCAGTTGAGCTAGACTTGAGGGGGGCTGGGGGGAATGACAACAGTAACAAGGATCATATGGGAGATAATGTTATTATACCAAAATCTGTATAATACAGGAACTCTCTTCTCTTCAAATGCTATGTAAAACACGTCCTATGAATGCAATGACTAAAACATGCTATAGGCACAAATCAAAAGAAGTTGCACTCAACGCATTCTGCACACATTTACAACTAGCTAGGGGTTGCTGGGAATAGGTTTAGAACTGATGATTCGAGCGTTACCGCTCTCACGAAGGGCTAACGCAAGCTCGAAATATCACCTTTAGCACCTCTCTACAGAGGCCAATTCATATTATGAATTCAGTAGACGAAATTGAGTATCTTGTAATACCCCGACCAGCATTAGCCACGGAGTACTTGTGCTGTAGCTCAAATTCGAAAATGACGTATTTCTTTCTAATGGAACAACAAGCAAGCATATTAACCTTGCCGGATGGACTGATTCCTAAAATTTTGTCTGGTAATATTTCCAACGCATTTTCAGAGGTGGAGTGGACAAAATTTCCACGGAAAACATATGAACATTTTTTAAACTGGTATTTGTCCGCCATGTTGGATTGCAGGTAGGTCGCCTTCTCCATTTGCGAAGAAGTTTCCTGTACACCAAACCTTCTATCAAAATCTAGTCCTTTAACTTTCGTGAGCTGCTAGGATCAAACGTTGCAAAGGGATACTGGTTTACAGGGTGTACCATCCGTACAAACAACGAGGGGAAATAGTTCTGTCTCCAGCCACTTAGATACAGGTTGGTCACGCATTCTGCAAAAATGGCGGGAACGATCGTGGTCACGCAAATTGATGAGTAGCACCATAAGTGATTTTTGTTGTTCTTGTTGTTGAAAATGAAATTGAGAGGGTGTTTTTGTTGTTATTATGGTTGTTGGTTTACATCAAGTGCATTCTTGCGCGCTGCTTTGTGATGAGAGAAGGTCGCGTCACCCATGTAACGGAAGCCATCCTTAAACGAATTCAAAGAGACTCTTCTTTGCTAATTTTTGTCAAACTTTCGTTTTTGTGGCTTTGGCAGTAAACAAAATATCATTATATCAATATCATTATTAAAAATGGTTTGCGCAAATAGTGAATTAACTTTGGACGTGTATTTAATTCACGGAAATGCAACTTTCCTGGAGAATTTTTTTGGTTTTTGTTTTTAAAAAATTTAATGGACGGTTTGCGACCCTTTGTTTTAACGTTTTTATTTTTTTTTGCTTTAGTTCTTATTTTCCTTAAATATACTGAGATGCTAAGCATGTGGCAGCTGTTATTTTCTGTGAATAGAACTCCCTAAAAGTCACTCCCTAAGTTTAGTACTTACTTCATGATGTCACATAGCCATGAAAGATTCCGGCATCGTTCCAAATTTAAAAACAAGGTGAGGATATTTCCCAAAAATCGACCCTGCAGGAATCGTCTACAGTAGTTTTCATCTTGCTCAAAACGAAAAAACTGTCTAGTCTGTAATAATGTCTGACGATGAAGACCAAGGAAGAGAGTACCTGATCAAGTTTCTAGCTCTAGGTGATTCTGGTGTTGGTAAAACAAGTCTTTTATATCAATACACGGATGGTCATTTTAACCCTCGATTTGTGCCCACGATAGGGATTGACTTTCGAGAAAAGCGAGTGGTATGTATAATTCACCTTCCTAAAGGCATAAAGATAAATTTTCGACTGATACCATTTTAGGAAAGGTTGAAATGAAGATTTGTATATTTCTTGTATTTGCTCAATGTAAAAGTGATGTACTCCTCTTGTTTTCCCACTGATACGATTGATCATTCAATTTACGACGTCGCAAAAAAAGCGCTTTCTTTAATAAGCAATAACCGTATGCAATAATTTGGGGCTTGAGAAGGTAGCGATTCTTATAGTTCGAATCAAGAGTGGGGGTTGTATCAAAATGAGGTTAGCACAAGAATCGATTAAAATAAATTACTTTTCTTTAATACATTTTTGGACTACAAAAATATTTACACGTAATCGACTTTTCGATTTAAATTCATTAATTCCTTCTCAATAGCATTGGCATTTGAAGGCTTATATTAAGTAGTATTCAAGGTTCTTTCGGTTCCTTTTTAACAAACAAATACAATACACAGTAATTCATTAGTCGAAGATGACCAAATGTCAACATCTGGCAGGTACCTGTCTAGCGATCCTGACTTTAGTCGGGACCTCTCTATCAAGAGCTGATGGGCGGATGTTTCCTTATTTGAGTGCGCATTACTTATTGTGTAGTTGAAAGAACAAAAAGAGCCATACGTTTCCGCCATAGCCCTTCAATGATAGAGTATCAAGTTTCGGTCGCTTTAGGTGCAAGATTTATGCGCCAATCCCGGAACTCTTTATTCGAATGTGTCCTTTAAAGTTATCTCAACATTGCTTCAGTACAAGAAAGGTTAAGGCACTTCATCTACTTTTGACTTGCGTAGATACAATTCCTACAGGTGTGTATAATAAAGAGTCAAAAAATTTTGTACAGCCTGGAGAGAGTCCTAATCGAGCCCTGAGGAGTGTTATTTAAAAGGTTAGAATTGGCTCGTGAGTGGGTTTCCGAAACTAAATCTCCAGCTGGTTTGTGCATGAATAGAATGAGAAAAGTGATGAAATTTCTAGTTCGGTCGTCGATTAGATCGCATACAGTTGGACAACGAGATCTCCATAGCTTAGTGGCACCCGGGTCGAACATCCAAGCTGTAATCTGAAGTTCGATTCCTCGTGGGTACCCAGATCTTTCTGTGTTCCAAGTTCCTGGCAAAATAAGTGGAACAATACCAGTTGATAAAGAGGACAACCCCTGTATCAAATTTTTTCCAGTTATCCTAGGGGTCAGGGAGGGGATTTACCTTCGGTTAATGTTTTTTGGCGTGCAACAAGACACGCATCAATCCTAATGACACAGGCCGTAGCTTAGAGCTCACTGAATACATGCAATTTATACCAACCCCATGCTGAACACTAGACAATCCTGGGACTCTGCCACCGTTGTCACTCTTTAAAGTTTAGTTTCATCTTACTATCGTGAACCGCAAAGCCTACAATAAGTGGCAAAATTAGTTGGTCGACAACCCTTCGCTTAACAGAGTCGACATAACTCAGGCCCTGAACAGAAATCTTGTAATTTATCTCTATAAGTTAATTGAAAGCGTTCCTTCCCCCTCTAAAAAGAACTGTTGCCTGAACTTGGTGGGTATTTTTTCAATACCAGGCAACTTTAAAATGGCGAAGAGAGGGAAGGGGGGGGGGGAAGATAAATGAAAGTTCGAGGAAAAAAACTGAAAAGGTAGTGAAGCGTGTCAAGACTTTCGTCCCTCATTGTAAGTCAACAATAGTTTAACATTTAAACAATTAAAATCGCAAGTACAAGTACATCAGAGATATTCCATTCCGTGAATGCTTCATCAATATCTTTTACACTTACCCTACCTTTCTACAAGCGGTATCTTTTGAACCTGAGAAGCATTTTCCCATGCAATACCACTGCAACATAAATGACATAACAGCGAAAGTGTCATTCTACAGAAAAAAAATTTAAAACTCTCCTGTGAACAGCGGCGATAAGAAACTGCAGTTGTCTTTAATTTTCGCATGCTTGGATTTCACCAACTCTATTTTTATATAGCTTTTTCAAGTTGTACATTTATTTATTTTTGCCAGTAACGAATAATGAGATCGAGCAAACCTTCTTTTGATATCAATCTTTGGGCAGCTCTTGAACCAGATTTATCCAACTATTCGTTAAATAAAGGGGGTAAGTTTCTAAAGAAACAGCGGTGTGGTGTCGGTGGGAGAGTATAACGGGGTACTTAAGTGTTATCAACTGAGTTGATAACTAACCTGGTTGATATCGTAAATTGGCCACCGTAAAGAGTTTCAAAGTGAATGAAGATGGGCTAACGCTCGAAACGTCAGCTTTCAAACTCTGTACGGTGGCCAATTCACGTTATCAACTCCGCTGAGAATGCTGAATGAGCCTGTTTTTCGTTGAAAAGTTTGAATTAAGTTCGGTGGTGTCGGTTCTTAATCATTCTTCTTCAGTTTAAGCGAATTTTCCATGGACAAAATCATAACTAATGTTGGTCCAGTATCGGCTTGGGTGGAATACATTGTTAGACCTGTATCAGCGATAAGTCAATCGTTATTTATGCATGTATCGAACGATCGCCTAGTTTCTGGACGAATTTTGTGGCTTTTCACAAAATACGGTTCTTGATTTCAAAAATTAATTCTACACCACATATAGCTTCGGCAGGTAACCGGCAAATCTCTCCTATATTGGTCAGTTAATTAACTGGCTGTATTTATCTGAGAGATGGACCAAAAGTCCCTCACCCTACTCCACCCTAATATATAACTGCACGTACCTTGTTGCCGCCAAATTTCCACAACAACAACAAACTACGAGTGACCAATCAGAGAGTGCAAGAGTTATCAACAGACCAATCAGATAAGCCGTTAGATAAATATCAGTTTTGTACGCAAAGTTTGAAGGAAAACTCCCGAACTAAACATGGCGGATACCGATTATGATTATCTGTTAAAGTTTTTGGCTCTCGGTGATTCAGGCGTCGGGAAAACTAGCCTTTTGTTTCAATACACGGATGGATCATTTAATCCTAAGTTCATATCCACTGTAGGGATAGACTTTCGCGAAAAGAGAGTGGTGAGTTACATAGTTTCAACGATTGATATTTAACTCGTGAACATTCATTGACATCCATCTAATAATATTATTCCTCTGCGTCGAGAATTTTTATTTTACATTAATATTTCAGGCTCAAGGGTGTATACTTTTTGCTTTTAGAAAATAATCACTAGTTTTTGGTGAAATTGTGATTTAACTCGTATTAAGTCCGCTGTTTTGGATAATACACAACGTGCCTTGGTCTCCTACCTCTGAGAAAACAACAAAACAATCTTTAAGTCGATGCTTAAATTCGAATCCAACCTTACACAACAACTGAAATAGCCTCTAATGATTGTCTTGTAGAAACTATGGAAAGTGAAAGTGCCTTTTTTACGTCGATTTCTATGAGAAGTATGCATTTAAATTTCAACTGACTCGACGAGACTTAAGCGATCACTTGTAATCTCGATGTTCCATATCCATTTAACACTCTCTCCATATTTTATAAAGCTAACGCTCTGATCTAAGCTCGTATTTTTGATAACCTAGAAAATGGTAGAGTTCGAATTGAACCCAAAGCAGAGCAGTTCATAAGTTCATTGTGGGAGCAAGGACAACTTTGATTGTCCCGAGAACATTTTTTGTGTACGATCGTTGTATTTTAAGATTCTCTATTTAATTCACTTATATACTTCGTTGTGAATCTCCCCTCTGAAAAGATAGAAACATGCAAAATTCCTAGTTTTTGCAATAATGTGGTTCCAAGGCATCAGTCTTTAGCCGTTAAAATGAAAAAACTGTCGGCGAGATCTCATCGTTTTTACATTTTTAATTGTGAAGCTCTTCTTTTTTGAATTTTAATAGCTTCATTGTCTGATTCATTTCAATTTCTAATCATTTCATTTAAATCTATACCTAGATCACACGAATAACTATCTAAATCACCACAAAATCTTTACTGATTCTATTTTATAAATTCTATAATTTTTTGTGGTTTCTCACTGAAGCAGTCTTCGGAACTGAAATTTTACTTCTAAGAAATTCTAAGAGTGTATAGATCTCTTTTCAATGTCACCTGGCTTCAGAGGGACTAAAAATGTGAATGGTGTGGCTGATCTTAATGTGTGTGTTTCTAAAATAACAAATGAAGTTACGGCTTCCTTAATTTATCCTCTGAGTAATTGATCAATGCTACATCAACTTTAGCCAAAGAATCGAGTGAAGTTTTGTGATGTTTTATACAGTTACTTTTAAGTTCATAACACCAGCTGCTCACCTTTTTAGATAATAATGCAAATGTATGATTTATAAATTTGAATATTACACAAATTTTGTTTGTCAGTATATCAAGGGAGGTAAATTGATTTCATTGTTGTATAATGCAGATTTGTCCAAGTTTTGAGACTCATTTTCTTCCCTGAAGGACCTAATTTTTTTTCTACAGTTGTAGGTCTTTTGACGTATTTTCCAAAGAATATGGCTAATGTATTTGTGAAACAATCTATTCCAAACCTAGTTCAGACTTGTTCTTGATAGGATTTTTTTGTTTGTACCTGTTCCTTGGCAAACAACAAGGCATTTATCACCTTGAGATGGAAGGTCTACACATTGAACAGCTGTCAGTTGCATTTAATTTGAGAAACAATTGCTCAAGAAGTTGGAAAAATTGCCTGAAGTAGCCAGTAACCAAGCTTTTAGGAAAACCACTTTTTCAACAAAATTTTCGGGAATACTTTTGCAAGTGATTTTTTGGTTTGTTTAGAAAAAGTGGTCTGAATAGCTGAAGCCCAATCATGTCATAAAAAGTCATTGACAAAAATTGTTGCCATGTATTTACAATTTTTTTTGACAATTTAACCTAGTGTTGTGTTGACTGAGATCAAAGAAAATTATCATAATTTTTCAGTCATAGAACACAGGAAAAACTATTAAACCTGACAAAATGTTTGTCACATTTAGATGTTACTAACAGTTACGTATCTCCTATTTGAGGTCATTTGAGAATACATTTAGATTTCTTTCAGATACATCATCCTTTGGGTGCAGATGGAGTCACCCGTTCAACAAGAGGTCAGAGGGTGCATCTTCAACTTTGGGATACTGCTGGACAGGAAAGGTACAGTGTATTTTCAAGTTGAACCAAGTTAACACGAGAGAAACACCGGAGCATTGTTCAGTGATAATCCTTTCTATCTTAAGTTCATTTTGGGTGAATCACACATTCCTTTGTCAGGGATTATATCTAGCTTTGTATATTGTGTTGCAACACTGGCTTACACAGTAATCTAATATATTCCTGTCCCCTTTCTTTTCCAGATTTAGGAGTTTAACTACAGCTTTCTTTCGAGATGCCATGGGATTTCTTCTAGTCTTTGACCTGACACATGAACAGTCATTCTTGAATATTAGGAACTGGTTAAGCCAATTACAAACCCATGCTTACTGTGAAAACCCTGATATAGGTATGTGTTTATAGTTTCAATTGAATTGCAAAAAACTTGCTTCTGTGTTTTAGTGGACTGAATTAAAAAAAGGCCTATGGTGTGTCCTTAGAAAACACGATGTGAAATTCCTTCTGTTTAGTCCAATTTAAGTTCATATCTCAGTAGTGTGTTACTGTCATGTCAATCATTTGGGTTAGCCTGGTTGTCATAGAATCAGAAAGCTGGGTAAATACTGCTAAGTTACATACTCACTTAACTGCTTATCTCTATAGCATTATACAGTCAGAGAGTTTATTATGCATATATTTTGCTTCAATCAAGATCATCAATTGCTTGAACCTCCTGCTCTAATTCTTTTCAAGTGTCCAGAGAGGTCATGTGGACTAGACCAGTCTACAACCCAACCCAGTAGAACAAAACCAAGCCTGTCATTGTGTTAATGGCCAATTCCAGAGCAGCAGCAGCATATGTTTTGTAAGTTAAGTGACTGTGTACTTTACTGTTTTGTTTTTCTTTCCTGTAGTCTTAATTGGTAATAAAGCAGACTTGGAGGACCAAAAACAAGTTGACGAAAATGAAGCCAGGACACTGGCAGAGAATCTGGGTCTGAAATACTTTGAGACTAGTGCATTTAATGGACAAAATGTGAGCAAATCAGTAGAGGCCTTGCTTGACCAGGTAAGAAAGTGCATCTTAAGGAGGCTTTGTAGGATTTTTTGATTGCATGAGATCTGGGTGCAAACATAGCATGAGCTTTAAAAGTGTTAACATATAAAATAATCTGAAAAGGTGTGTTAAAAACAGTTTAACACAATACAGTTTTTATGTGATGGAATCTAGGGTTTCCAACAACCACACCCGCAACATTTATAGGCCTTCTATGCCTGAAAAAGAGGTCAAACAAAAAGAAAACATGGTGGGAAAGATTGCCAAAAGGTGACAGATTTGAAAGTCCTAGGCATACACAGATACCAATATTGGTAAAGTCCTCTTCCATTTTGTAATGTTTTGTGACAAATGAAATAGGAGTCTTTCGAGTAAGATTTATCACATTCCCTAAGATTTGCTGGATCATTTAGCATATTTGTGTCCTTCTTAGTGCCTGTTGATAAAAAAAATTCATAAGAACAAACTTGAGATAGAGGAAGAAAACACAATTGCAAATAGCAAGGAAACTGCCTATGTAGCCCCTATTTCTTTTGGCTTGTAAATGATTGGCGACCAATTTTCACAAAATGTAAAAATTTTGAGAGATTTCACCTAAGCAAATTGAAGAAAATCAAAGGCAAAGCCAAATTATCACTGGCGAGCGCCTCCCTTCGTGGAACCTTAGCTTAATAACGAAAATCATTCTGATAACATTTACTACAGCAAATGATAGTCCAAACCTTGCTTATTGCCTTTGATGGCTTTTAGGGACCTTGAAAAGCTAAAACATAAAAATTTGCTAGAAAAACAATATGGTAGTGCGTGTGCCAACATTTAGCAAAAACCATATGGAGCCTCCTTTAGGACACTCAGTCCCACAGAATAAGCCAAAATAAGTATCGCTTGTTACTCTCGATATGCAATGGTAACTAGTCTTTACTTGAACTTAAGTGTATTGCAGCAACTTTTCTTTTATTTTAACTTTCCAGGTTATGGCAAGAATGGAAAATTGTGTGGACAAAGCCACATTACCTAATGGTGTTTTCAACAACAATCCCAACAGAGGTACAAAACTAAGAGAAGTTGATGAAGCAAATGATGAACCGCAAGCAGGTTGTTCATGCTGAACAAGGCAGATAACAATCATTATAATTATAACTTCTCAAATGTCTTTTTAGAGTGCATATGAAAATATTTTCTTTTGAAATGGTTATGTACTATCATAAAGGGAATCTCTAATCTTAAAGCAAATATCACAAAAAAGTCTTTAAATGTATCAAACACAAGATATTTGGTACTTAAAATTATTCCTCTAACCTTGTTTATTTTTTTTGGCCTTCAAAACTGGCCTTCATAGCAACTCCAAACTTCCCGTGTGTGCTGTGTGCTGTGTGCAAGGCATTTTGGATTGATGACATGTAATGAATGCTCTGTTCTTTTTTTTTTTTTTTTTTTTTTTTTTTTTTTTTTTTTTTTGGGGGGGGGGGGTTTCCTTGGGCTTTCCCTAGAACTTTTGAGTGCAGTAATCGGGCCAAAACCAAGCAGGATCCCAAGCTTTGCTTTTTTAGCTTCCCAAATGACAACAGTTAATGATGTGCGATTTGGAACATTTCGAGGGCCATTCCTTCCATGAATCATACCTAATGGAAGTACAGATAGCTTTGTTCATTGGATCATGGCAGAGGCCCAGCAATCATTACATGTCATTAACCCAGAGTGCCTTGGGCACTCAACAAGATGGCAGACAAAGGAAGTTCAAACTTGCTGTAAAGGCAGAAAAAGAACTAACAAGGTTAGAGGAACAATTTTTAGTTCCAAATATTTTAAGTTTGATACATTTACCCTTTTTGAGAAATATTTGCCTGAAGAGTAGAGGTTCCCTTTAAACATTTGAAAGAGGAAATGCAAGCGAACTTAATGATGATAATATCCATGACACCAAGAGAGTTGCATTTAATGTATAATTTTATGACTTTGTATATTACAGTCATTAATTTATTAGTACAGAACAATGTGTTTAACTTTTTGGGAGGACTGAAAGTGAGACATTCAGTGCCTGGAGGCTGCATTAGTGTGTGTAATTAATTTTGCTTAAATTTTTCTCTGGTTTGCTGTAAGTTTTTTATTTATATATAAAATTGTCAACAGTCATCTTAAGAAGCCCAGGGCAACTGGTTTACTTTGCATAATTGCTACAAGTTAAACTGCCTCTATTGGGTATGGTATGACTGCAATAATTTAACTTGTAGTTTTAATAGCAAATTAATTATCTGAGTATCATGTAAATGAAAATATGTTTCATATGCACTTTTTTGAATTTAGTGATAAAATAATATGAACATCCAAGGTTTGTGATATAACCAGTATTTATAAAGTGGATAGCAATGCATAGCTAGCAAGTTTACCATAATTTTTATTGTATTTTGGCAGTTACAAAGTTTTTATTTGTGATAGCGGATTCAAAGAAATACTCCTGGTCTATGATTACGTCATATATGGAAATTTTTGAGGGCTTCCTTAAATTGTGACATACAGATGATCATTGAGCCTTTTTGTTAGGTGTGATTATGATGGATGATCAAGATTGCATTGGAAAAAGTAGGGGGAGGGGGAGGGAGGAGGGTTGGAAGGACACCTCACATACAATGATTTACCATGATAAAAAAAATTTACAAAGTACAGTACAGCTGGCACTCAAATGTTAGATGAAAGTTCCTTGAAAATTAATGCTCAATTCTCGATTCTCAACAGTTCTGAGTTTTGAGTGGAAACTGTCAACTTACTTTTGAGTGGTACTGTACATGTTCCTGTGAGAATAAACCAGGTAGCTTCATGTTTTACTTTTAATCTAGTTAGAGGTTTCCTCTAAAGATGAAGCAAATTAATTAACCATGACAGGTAAAAGTAGAAGAATACATGGTAGAGCACCTTATCTCTGCAGTTCATTGAAACAGAAGTTTTTTGTATATATGTCTACTACTACTCTGAAGTGGAAAACTTTAATGGCCGGCAACATTTTTGATTTCCATAGAGTTGTTTAGGGGCAATTCAGTCATTGTTCATGAACTGTCTTGCTCTCTCCCTGCAAACATCAAGAAGACTGGCTTTCCTAGTTGTGTGTCTATGTTTGTGACAGGTTTTTAATTTTTGTGGTTTGTTTCTGTAAGCTTTATTTTGTCCCACCTTGCAGAATTAGTCCTTAGGCTTGTCAGGTATCATTTCAGTCTGGTGGCTGACAATCATAAGGAACTCGTATAATTATGCCTCTCCATATACAAAATTGCGATAACATCATTTTATTCATTTGTGATATTTAACCATTAGACAGTGCAAGTATTTATAATGCAGTCCCTTGAGATCGTGATGGAAACTCTTGAAATTGTGAATGGAACCAAATAAATATTATGATGAATAAACAAACATTTTCTGTTGATAAACAGCAAGTATACATATTGCTTTATTTTAAGGGGGAAATACTTCTTGAGTTACCACTTACATTTCATACATATTTATTATATTTCTGCATTAAATATTTCTTTGCTGAAGAGGTTTATTAGAAGGTAGCTTTTTACAATGCAAATAAAAAGTTTTAAAAATGCTTCAACTTCATCAAACATGCAAGTTTCAGGGGATCTTTTAGGAATACAATTGGGGTTGGTGAGGTTACAGTACTTTTTCAAAATGCAGGTGGAAAGCATCAAATATATCTTTTATCTCACTTTTCCCTCTAACATCCCAGAGTTCTGTCCTTGTGGTGTAGCCCTGTGTACAGGAAACCATTACCTTGGCACCTCACTCTCTCTTGAGACAGTGTATTACACCTATCCTTAGTTAATGGAAAGGGGGTGATCTGATGATAGGAGGACCATATCAAATTAAAGGAGTGGACTGAGATTGCAACTTCTTTTATTGTAAATTAATAATGAAAGATGAGCACAATTCCTTACCAAGCACTATGATATTTCTTTTCGGTCTACCTTCCTGGTTTTGAAGATAAATTCTTCCTTATTCCAAGTGGGGGTAGGGAGAAGTGATTGAGGGTCTACCGAAGGAATTCTTGATAGGTATGTACCACCTGTCTTGTCAAGTCCTAACCTTACTTCAGGCTAAAACAAGCTTCTTTCCATCACCCACTTTCAGAAATGGGCTTCAAGATCCATAGTCATTTTTCGACCTTCTAGACTTAGCAATTGATAAATGTTCCCCTAAAATCCAGTTAAATGTGATACTATAATCACCCCTCTTTCTCTGTTATTTCGTTTGAATTTGGTGAGACTTGTACGCTTAACTCTCTTGTGGTTCCTTAGGAAACCATTCTCGAATAATTATGAGAAAAAGCTCTAACTGTTTTTGGCCCAAAACGGCGTCATATCGCTAATAAGGGAAGAGTTCCAAGTGATCTGGCGCGAGATTTACAAAGGCTTGGTTACACAGCCTACTGCATGCACAGAGAGGATTGCACAGAGGAAGCTGTCTGACTGCACCAAGGAGAAGTTGTGCTACCTGAGTGTTTTTTTATGAATTGTCCGCAAAATTTTGCTCGCGAACACCTTTGGAATGTCTTATTCACCAGGTGACTTAATCTGGGCCAAGATGCGTGGCTACCCGCATTGGCCAGCCCGAGTAAGTCGTCAAATGTTAGACAACTAATTTAATTAACTAGGAAGTTTGTTCCCTGTGCGTGAGCAAACTTGAGGAGACATTTGTTATGAACATACTGTTTTATTTCGTGATTTAGATCGATCTTCCTGCACAAGACGAGAAAATTCCTCCTAAAAAATATGCCATTTTCTTCTTTGGTACTCACGAGACGTAAGTTTAAAAATATCACATTTTCGTTCACTATTTTTCTTTTTTCCTCGTGTAATTAAGTGTTGGCAGTAAACTACGAATTTTCTTTTGCAGTACATAAGACAGTTAGCAAAATTGTTTGTGGTGTTGTTTGGTAACGTGTAATCCTTTGTGGTGGCTTATTCACTGATTTGTTTTTGTTGGTTTATTTGTGTTGATCATCCTGACCAAGGATTTACCATGATCCAGGCGATTTTTATCAGTTAATCATGATTGTGTACACATTGCTTCAGAACCTCTTATGTCAAAGATAGAAAGTCTTATCAGTCACTGTGTACAAACATAAATTTTATGTCTCTTGTCATCTTTAACAGTTGGGTTGAGTGCCCAAAGACATACCAGCACTCTAAGCCATGACCATCTTGGTCACTGTGGTATATAAAAAGATTTAAAACATCTATTATGACTAAATTTGCTAGGAAAGTCACCAATTTGGTCAAGAGGTGTTCTTTGTTGACGAGTTTTGTGTATGCAAGTTTCTTTATTTCTTGAGATGAAAGTAAAACTAGACAATAGGAGGTCCTTTTGAACTTGACAGTGTACCAGACAGTGTAACTTTTGATTGAAACATTCAAAAATCTACTTGCTAAGGGGGCATCTAAACCAGAGCTTTTAATCTCCAGCCATAAAATGTTAGTTGCATTAGTGCCTGTATTGGTCACAATCTTAAGCCCTTACTTTTGACAGACTTGCAGAACTTTAAAACTGTTTTATTGGAGACAGCTCCCTGAACCCCTCTTTTGAATTAAAAGCCATATTGAAGGATATCTCACTTCTTATTAACCTACTAGTAGCATGATTTTCAATGTTTCCAGGGCTGTGATGCAAGCCAAAGATTTGTTTCCATATGAGAAGAACAAAGATAGATTTTTGAAAAATTCAAATAGATCAAGAAGAGGTTTCAAAGAAGCTTTAGTGGAAATTTTGGAGAATCCAAAGGTGAAATGGGGTATGCGTGGACAGGATGTGGATGAGCAAGATTCAGAGGATGAAGAGGGAGAAGGAGATGAAGATTCTGGGGATGAGAAGAAGTTAGAGGATGAAGACTCTGATGAAGAAGATACCAAGCCATCAAAACAGGTAAAGAATGACATTTGAGACTTAGCAGATATGGGTGGAGTACAAGTGTAGATAGTGTAACTTGCCTGACAAGGAGCACCCTCATTTGGAAGAGCATCCCATTGTAGAATTATGAGCTCTGAGTTGTAATCCTCATGACTAGCTTAGTTTTTCCTGTGTCCCTCTCTTAAGACTAAGGTTCAACTTCCTTAGTCATTTAAGGTAAAATCTGCACTTTTGTTAAGTGGTCCATCCTGCTGGGGCTTATGCAGATTCCCTTAGCATGAAGCAACCAGGAGTATTGTTACTCTCCCCTCTAGAGGATTTTAGTGCACAGCAGGTTATCATCCATTGGTATTCTGTCAGGTTTCTGGGGTGGAGAGAGACACTGTAAGTTAGAGTAAAGTATCTTGCCAAAGAACACAACACAATGACCCAGCACAGTTTCAAACCTAGACTAACAAGCTAACTATGTTGCCCATGTTGCCCTCTCAGGATTGTGAGCTGTGATCCCACACACAATATAAATAATTGCATGAAGGGAACTTTCAAAATTCATAGCTTTTGGACATTGTTGGCTATACAGCTGTAAGTCTCAAAAAGTGGCTAAAGACAGTCGAAATAAAGAAAAACAGAATTGAGTTTTGTGCAAATACCAACCTTCACTATCAGCTTTCTTTGCAGCTTTTGACAGTAAACAAGTCGTTCTTGATTTCGTTAAAGGAAAATCTTTTTGCTACAGATGTCTACAGTAAATCATTTATTGACCAAGTTTGTTTGGCCAAGATGGTTGGCTATTAGCCTGTATTTTTTAAGTTGCTTTTTTTTGCATTTTCATGGACCTTGACTTCATCTCAGCCCATGATAATGCAATACTAAGCCAACTTGACTTTATGCTTGGTCAATAACACAATATATTTATATCCCAGAGGAGAAGAAATCTCCTAATAGGAATATTCTATCGAAGATCAGTCACATTATTGGTAGAATTTTCTTGTCTCTAGCTTCCTAGTTAAAATATATATTAACCATCTCTTGAATTATATATCTTTGTCAAGTAAATTTTAAATAAGCTTTTCTGTTCTTGTTGATAGGAAGCAAGCAATGAAGAGAGAAAAATGAAGATATCACAGGGCAAAAAGAGACGCAAGTCAGAGTCAGACAAGGTTTGAGATATTACAAAATCAGTTTTGAGTATACAGGATGATTGTTATCATTCTGATAGCATTAAGGAGTTGATTATAAATACATGGAGTCTATAAGAGTGAGTTAAGTCTTCATGTTGTTTTTCTCTTCAAGGAAAGTTCTTTAGAAGAAACACCAGAAGAGGAAAGTTCAGATGGTGATAAAGAAGAAGTAAATGGATTTACTGGCTTTTATAACAATTAATGTATAACTCATTGCTTCTCAGTGGGTTTAAAAGCTGAATTTTGAAGGGAAGTAGCTTGGAACTAGCAACCATTTGTTGTTTGACTTGTATTTGAATGGTGCTTAGGAGCCTTTTGCTCCCAAGATTTTAATGAAAATTATCCTCTCTGTCTACCTTACATTTATATTAATTTTAGCTCTGAGATAACAGCTTTAGTCAAAAAGCATCCCTTAATTGATATATTTTTTTCCATCTCATCTCCTGTTTAATTTATAATGAATTGATATGGTAAAGATAAATAACTCCTTCACTCAGGACTGGGGAGTAAAGGAAAAAAGAATGCTATTTACAGGGTATGAATGAGTGAATGCATTGGTCAACATCCATTCTGCATCTACTATAGGAATATAAACCTGCTCCCAAGAAAAAGAGAGTGTCTTCCAAAGAGGCAGGGAAGAAAAGGAAATCATCAAAGGCCATTAGTGACAGTAGCAGTAGCAGTTCAGAAAATGATGCTGATCAGAAAGTAATTACAATAGTTACACTTGTAAATGTAGTTTACAACTGATGATAATTTTTCTGAATTCAGTATGCTTACTCACTCCAGGGGAAGGAAGGCCAAAAAGCCCTAATTACAAGACTTAATGCTACTCTTTTTCACTGTTCGTTTGATTGTAGGGTTGTGTCTGTCTGAGTGGGATAAGACAGCGACTTGGTTGTTAAGTTTTAGGTGCTTTTTCTAGATTTAAATGTTCATTTAACCTCTCTAAAGGAAACAAGTGAAGAAGAAAGTATACCAAAGAACAAGAGAGCAAAAACAAATACAGAAGCAGAAGATAAACCAAAGTTCAAGAAGGTGAAAGGAGAAGACAGAAAGAAAAAAGATGAAGATAAAAAGGAAGGGGAAAAGACATCAGATGAGGAAAAGGACGCCATTAAAGATGGAGGGAAGATAAAGGAAGAAGATGAAGAAAAAAGTAAAGATGCAGAGAGGAAAAAACAGGAGAAACTCCAAAAACTTGCAGAGAAGAAGTATGATTGCATTCCTTTAAATCAATCTCCTCTAGTTCATTTGCTTTCTCATTAAAATGAGGTTTATCTGTATTGAAAGGAATTTGCTATTTGATATCTCTACAAAGTAGACCTGATGGAAGTGATGTTACTCAAGTTCAGTGAGATCATGACACTATTTAATAAGAAATAAAGTGAAAATCTTAAAACTTTTTGAAATTACAGAAGACTGGAGAAAATTTTTTATCCTGAAACTTACAATGAAGAAGGCATTAGAGACAGAGAAACAGACAAAATAAGACGGAGGCTTGAAGCATATAAGCTGTATCTTGAAGACTATTACTTTTTGGGTTCACACCCTTTACTCGATTTATAGCAAGTCAGGTTGCCCAATGATAGCTAATAACACATTTAGTTGAGTGTCTGTACAAGTGCCCACCCATGATAACTTCAATTACCATTGAAGGATACGAAGTTGGAAAGATGAGCAATACCTGTGCTGCAAATATACGTAAATTATCGTTATCTATTAACATATTAGTAAAATGTTTTTCTGATACCTTAAGTTGCAAAATCAGAACATTTGCTTGTGGTCTGTGTTAAATTTGTTTCTTTTTTTTTTCTTTCAGAGCAATGTTAAAGGAAAAGAAGAAGAAAGAGAAACTTGAACAAAGGAAGGCTGAAAAACTGGCAGCTGAGAAAGCTAAAGCACTGGAGAAGGAAAAGGAAAAACAACGTGAGAAACAGGAACGGGAGAAAGAGAAGGAGAAGCTGAGAGCAAGACAAGAAAGAGAGAGGGAGAAGGCAAGGGAAAGAGCTGAAAGAGACAAACAGAGGGAAGAGGAAAGAAAAGAAAGAGAAAGAAGAAAATGTGAGTTATAGAAATACTCCTCCATGTACATAAGAGCACAGATGAAAAGTACATCTAAAGATGCAGTGGAGCAAATTTTGTAAAGTCCATATTTCTTTCATTACATCGTTGTGATCATGTACTAAAGTTTGATAAACTTTTCATTTAATTTAGCAACACCTCCTACGGTGGAAGAGATTTTGGACAAAATGAATTATGATCTTGTGATGTCTCTCACTGTCGAGGCTCCAGTAAGTGGTTCATTTGTTAAAAAAAAATCTAAACAGCTGAAAAGAGTAAGTTACGTGTCAAAATATTAGGTGTATCTTGGAAAGCTTCAAAAGAAGGACAGAATTTTGTAGTGTTTGGATTGTCAAAATTGAATTTGGACTTGAGTTGCATGTAGGCCCAATAACTAGCTGCTGTTCGTTAAATGAGCCCGCGTTCCTCCTCTGCGGAAATGGAGTCTAGTTTGCAAGCAGTGCTCATAGGTGTCTATGGCGAGTGATAAACAATTTGGTGACCTTTGTTTGGGGGTAATTTAGCGAGTTGCAGTGTTTAAGTACTTGGTGCTTATGGTCTAACGTTATTATGACAAAAAATAATCATAAGTGCTCCGTTGTTTTTTTGTGTTTTGTTTGTTTTTTTTTAAACAAACATTTGTATATCTATTGTTGTATATCTTAATAATGAAACTTAAAATGTTGCATGAACCTCAAAAAAACGATGATATCTGTTCAGCGTATTATAAACACAAAGCGGAGTGTAGTTAGCGGCATAGAACGTCCTGTCAATATTTATGTTCTCCTTTCCTTTTTTTGTGGTAACTAAAATTTCATTTTTGGCGACATTTTAGATTTTAGGTCGCCAAATAGTGACTCTGAAAAAGTTTAAGCTCAAAGCTCCGACCAAGACGTCTTTTGAAGAACTCCGTTTTCTCTAAAATTAGTGTCACAATATCAGTGTTTGAGTGTAGACTATAACATCTCGTCATTTTAATCTGCCAAAATTTCCTGTACTGAACAGTTTTATGTCCACCTTTTGTAGGATGTGCCAAGATGTTTAAAAATTATCACTCAGATCTTCGAAATGGAGATAAACCCAGATATCATAAAGAAAAACCCAGACATAGTTCAGACCATTAAAAAGGTATCGTAAAATATTACTGGATCTTCCTGGTACAGATGTACTGTGTGTTACATTGTTATTCATTCGGATGCTTATAAATTTGAATTTCGTGCTGTAATGAACTTTGATATTATCTCCAGAACAGGACCAAAGTAATCCCAGTCGTGATCTCAATCTCCCCTGTATTTGGAAACTTCTGTTAACATTTCAAAGATTCCTTTACTAGGCTCTTTGAAGATATTCTGATCACCTATCATTGATGTATTTTAATACCGTTATTATTTAATTAACATTAGATCGCTTCTTAAGACTAAGTTCATTCGAAATTGTTGACTTTTTCCTACAGATACGAAATTACAAACAGAATTCCAAAGTGCGAGAAAAAGCGAATCAACTCTACGCGCATTTTAAATCACTGTTTAGCATTTCTGGATCAGGTGAGTGAGTTATAATGGAAATTGAGATTTTTAAATTCCTAATCTTATCTTGTCCTTTTTTCGTTTTATCTCAGATACTTGGTGTCAGTAAAAACTGTTATTAACAATAAGCTTTTTATACTGAAATTATTGATAGGTCACCACCTAGCTCCAATTTCCAGTATCTTATTTTATTACAGATTCGAGAAGAGAAAGTACTTCGCTTGATCTGTCCTTAGTGCAAACTAACGAAAGAACAGAACAAAGTAGGGCAGATGGCATGGAGGAACTTGATAACATTAAAGAAGAGACATCCGCAGAACCCCACCTCACCCCTACTGAGAATGGCGGTGATCACCCTGTCCCCTCCACCGGTAATGCACCTTTATGACTGTGCTTTGATCCGCTCTGTAATTGCAAAACAAGGGTGTTTGTGAAAAGTTACAAAACCTGTGATCTAATTTAATAGGATTATCATTTTTATAAAGAAACCTTAAAGCAAAGTTTTGCGTTATTGGGGTTGTTAAACTAAAGCGCGAACATTGTTCCAAAGGCCACTGAATTGTATGAGTTTTGTTTTGATCTCCAACCAGAGTTTTCAAAGCACTTGATGAGTGAGACAAAGAAATGAATTGGTGCGTTAGAATTGCAATTTATTTCAGCATTTTCTTATTTACAGAAACCAAACTTGAGGATAGTGGACACAGGATCGAACAAACTTCAACGGAAGATAAAGCTTCACTTGAAAACAATACGATAATGGACGATCTTACTCCAGAACCTTTGGAAGTAATTAACGATCCCACGGCGAATTTATCACCGTGTGATATGGAGATATCAAGCCCTGATTGAAGGATAACACTATTACGTTGCGGATGATGTGTTTGTTATGTTATGTTTAGTAACTCTTAGGAGATGATCGATCGATTACTGGCCGAGGGAAGAAGTCTAACTCAAGAAAAACTGCGACGCCTGTTTTTAACAGAAAAGAACATAATCATCTGTTTTAAGATTTCGTCCATTTTGATGTTATGAGGCTTTCGTCAAATGAGATTCTCCCTGTTTAACGTTTTGTTCCAACAAGAGTTAGAGTTAGGGTCTGTTCTCAAACTGCATCATTTTTAATCTCTGTACTGTATGTTGTTTTCTTAGTTCCTATTTGTTCTTTTACCTCATTTGTAATATTAACTTTACGAACGTTAACGACGAAAATTTATCAAAGCGCATGTCAGAAGTTACGACGCTGGTCATTGAAACGTGGCTCCATAATTTGTGGGTCTTGGGGTGGGGTGACACTGGATGCATCATCTGCGACAAAACAACAGAAGACGATGAACGCATGTTTTCAACATTTTTTTCGTTTTTTTGTTAAAGATCCATCAGCTTCTTTATCAGCTGATGATGGTTCACCACTTTTAGTCCCACTTAGATCTCGTCTTCTCTCTTAACAAAACATATTTTTAACCAGTAAATATTAGAGAAAGCAGAGGTAATACAAATTAAAGAGAGAGGCTTCACCGAAACATAATTAAAAGACATTATGAAAAAGATGATTTAAAAGGCTTTCAAACAAACTTGGGAACATATTTTTGTCGGTTTCTGTTGTGCAATTTACATTTGAAATGCCTAAATTCATTGGGATTGCGAAGACTTATCCAACAGTGGTGTAAAACTCAAAAGTTTGAAGGCACTTCAGTATTTTAATCAAACCCCCCTCCCCCCAAATTGACAGTCAATTTTGTATTGTACCCCCTTTTGTACTATGTTAGCGACGACTGATACCCCTCCGTTTCCCCTGAAAACCATGTGATCCCCCAAATAGCTTCCCAAAGCCCTTTCCCCCACCCAGGCGTTAAAGTGTCAAATAATGCAGGTCACCGGGCGTAAAATATCGAGAAACGTGTCGAGGTAAGATGCATGGGTCACCTATCAAGAGGAAAATGTCATTTATTCACACCAAAGGATCGAGACAGGAAAATACTGACGAAGGTTCCTTTCCTAAGCATACTTTTCGGATGGTAGGGCTGCTTGTCGTTTCTGACAAAATACTTACAACTTTGGTAATACTCATTTTTTGAATTGGTGAATACGATCAACCCCAGCTCTCCGAGTCACCTGGTGACGACAGCCTTGCTGCCAAGGTTATGACTAACCTGCTGAACAATACATGATGTTCTGCACGAACTGAGATACGACAAAACAATAGGTAACGAAGTAAAATAACTACATGTTTGAGTCGCTTAAGGGTATTTTTATTTCTATGTAAATTACGTAAATTATTTAATTACGTCACTAAAATGACCTATTGGCGAAGTGATCAAACTGAAAGAATCTAACAAATGGTTAACAGTCGGAAAAGTCTCGTCTTCTTACAAACGGTCTTTAGGCTGAGGGGACTTTTAAAATTCCAGACGGCATGGAATGTTAGTTCTGACGTTAAACAAGATCATGGATTTACTTTTGCTTCTCACTCTAAAGGGCGTTTACTCGAGGATCATCAACAGAAGACATATGATTCGCTAATGATAATCGCTTTTTTTTTTTCGTTTCTTGAAATAACAGCAACTATTTGATACAATGACAGTTGACAGTTTTTGCTAAAGCAGTCTTACTGAGGAAACTCTATATAAAAAAAGTTTGCTGGAGCTCATAACAACTGGAAAAAGAATTATGACATATAATTTTAAATGTAACGAATCGCCACTGTAAACTATCAGATGGTTGACCACACCTTTTAATCAACTAAATAAAAAAAAGAAAACAGAAAAAAACGCATGCCAAAAACATCATGGTGCTGACCATTGGTAGTTTGGTTCCATTGCACATGGAGCCGTGGCAGCAGTAGATATCACATTTGGTGACTTTTGTTGACCCATCATCCAGATTACACGCGTTATTTGTTGCAGGGTTGCACTGCTTGGCGTTCATACAGCCTCTACTGTAGCCCTTGATATGAATTCCAGTACCTTCTCTTTCTACATAACCTTTTCCACAACGGTCGTAACCGGGCGGACAGGTCATCGTGAACTGTAACTTGTCACAGTTTTCCCAACTATTTAGAGCAAAGCACGACCGGCATTGAAGGGCATTCCCTACGAAAAATGATTAAAGTATACTAAAGTGCATCATGTCTGGGATAATACTGGGCTGAGTAAAAAGACAAAGTCAAATAAAGTGATGTCAACCAGTTTATCAACAAAATTTTTAAGGTCACTGAACCGGTCATTCTATTACCCACGTTCGTGACAAATGCGTGATTATAGATGAAAGCGGTAATATTTAGTATTACAAAAATCTCATAAGTTTTGCATAATGATATGACGTTTTATTAATAACTTTAAATTTGTCATGGATAGGACAAAAACCGCGTAGGCTTATATTTTTACACGTATTTGATTGCCGATGAATCGGCAAAACAATGATGCTAATATAAAATGCAGAGGGTAGCAAGTTGACATAGTTATCAACAAGAGTAGCCTTCCCGTTTCTTAGTTTTGCAATCTAATTATGAGGGATTAAAAACACGTATTCCTCTCAATTTTAAATTTCCCTTGTTTTTATGTACTATCAAAATACAACTTGAGAATGTTTTTTTTAATAGACTTTCGTCCTATCTATTTTTTGTTACTTGAGTGAGAGCACATGATTCTGGTTCAGTGGGCAAATTGTCCATAAAGTTTACACATAAACGCCAAACTTAAGGGATGCAGTATTGATATTTTACGTATTCTTTTATAGGAGTATTGCTGTAGGAGTGTCGTACTCAATTGGATAATGTTTTAGAGAACTGTTAAGTCAATAAGGTATTCCTGTTTTTCTTTGGAGGCAAGTCGTGAGAGATTACGAGCTCATTTGCTATTTAATTTTGCGGTTGCCCTTTGGTTTTTCATAACCTAACACAAATTAGGACGGTTGCCGTTGTTTTAGAGACTTCCTTGGAGTATTTCGGTATGTGAGTAATAGAATGCAGCTCTGCTCGTGGTTTGTGGTAATTACCAGTATTTCATAATCAAGAATATGTCTTTGTTTAGGTTAGACATCTAACTTGTCTCAACTTTGGACAATCGGGGTTGGGCAAAGACAGCAACGTCAAGATTCTCATTCATCTCTGTTTTGAGATAGTTACCGAACCACGATTTTATCACTGACTCATGATACACGTACGCGACACCAACCAGAGCATAGCTGCATATTTGTTGCTTTCTCATTGTAAAACTAACTGTAAGGAAACACTAACTTCGACTTTGAACCACGAAATATCTCTTCAACAGTGATTTATGTTATAAGACTTACCATTAGTAATAAGAACGGTCAGAATGATGAAAAATAGTGTTTTCATCTTGACGAATCCAGGCGAGTTTCTTCTTTACTGATATTTTACTGTTGTGTGATTGTTATTCTACTGACTTGTGATCAGCCAGTGGAACTCATAAGTAAAATCACTTTCTCCCCCGAAGTTGACGTTCTTAATGAGTCGATATTGATTGACTTCAAAGATGCAATTATTGTCCAATTAGAAAGGTTTTTCTAAAACGTCAGACCCATATCAGCATACGAGATGTTCTGTGGAGTGTGTTGTAATTAACTGATTTAGCAATACACTGAGACCAGTTGGTGCAACCTTTTCCGTAAACGGACATTGAAACTTCACCACTCTTTCCCTCTACAAACCCCTTGCTGCATGTGTGGGTGCTGCGTCCCTTATGTCACCTTTGTCTGTATTTTCTCACTGTCATCCACTCCTTTGGCGGTTACATACTGGTCGCACTTGACAAAAAATGAGCTGTCAAAACAAGACAAAACGTAGTGTGAAATATTTGGCGTAAGTTGTTCAGTTATATTCAAGAGAGAAGTCAAGAATTGAAATTGATTTCAACGCTGCACAAAATACCTCAAATGCAGATCGAAAAGGATTAATCCATCGGATTTCTCGTTTTTGTTTAACAATGTGCATGTCTTTTGGAATCGAGTATATTTTGGAACATCCACTTTCAACCTACAGGAGTTTCGCTATCATCAAACTAAAAGGGACTCTTTCAAATTGGGCGAAGTGCCTGTTTTGCTATAATCGATGCAATGACGCTTAAAATAAAAGCAACTGAATAAAAGTAGGTCCTTAATCATATTATCAGCCCCTAGACAAATCCACCTCAATTTAAAAATAACGTCTAAAATGTACGAAACTAAATCGTAAAACCATGAGACTCGGCCCAATCCCGGATTGTTACGACAACTTAAATCCGAGGTAACCGGACTACAAAAAATAAGGAACAAGTTGAAGGAAAAATAATCCAATTTGGAGTACACGCTGGTATAGGTTGACAGCGACTTCCAACGGAGCGCAGAACTCGTGGCAGAGAACAATCATCAGCTACAATGAACTTAAATCAAAATATTGACTCTTGCATCCTATCTTAAATAATTTGATTTGTTACGCAGCAATAATTTTGCCTTCTTCAAACGGTGTTAAACGAAAACTTGATAAACAAATTCAGAGCAAAGATTATTCAAGATGTTGCAAACCTGCGACATCCAGTTTTGCTTCTGGCAAATTGAGGAAGCCGAATGAAATCGTCGACTGAAATTTCAACATGTCGCATCGCCAACCATTGGATCATGTAATTTGTGGTAATCCTAATTAGCATAAATTAATATTTAGCCGGCACATATCAGAGGACTGGGGGCGGGTGCGAGGTGCGAGGTGCGCGGAGGGTTATGGGATTCTGGTTTGTAAGTAGAGATCGTTAGTAGGGCAAAGCATTCCACGGTCAGCCCTCGCCGTGTTTAGTTGTTCGTTTTCGTTTTTGTATAAATTTAAAGCTGTCCATGCATACCACCTTAAGTAACTATGTACAACACGTCATACATAGGATATCCTAAAACCTCAAGGGTGGCACAGCTGCCTTGGTTGGGGGTGCACATTTAGTTCACTTCAATCGTAAGAGACCTTTGTAAGCATATCGATTTGGCGTTAAATTAACGGTGGCTTGGCTGGCCAACCGGCACCCGGACATCAACACTTTGTGTGCCCGGTTGAGTAGTGGAGGCAAAATACCTACATTTTGTCTCCACTACACAACAAATAACACAGTAGTGTACACCAAATAAGTATATTTAGGGAAGCCTGCCGAGAACCAAGCCGAGGCATACATAGCCCGGGGCATGCATACATACGTATATTCGCAACTGATATATCATATACAATCCTGATATACAGTCAATTCCTTACACATTAAAAAAAAGGTATACATTACTAACATGCAAACTTCACCAAGTCTGGATTAACAGAGATGGGCAACCGCTTACAAGGACATAACTACGGTTATACAGAGGCCAGAAAAAACCTGCCAGAAAAAACCCCTTTGGGGGAAAAACATGACAGGAAATCTGGGTAGGAACCATGGCCCAAACTCAGAGCAGTTGGCAGCCCATCCTACGAGGCTTCACAGCTAAAGAAAATATGTCTTTAAACTAAACTAAATTTGTCATCAGCCAGAGGTGAACGGTTGGTTCTGAGGCCTAGATGGACACCACGTGCGATACTTTCCCTTATATACCACTGCATCATTACCCATGATGCTCGGGCCCAAGGCCCAGGCCTTGTCGTATCTCGTGCCGACAAAATATTTATTTCTGCCTTATTCGCAGACTCATTTGTCAGAAATACCATTTTTGAATACCTCAACTTTAAACTGCACTGTGCAACAAATGCATCAATAAATTTATGCGGCGAGGAAACTGCAGAATCATAAACTTACTGAAAGAAATGTAGACAGGAATAGTGATGAAAATCAATTCTGATTTCATTTCCAAAGAGCTGTCTCTTTCCAAGAACGTGTATGGTTTTTTTAAACACTGAAGCGTGATGTGGTCGAGATTAAGACTAATAAACCTACTGTTATATCTGTTCATTAAATGGTGCAATCCTTAAGACACATGATATCTATATTACCATTTTTATTTTTTTGCCAATCAAGTACTTTTAGACGGCAAAGCTTCTTACTTAAACTTTTCAGTCAGGGGAGATTTAACTTGGGCATCATTAAAAGTTTTGCCGATTAGAGGGAGAGAAAAAAATGATTCTCTACAGCGAAAAGTGGTGAATAACGCTAATGAGCAAGGCTTGTGAACAAGGTGATATAATAGTGATTTTGAGTTTCACGAGAGGTGCTTTCGGGAATGGGAAAGAGTGGAAGGAGTAAATGAGTGAATTATGTTGAAACAGGAGGCAATTAAAAACAAATTAAAAAACAAAAAAGATAAATTTACGACTGAATTTCAATTCACTGCATTCTTTTGAGGATTGAAAATACAATAAATACACGATGAAGGCCAAAAAGGGAGCCAGCGAAAGAGTTTAATTCATTCGTTCTGAGAATGCCAGAAAAGGCCGAAGAGTAAAATATATCAAATGGTACAACGCTTTAACTTTAAAAGATTACCTGAGCGGCTAAATGGACAATTCGAATGCGCACGGAATGTGAAGTGATCTTTAATAATTGTAGAAGATAGCGCTGAGACGTATTTGTGTTTGATCGAGGAAGCGATTGAGGTTGTGTGGTTCGAACTAAAAGGAAATACAACAGAAACTAAACTAAGAGAAATGCGTTGCGAAACGTAACATTAACCTAACTAAAAATGAAGAGATTGCACAAAAAACTGAGCACGAGAACTTCACCAATAATACAGAAAAAGGTTAAACATTGCAAATGTAAAAGAGATAAAGACATTCTTTGGTCTAACTTCTAATGATAGCAAATAACTGACAGCGATAACATCTAAGAACAAACTAATAGCGATGAATAGAATAAAAAAAGGAAACCAAAGTAAAACGTTTGGGAGTCTTGCTCAGTAAACATCGATTAAACATAAATTTCTCATTTACGCCCATCGCCGGTTCAAGTGCCTCGCCGCTTGTGATTGTCTTTGCCTCATTATTTTAATATTCCTATCGTAATTAGGGATCTTTAACTGCAACTGAAATAGAAAATAGTATTATTTGAAATTACATTGGCGCGGTCTAGGTGACAATTTTGGCTACAATAGTGTTTTCTGTGGTGTTTGGAGTTGTTCCCCACCGGAACGGACAAATTGTAACACTTTATTTGACTATTTTAGATCTAATCAACGATTTCCCTCAAAGTCTAATGTGGTTATCATATGTTTTAAATATAGAGAGACACTTTTACGTTAATAGATTTTTTAGAGGGGCAGAATGATACAACGACTAAGGCAAGGGTTGTACAGTTCAGTGTAATCGAATGTAAACAGAGCATCGTTGTTGTCTTAATCTAACTCAAGAAAAACTGCGATGCCTGTTTTTAACAGAAAAGAATATTATCATCTGTTTTAAAATTTCGTCCATGTTGATAGTATGAGGCTTTCGTTAAATAAGATTCTCCCTGTTTAACGTTTTGTTCCAACAAGAGTCACATCCTAGACTATGAAGCTAAGAGTTAGGGTTAGGGTCTGTTCTCAAACTGCATCATTTTTAATCTCTGTACTGTATGTTGTTTTCTTATTCCCTATCTGTTCTTTTACATCATTTGTAGTATTAACTTTACGAACGTTAACTGCGAAAATTTATCAAAGCGCATGTCAGAAGTTACGACGCTGGTCATTGAAACGTGGCTCCATAATTTGTGGGTCTTGGGGTGGGGTGACACTGGATGCATCATCTGCGACAAAACAACAGAAGACGATGAACGCATGTTTTCAACATTTTTTTTGCTAAAGATCCATCAGCTTCTTTATCAGCTGATGATGGTTCACCGCTTTTATTCCCAATTAGATCTCGTCTTCAACATATTTTTAGCCAATAGATATTAGAGAAAGCAGAGGTAATACAAACTAAAGAGAGAGGCTTCACCGAAACATAATTAAAAGACATTATGAAAAGAATGATTTAAAAGGCTTTCAAGCAAACTTGGAAACATTTTTTTTTGGTTTCTGTTGCGCAATTTACAGCAGAAATGCCTAAATTTATTGGAATTACGAGGACTTATCCGAAAGTGGTGTAAAACTCAAAAGGCACTTTAGTATTTTAATCGACCTCCCCCCACCCCCTATATTGATAGACAATTTTTTATTGTACCTCCTTTGTACTGTGTTAGCGACAACTGATACCCCTCCGTTTCCGCTGAAAACCATGCAATCCCCCAAATAGCCTCCGAACCCCCTCCCAGGCGTTAAAGTGTCAAATAATGCTGGTCACCCAGCTCTCCGAGTCACCTGCTGACGACGGCCTTGTTGCCAAGGTTATGAATGTAACCTGCTGAACGATACATGATGTTCTGCATGAACTGAGATACGACAAAACAATACGTAACAAAGTAAAATAACTACATGTCTGAGTCGCTCAAGGGTATTTTATTTCTATGTAAATTACGTATATTATTTAATTACGTCACTGAAATGACCTATTGGCGAAGTGATCAAACTGAAAGAATCTGACAAATAGTTGACAATCAGAAAAGTCTCGTCTT